GTCCTTTGTCGTCCTTTTCGTCCTTTTCCGTCCTTTTTCGTCGTTTTTGGTCCTTATTCGTCCTTTTTCGTCCGTTTTGGTCCTTTTCGTCCTTTTTCGTCCTTGTGATCCTTTTTCATCCTTGCGATTCTTTTTCGTCCTTGTTCGTCCTTTTTCGACCTTTGTCGTCCTTTTCGTCGTTATTCGTCCTTTTTCGTCCTTTTTAGTCCTTTTTGGTTCTTTTCGTCCTTTTTCGTCATTTTTCGTCCTTTCCCGTCCTTTTCGTCCTTTTTCGCCCTTTGTGGTCCTTTTCGTCCTTTTTCGTCCTTTGTCATCCTTTCCGTCCTTTTTCGTTTTTTTTCGTCCTCTTCTTTTTTCGTCGTTTTCATCCTTTTTCGTCCCTTTCCATTCTTCTTGTCCTTTTTCGTCCTCATTATCCTTTTTCGTCCTTTGCGTTCTTTTTCGTCCTTTTTGGTACATTTCGTCCTTTTTCGTCCTTTTTCGTTATAGTTACTCCCGCCGGGAATTCATAGTTACTCCCAAGGAAAAATCATAGTTGCTCCCCCAAAATCCTTTTTGCCCTTTTTATACTTTTTGCCCTTTTCGTTCCTTTCGTCCTTTTTCGTTCTTTTCGTCTTTTTTTCGGCCTTTTTGGGACTTTTCGTACTTTTTCGTCCTTTATCCTCTTTTTGGTCCTTTTCGTACTTTTTCGTAATTATTATCCTTTTTCGTCCTTTTTCGTCCGCTTTCGTCCTTTTCGTCCTTTTTCGTCCTCATTATCCTTTTTCGTATTTTTCCGTCCTTTTCATCCTTTGTTGTCCTTATTATCCTTTTTCGTCGTTTTTCGTCCTTTTCGTCCTTTGTCGTCCTTTTCGTCCTTTTCCTTCCTTTTTCGTCGTTTTTGGTCCTTATTCGTCCTTTTTCGTCCGTTTTGGTTCTTTTCGTCTTTTTTCGTCCTTGTGATCCTTTTTCATCCTTGCGATTCTTTTTCGTCCTTGTTCGTCCTTTTTCGACCTTTGTCGACCTTTTCGTCCTTATTCGTCCTTTTTCGTCCTTTTTAGTCCTTTTCGGTTCTTTTCGTCCTTTTTCGTCATTTTCCGTCGTTTCCAATCCTTTTCGTCCTTTTTCGCCCTTTTTGGTCCTTTTCGTCCTTTTTCGTCCTTTGTCATCCTTTCCGTCCTTTTTCGTTTTTTTTCGTCCTCTTCTTTTTTCGTCGTTTTCATCCTTTTTCGTCCCTTTCCATTCTTCTCGTCCTTTTTCGTCCTTTTCGTTCTTTTTCGTCCTTTTTGGTACATTTCGTCCTTTTTCGTCCTTTTTCGTTATAGTTAGTCCCGCCGGGGATTCATAGTTACTCCCACCGGAGAGTCATAGTTACTCCCCCTGGAAAATCATAGTTATTCCCACAGAAGAATTACAGTTACTCCCCCCAAAATCCTTTTTACCCTTTTTATGCTTTTTGTACTTTTCCTCGTTTTTTATCCTTTTTCGTCCTTTTTCGTCTTTTTTCGTCCTTTGTGTCCTTTTTCGTCCTCTTCGTCTTTTTTCGATCTTCTTCGTCCTTTTTCGTCCTTTTCGTTCTTTTTTGTCCTTTTTGGTACTTTTCGTCCTTTTGTGTCCTTTTTTGGTCTTTTTCGTACTTTTCCGTAATTATTATCCTTTTTCGTCCTTTCTCGTCCGTTTTCGTCCTTTTCGTCCTTTTTCGTCCTTATTATCCTTTTTCGTCCTTTTCCGTCCTTTTCATCCTTCGTCGTCCTTATTGTCCTTTTTCGTCCTTTTCGTCCTTTTTCGTCCTTTTTCGTCCCCTTTGGTTTTTTCCGTCCTTTTTCGTCCTTTGTCGACCTTTTCGTCCTCATTCGTCCTTTTTCGTCCTTTTCCATCCTTCTCGTCCTTTTTCGTCCTCATTATCCTTTTTCGTCCTTTTTCGTCCTTTACGTGCTTTTTCGTACTTTTTCGTCCTTTTTGGTCCTATTCGTCCTTTTTCGTAATTATTATCCTTTTTCGTCCTTTTGTGTCCTTTTCAACCTTTGTCGTCCTTATTATCCTTTTTCGTCCTTTTTCGTCCTTATTCGTTCTTTTTCGTCCGTTTTCGTCCTTCTCGTCCTTTTTCATTCTTATTATCCTTTTTCGTCCTTTTCGTCCTTATTAGTCCTCTTTCGTCCTTCTTGGTTCTTTCCGTCCTTTTTCGTCATTTTTCGTCCTTTCTCGTCCTTTTCGTCCTTTGCCGGAGATTCATTGTTACTTCCACCGGAGGGTCATAGTTACTCCCGCTGGAAAATCATAGTTACTCCCTCAAAATCCTTTTTACCCTTTTCGTCCGTTTAGGTCTTTTTCGTCCTTTTTCGTCCTTTTCCGTCCTTTTTCGTCCTTTATCGTCCCTTTCGTCCTTATTCGTCCTTTTTCGTTTTTTTTGGTTCTTTTCGTCCTTTTTCGTCCTTGTGATCCTTTTTTGTCCTTGTGATCCTTTTTCGTCCTTGTTCGTCCTTTTTCGTCCTTTTCGTCCTTTTTCGTCCTTTTTCGTCCTTCCGTCCTTTTCCATCCTTTTTCGTCCTTTTTGGTCCTTTTCGTCCTTTGTCGTCTTTTCCGTCTTTTTTCGTTCTTTTTCGTTCTCTTTCTTCTTTTTTCGTCCTTTTCCATCCTTGTCGTCCTTTTTCGTCCTTGTCGTGCTTTTTCGTACTTTCTCGTCCTTTTCGTCCTTTTTGGTACATTTCGTCCTTTTTAGTCCTTTTTCGTTATAGTTACTCCCGCCGGAGATTAATAGTTACTCCCACCGGAGTAGCTTCGTCTTTTTGGTCCTTTTCGTACTTTTTCGTAATTGTTATCATTTTTCGTGTTTTTTTGTCCTTTTTCGTCCTTTTCATCCTTTGTCGTCCTTATTATCCTCTTTCGTCCTTTTTCGTCCTTTTCGTCCTTTTCGTCCTTTTTCGTCCTTTTTTGTCCTTTTTCATTCTCTTTGGTCGTTTTCGTCCTTTTTCGTCCTTATGATCCTCATTCGTCTTTTTTCGTCCTTTTTTTGTCCTTCTTCGTCCTTTTTCTTCCTAGATTTTGCAACTCCCGCTGGAAAATCATAGTTATTCCCACAGAAGAATTATAGTTAGTCCCCCCAAAATCCTTTTTAACCTTTTCATGCTTTTTGTTCTTTTCGTCGTTTTTTGTCCTTTTTCGTCCTTTTTCGTCCTTTGTGTCCTTTTTCGTCCTCTTCGTCCTTTTTCGACCTTCTTCGTCCTTTTTAGTCCTTTTCGTTCTTTTTCGTCCTTTTTGGCACTTTTCGTCCTTTTTCGTCTTACTGGTCCTTTTCGTATTTTTCCGTACTTATTATCCTTTTTCGTTCTTTTAAAGTAAGTAAGTAAGTAAGTAAGTAAGTAAGTAGTTTATTTACGGAATAGAACTTTCCATTAGTACAAATAAAATAATACAATAAATAATAAGATATTACCAGCGTACAAAAATATTAAAAAATATAAGACAATATACAACAGTCCAGATGGGTACACAAAACCACTTAAAACAAATATAAAACAAACCATTACAAATGCCTTATCTTATGACTTAATTACTAGTTCCAGCTAATTACGAGTCTTCTTGCTTGGAACTTAAAGGAAGCGTATACTTAATTATTTTCGTCCTTATTATCATCCTTTATCTTCTTTTCCCGTCCTTTTCGTCTTTTCTCGTCCTTTTCGTCCATACCCATCCTTTTTTGTCCTTTTTCGTCCTCTTTGGTCCTTTTCGTCCTTCTTCGTCCTTTTCGACCTTTTCGTTCTTTTTTGACCTTCTTCGTCCTTTTTCGTCCTTTTCGTTCTTTTTCGTCTTTTTTGGTACCTTTCGTCCTTTTTCGTCATTTTTCGTTTTTTTTCGTCCTTTTTCGTCCCTTTTCGTCATAGTTACTCCCGCCGGAGTAACTAATTTTTCGTAATTATTATCCTTTTTCGTGCTTTTTTGTCCTTTTTCGTCCTTTTCATCCTTTGTCGTCCTTATTATCCTCTTTCGTCCTTTTTCGTCCTTTTCGTCCTTATTCGTCCTTTTCGTCCTTTTTCGTCCTTTGTCGTCCTTTTTTGTCCTTCTTCGTCCTTTTTCTTCCTAGATTTTGCAACTAAACTCCGCCCTTCAGCTCACGATGAATAAAACATTCATTACATTCGAGAATGGGTGGGTGGGCGGGGCTTATATTTTGTCCATTTTTTCTTAATATACGAAGTCTTCTTTTTCCAACAAGAAACCAAAAACATGTTTAGCTTTCCTGTTGTTGAAAGAAAACTCTATATAATAAAAAAAACACGAAGATTAAGCCCCACCCACCCGCCCCAGTCCCAATTGTAATGAATTTCATATGGTAATTTTTTGTAGAGAAACGAGGATTTTGTAACGAAACTCCGCCCTTCAGCTCACGATGAATAAAGCATTCATCACAATCGAGAACGGGTGGGTGGGCGGGGTTTGTATTTTGTTCATATTTTCTAATTTATGAAGTCTTCTTTTTCCAACAAGAAACCGAAAACATGTTTAGCTATTATGTTGTTGAAAGAAAACTCCATATATTAAAAAAAAACAAGATTAAGCCCCACCCACCCGCCCCAGTCCCAATTGTGATGAATTTCATATAGTAATTTTTTGTAGAGAAACGAACATTTTGCAACTAAACTCCGCCCTTCAGCTCACGATGAATAAAACATTTATTACAATCGAGAACGGGTGGGTGGGCGGGGCTTATATTTTGTTCATATTTTCTTAATTTATGAAGTCTTCTTTTTCCAACAAGAAACCGAAAACATGTTTAGTTATCCCGGTGTTGAGAGAAAACTCTATATATTAAAGAAAAACACGAAGATTAAGCCCCACCCACTTGCCTCAGTCTAAATTGTGAAGAATTTCATATGGTAATTTCTAAACGTTCAAAAACTGCATACACATTTCAAAAAATTAAATTTAATTAACAACGATGATTACAAGTTTTCAAACTATTCTTACACTATGTGAATTCCTATGAAATATAATTATTTCTTCGTTTGACCAAAAAATCACGTTTAATGGAAAACTGAAACGGTCGAGTAAACCGCTTTACAAATCTACAAACAAGAAATATAAAAAATGTGTGAGTTTTCAACCCTTGCTGAAAATCCACTTACGGCCACCCCTAGACGATAGTTGATAGCAATGTCTCTGGAAAAGTCGAGCTTTATGGGTTGCATATTGTTGCACAGTATTAAGAGAAAAGTTCGTCGATTGGCGCAGTTGAAATTATACCATTTTGTCAACATGAGTGTTGTGAATGTGTTATCAGACTGAAAAAAAATGGCAGTTAAAACGTGAAACTAAAGCGTGTAAAATTACTTCGTCTTGTAAAGTTTCGCCTCCAACGATTACACCAACAAAGACGGACAGAAGGAGGAATATATAGATGACGTTGTAACATATAACGATCGTTGGCGATTGTTCTCTAGTCTAGCAGTAGAAAAATTGTGATTGTATATAAAAAAAAGTTGTAAGATGCTATACACACCACAATAAAGTACATGACCAAAAATAAATGAACACCAGCGTCCACACTAAATGGTATGATAAAAGTGTGTATAATTTCTAAACAGCGCGTTCTCCACCTAGAAGCATTATGAAAGTATATTTGGTAAAATTTTATGAAATTTGTGACCTTTTAAAGTCACAGTGTCTTCTGACTAGTAGCTTGAGTTTAAGATTAATTTCTTCTTGGTACTTTTGGTCATTCACTAAATTTTCTTCATCTTTCTCTTCTTCATACATAGAGCAAACTTCCTCAATGTAGTTGTTGAACAAATACATTTGAAATTTCATAACTTGAGTTATGTAAACTATTTGATATGGGTGAGCTATGATAAGAAAAATTATCACGTGGGCTGTCAATCTTACAACAGAGAAAATGTAGTCAGGTATATATGAAACAGAATTTCTGCCGAACGAAGAGTAAACAACGAGACTACCCCACAATAAACTACCCAATGCCGTCAAAACTACGTAAGTTTTAATTATTTTCGTTTCCTTCTTAATTTTGGTTTTAATTTTTTCGTCAGCTGCGTGGATGTCCCAAAATGGAAAAGGACTCATGAGGTCGTCGATCCAGTTATTTTCGTATAAATGTACGAATGCAGCAAACGCAGCCTGAAAAAAACGTGCAGAGTTCTAAAAAGTGTAACGAAGTTTGTATTACGTGATACGTTTGCGCAAAAAGTAGCCCATATTTAGCGAATTGAAAGAAGTTTGGTGTTGAGACGAAAATGCAGATTTGGAGGAGTAAAATTAGTGGAATGATGCACAAGAAACACTTCAATATAGACTTGACGAGTCGCTTCTGAAAAATCTTATATCCTATAAGATAAGCTGATGTTAAGGGATCATCTACAAAAATTCGGAACAAAATTATTAATTGTGGTGCATGTGGTTAGTTTTACCTTTCATTTCACTTTGATGTTGGACAACCATTTCGTTTCAGGTAACGTGGCTTTTGGAAGTTAAGTATGTATAATTAGGTAATTATTTTGTGTGAGTTAAGGTCATCGTAGTATTGATTAATAAACTTCGAAAGAACAGTGATATTAGTGAAGTAAAGGACGTAATTTATTTAGAGTTAAGATTACAAATATCATAACTTCGCCCCAAAAAGCACAAAGTAAGTATAACTATAATCAGAAAAGTAATTTCGTAAATAATCCTCTAATAACACATTAATAATACCAAAACTGTTTGTTCCTACCCTTATTATTTTTTGATTTACTTTATCACAAAAAAAGTAAAATTCAAATTACAATATCCTAAAATAGACTGGAGCGTTATCATACACCCCAGTAAACACAGTTACGTCGTAGCGATGTTAATGCCACTTAACTCTGTCTACGATCTTGTTAGCTGTTACATCCCAAACTGCGTACATTTGCTTTCCCTGTACTATGTAATGTAATCAACAGTGACCCATGCTTACGTTGTGTTAGTATGTCGCTAGATTCTCTATATTTTGATGTATCTGTTACGTTTTATTTTAAACGCCAATATAACGTATTAAATGGACATAGACGTTACGTATATATCGCAACATCGTAAACATATGACTCTCAGTATATTTTATTAACATTATCTATGCGATATGAATAGGCATTTCAAAAAGTCTAGTTACCATTTAGGGATATGGATATGGAGAGTAAAATTTAGAGCTTACAGTAAATTATTATTTTATTCAATGTTTGAAAAAATATAATATGTAATAAGTAATAAAATACAAAAATTAATATAAATTCATAATATAAATAAATAAATATATATATGATTTCCTAATTCGAAAATAGTACAATATAATTTACACTTAAAAAAAGACACAGAAACTATAAACTGTCGTTGTTTTTTCTTTCTTAAGGCGTTGACTAGAATGTCGTAGCCACTCTGAGCAGCGTTGTTCTACTTCTTTTTCTATTGCGGAATGGTAATTTCTTCAAAAATAAAAATTGTAATAATTATATTTATTGCAAAAAAATACCTTTTATGATATTCATTGTTTTTGTCCCAGCCATTTTGGAATTTTTTTTTTAAGACATGCCCCACATTGTTCTTTTTCCCATTACCACCTATCTGGGACAATAGCAGTTCCTGAAGTAAGAAAAGAAGAAAATATTTTTATGTGTATATATCGAGTGACTCTGAAATAAGTTCGGAAAATAAAACCACAACATCACGAAGTAGAGAAAATTTTAAGTAATTTCTTTTATCTAGTCCTAATTCAGGGGAAAAAATATCATCATCTACACCTCATTCAGTGACTTTTGTTTTCATCTAAGCAACACACAGCAAAAACAAAGAAAAAATTTAGTCACAATGGAAACTGAATAAATCATTGCCGCATCATTTACATTTAACAAGATGTTTCGTATTTGTTTCTTGAAACTGGAGCAGCAATTTAATTACTTTGAATCCGTGTGACAATTAAAGGATTTTTTTTCCGAATCTATTTGGACGTCACCGCGTATGTATAACATACAGGGTGCTTCACTATAAGACTTTTCTGCAACCCACTATGTATGTAACGTGTTAAGCGAAATGTGTCATGTTTAGTAGGTTCCTAAAAAGTGTTATAGTATTACAGGCATCTACCTGTATATAATATCCAAAATTATGTTATATGTAAGTACATATAAATTTATTGTTTTTTTTTTTTAACTTACAAAGAAACCTGCTTGTTGTAGTAGGCAGAGATAATCTTCTAATTCCTCAAAATTTGTTTACCTGTGGTCTTCTATTACTGTTTTCTTGTTGATTTGTCACATTTGATGACGTTTTCATATTGGAGATTTGTTCACTCGTTTCCTTCAGAATTTCTTTTGTTTCGCACATATTTTTTGTATTTGTTTCAAGTCTAGAGTAAAATAATGTTCATTAGCACCTAGTTCATAAAGAATTGCAGTAACATACCTTTGCAACATGTTATGGCAAAGCGCCTCACTTTCAAAAACAATCACCCTAAGTTCTTCAAAATCAGCGGGAGTATCTTCAGTGATTAATGGTGGTATTTCCAGCTTATCTGAAAAAACTGTTGTTGTTATTTACGTACAGTTATCAAAAACAACAGAAGCATGTAAAAATTAAAATGATTACTTCATTAGAATTATATTAACTTACCTAGTGTAAATACAACCCACACTGAATGGCACAATTTTCACAAAACTGCATTAAAAATGAAGCGAGTTACGGATTCACGAGAAAGGTTCGGTGGTTGTGAACCAAATGGCCAAATGGAATTCGACAGCTTCACTGTGAGTGTGAAGTGCAATAACCATAAATACGGAAAAAAGGGATCGTCCGACTCATAGACAAACCAAACCAACAAAGGTCCGACTGCACCCCCCAAACATCTGGTGGATAGTAAATGCAGAAGTTGAGCGTTATTTTTTCATTAGATGAAATAAATTTAATAAAATCAAAATTAACCACATTTTTTTGCTACCCATCATAGCTTTATAAACGTCTTTATAAAATCAAAATCCGACGAATGAACTCTTCAAAACCTTGTCCCGTTTCAGGGACAATGGACAAAGAATTTTTATGGCCTTGTTTGTGTCGTTGGGTCTTCCCTATATTACCCCAGATGTTTAAGGTGACCAGACGTTCCGATTTGATCGGAACTGTACCGATTTCAATACTCTAATTCCGATTTCAAATTTCGTCCAATAAATGTTCCGATTAAAACATTCGTTCCGTGAATGTTCCGATTTCTATAAATCTGATAAGAATAAAGATAAATCCTCGGATAAATCACTAATTTTCATGAATAGTAATTTTATTTTGTGAAAAATTGGGAACAAAACTTGTATCGATACGGTTGTCAGCACTGTTTTAAATGTCAGCAAATGTCAGTACTGTTAGTATATTACAACTAAAAATTTGCAAAGCAGTTATATATCAGATTACGATGGAAATGGAAACTAATGTTCCGATTTCGGACTTTTGAAATCTGGTCAGATGTTCTATTTATAATTTGCCAAGCAGGTACTTACAAAATAACATTTCAAGTAAACAAGTTTACAGAAATAATTCTTAGAAATTATTACAATGAAAAAAACTTGTCTTTGGTGTATTTCTAATAAAGTCGTTGTATTTTTCGCTCTGAATATAATTATTAATTAAGCATTACGAACTCACTGACGAAGGTCACTTTTTAAAGAATACGACGACCCACATCTAATTGACCATATAATCTTTAACAATAAATTTCAAATAATACCATAGTGGTTTTTTTAAATTTTGATAAGGTGTTGTAAAACTATTTCTGTTTCTGTCTTCATTCCAGATACTGTATTTACGTGGGCAAAGGATGCCGTACGTGGGATTTTAGGGGCGGAAACGTATACCTGCTTAAATACTGTAAATACAGTGGTGTCGAACGAAGACAAAAACAGAAACATACCCGATGTATTGGTTATTATTAGAGAGCGGATTTTATGAAATTTGCATATCCGTTATTTTTTGCATATAAGTCTTGATATTTAATATGTGAACGAATCATGCTAATTAAAAATGAATACAGCTATAAAAAAATTGCATATTTGCATATATTTGCCTTCTGCTGCATATTTCAAGTAACGGGTGCATATTTTGCATTTTTATCAATTTTTGTGCTACTTTGAAAAAAAAAACAATGCCATTCGATCGGCATTTTTCTAGAAAGACGAAATTTCATGAATCATATTGCAAATCTTGTCCTGAGCTTCAAATAACTGGGAAAGGTTTGGGTTTTATGGTAGTTTGGAGGAACCACTGGGTGTTAAGCCATCCTTCCAGGTAAATTCGACTCCTAATTACTTTTGGAAATACCGTTCATTTCAATATTTTTGTTCGTTACTTAAGTGTATTAATGGTATGTTTTATGGTGGTCGAAGGGACGTTATCCTATTATTTTTCATCGTGTGTTTGCATTTAAGTATTTAAAGCGATAGAGATGTGTGTCAATATGTAGATAACTCAAATTAATTTATGAATTAAACCTTTTCCTGAACTTATTCTTCAAGAAGGAACTGTGTTTTGTTGTGCCTGTTGTAATCCGATAAGTATTTTTACATCTGTGGACGCAGTGCGCAGTTTTTATATTTACAAATACATACTTTAGAATCACCGGACAAATTTTTGTTAGAATATTTCGAAAAATATTTAAAAATAAATTGTTACCAAAATAGTAATTAAATAGTCGATTACTACTATTTTTTAATTCGTTCTGTTTACCTATATTTATTTTTTAGTATAAGAATATTATCTTAAAAAATGTCATTTATTTGTCAGTGAGATCTAATTAAACACTTTGCAATGTGATTTATGTATTTTTTGTAATAAAAGGTAAGATGTTTTTGCAATTTGTAAATAAATTTAGTTCGGTTATTACGCTTTTTTTTATTTTTGGAGCATATGCAACTGCATATCTCTGCATATATTAAGAAAGTTATTGCATATTTGCATAAATTTGATGCATGTCATATGATCATATTTCCCAAAATTTTGCTGCATATTTTCCGCTCTCTAGTTACATACATACACTCTATTACCGAACATTAAAAAAAGTCTACACTATTTCGTCATATCTGCTGCTTTATTATCAGTTTCCAGTTAGCTACATATTGGATATGAAATTAAGTGAATTTTTTGAATAAATAATAATTTAAAGATCAACCACGAAAATACTCAATTATAATTATACATTATACATTACCAGTTTATTTTAGAGCCCAAGATTACATTGGAAAAATCTAAACTTTTGAAAATTTAATGTTAAACAGATATACCTATAGCTGAGTGCGAAAGTCAATACACAAAACTCGATGATCAATTATTGTTTCGTATTCAAATTATTATTTATTTTCCTTACGATCAATATAAAGAAATTATTTAATTCATTTTTATTTAAGAACGATATCGCTGACCTTGAAATAGATTAGTTTTTTAATTTCGATTTTTTTCTTTGTGTTGGTTTTGTTGCCGATCAACATATTTTGCATTAGAATTAATAAAATAATGAAATATATCATTTTATTTTTCGAGCTCATTTCAAAATTCTGTATATGTATAATTGTTCCTTTTTGGCAGTGACGCATAGGTAGAGGTTAAAAAATAATGTCTTATTACTAGTCTTAATTCGTATTACCTGTTAGATGGGACATTTTTTAATTCTGATCATAAACTATGTGCATTAAGTCTCTTGTTCTGTTTTATAAAGCGCAGGTCGTTATGGACGTATAAAAATAAAATTATAAATAAATATAATTACAGGAAATATAATACGAAAAAAAAAGAACAACTCACTATTGGCGTCATCTCGCTTGTGCAAGATTTAAGACAGGAAAGAAATTTATTTTTTTAAGACTCAGCATCTTTTGTTTATGAATATACTATTTACTTGCAACACAAACATAAATAATAAATATAAAATAGAGCTATATAATACTCGATATGTATGTTTTTAAATGTTTTTTGCTGTTGCCCTGTCAGAAACGTTAATTTTCGATTTAACAGGCCATTTTGTAAAATGAACTGAAAAACACATAATTAACTAATAAAAATAAAACATTCCGAAGCATGTATATATATATATATATATATATTAATCAGATATCTAGTAACTACAGTTAACATTACTTATTGGTTATACATAACCGTAGTACTCCATTGTGATGTTACAAGGCTTACCTGCCAACTATATCGCTGCGACATAATAATGAGATATCTAGTAAATGTAGTCAACATTACGTGTTGGTTACATAGCATGAGTACTCCATTGTGATGTTATATAGCTTACGTTCCAGGTATATCGTTAAGACATAATCATGCGATGTACTTATTGTTCTTTTGTGAGTACGTACCTGTCACGTCAACATCACAAGTGTGTTTACTGGGACGATTCAACAAAAAAGTCTACAAGAAAACTGAAATTGCCGAATATACGGTTTTGCAAATCTACAAATAGAAAACATAATATTTCGAACTTCGTCTGAACATTTACTTACAGCCATTCCTAGACGATAGTTGATAGCAATTTCTCCTGAAAAGTTCAGATTTATAGGTTTCACACTATTGCACAACATCAGCAGAAAAATCTTCCGATTTTCGCAATTAAAATTGTACCATTTCGATAGCATAAGTGTGGTGAAGGTATTTTCAGACTGAAAAAATAGTAGTCAGAAAAATACAAGCATCTGTAAATGAATTTACTTCGTCTTGTAACGCTTCTCCGGCCATAATTGTGGCAACAATGCACGAAATAGCGAACATATCAAAGATTAGATCACAGCATACGACGATGATCGGTGATTCTCCTATAAACTAGAAATAGGAAGACTGTGATTCTATGTACAAAAAAATATATACATACCAGGAAAGAATACATGCCCATAAATAAAAGAACAGCAGCGCCTGCACTAAACGGTAGTATCAACTTGTCCATTACTTCAAGACAATTAGTCCGCCATCTGGAAATAGTTGAAACGATATTTTTCAAAACGAACAAAATTTTGCACCTACTTTTTTAGTTCACAATGTCGCTTGACCAGTAAATTGAGTCTACGTCTCACTTCTTTTTGATATCTTTCATCATCCACCAATTCTTCTTCGTTTTCTTCGTCATCCATCGAACAGATGTCCTCAATGTGCTTATTGAACAAATACATTTGGAATTTCACATGTTGGGTGGCATATACCACCTGAAGTGGGTGAGCCATGAAAGCAACAACTATCACGTGAGATGCTAGTTTTAAAACAGAGAAAAGGTAGTCACATGTGTATAAAACCAAATTTTTGGGTGGCAGAATGTCGAACGAAGAATACACAACTACAGTGGCCCAAAGTAGAGCTAGTAATGAGGTCACGATTGTGAAAGTTGTTATTATTTTCGTTTCCTTTTTGATTCTGTTTTTGATTGTCTCACCAGCTGTGTCGATGTCCCAAAGTGGCAAAATACTCATGACGTCGTCAATCAACTTATTTTTGTATAAATGTACGAACGAAACAAATACGATCTAGAACAGACGTGTACTATTTTGAAAACTCGACCATAACGTTGTTAGGTTGTTACATAAGACATTTGCCCGAAGGTCGATCCATATTTACTCAGTTTAAAAACACTTGATGACCAGACGAAAAGGCAGATCTGAACGAGTAAAATGAAAGGAATGATGAAAAGCAACAGTTTTAATACGGATTTGACGAACTTGTTCTGAAAGATCTTGTATCCTACAATATATACCAGTTTTAGCGGATCATCTAGAATATTAATAGCAAAATTATTGAATTTAGTTGATTACAGTTAATTTCACCTTTCATTTTCGTTTGGGCACAGAAATTCATTTCGCTTGACTAACGTGACTTTTGAAAAGTAAGCATGTCACATAAGTACGTTATTATATATGAGTTAGAAATATTGATTTATAATCTTGGTAATTTTGGAGGAAATGGGAAGTATTTGGAAGTATGTATTTACCATGATTATAAGTCATAATTATCGCTCGAAGGCTATTTCGACAGAACTTCACTCGACTCTGAATTGACAACGAGTTGGAAATATTGGTTAATAATCTTCGTAATTTTGAAAGAATACCTGACGTGGATAGTTATGGAAGTATTTCTGAAGACATGGGAAGTATTTGTTTCGAGGTATGAATTTTCCAAATCATTTTAGTAAATTATTAGCTTTGAGTCAAGCTTATGCTAACTTTGACTCATAGAGGAAGTTATCTTGTTATAAGATTACTTTTTAGAGCTAAACCTACCTGTTATCATGTATAGTTTGCAATGTTTGTAATAAAACTACTCATAAGTTGGGTATTTTATCTCCAAATTTTCAATTAACATCAGGAAATGTTAAATTATTATTTTCAAATTTTGACTTCTTAATCTGATGTTTCAGCGTAACTCTCAAGAGGTTACACAGTGCTTTTCTCGTCCTCAAAGAAGAACTTAAAAGTGTCGTCAATTTACATAAATGAGGATCTGACGAAAGCCGAGATAAATTCAAATCAAAATAAAAGAGGAAGCGACAAAAGGAAGAAATAAAGGAAAAATGGTTAGAATGGGATACGAAAAGTTCACTGTAGATGGCAGAAATTTTGAATGGAATGAAGAAGAGGGCAGACTCAAGAAGGTAGAAAATTTTTAGTGAAGAGCCAAAAGAAAAGAAACAAAAGGAGGAAAAATGGAAGGAAACAAGCCAAAGGAAAAGGGAAAGGAATGAAGAACGCGGATAGGGAAATCGGAAAAAGGGAAGCTGAGACTACGTGGGAAAATTTCATGTGGTGGGGCTAGTAGAGACATGGGTACAAAGAGAAAACTGGGAGAAATTTGAAGGGACACCACCACAAGAATGTGTGTGGGAGTGTCAAGGGGCGACAAAGGAGGATAGCAAGAAAATGGAGGAAAGCAAGATAAACATAGGAAAGGAAACAAAAGAAAAAGGAAAGGAAAAATATTTCTAGGAGGGGATTTTAACGCAAGACTGGGCGATAAGTGGATAAGAATAATAGATAAAAAAGTATCAAAAGACAAAGTAAATAACAAAGAAGAGAAAATATTGTGGAAGATAATAGAAGAAATGGGATAGGAAATTTTGAATGGAAACAATGAAGGAGATGAAGGAGAATGAACGTACGTAGGGGCTAGGGAAGAATCAATTATAGATTATGGGATTGTCTACGAAGAGGTGTGTAAAAAATAGAGAGTTTCAAAGTGGGAGAAATAAAAATCAAAGGAAAAGAGTAAGAGTAAGGAAAACATGAGAGAAGAAACGAAAGAAAAGAAATAGAAAAAAGAATATGGGATGAAAAGTTAATTCAAAGATACAAAAGTAGACTGGAAAAAAAGAAATACTGCGTAAAAGAAGATATAGAACGACACCTTGGGAATTAATTGCGCCATTTTGTTGCTCAATTTTTGAGATAGACTGTACATTCATCACAGATATATTTAAAGCTGATTATATAATAGACTAAAACTACAATTCTTAGTGAGAAACCCAAAATAGAATTCACATAAAAATAATAACATCTGTGCTCCTCCGTAGAAGAAGAATGAAAATAAAATTTTGCAAAATCTTGAAGATTCACTTAAATCCTACGTGAATTGTTAATAAATATAATAATTTCTTCGTCGATTTCATTGTGTTTTGGTTAATAGAAAACTGAGATGGTCGAGTATACCGCTTTGAAAATCTACAAACAAAAAGCAGTAAATCTGAGTTTCGAACATTTTCTGAAAATTTCCTTACAGCCACTCCTAGACGATAGTTTATGGCTATTTCTTTTGAAAAGTTGAGATTTATGGGTTCCATACTGTTGCACAACATCAAGAGAAAGGTTTTTCGATTTGCGCAGTTGAAATTATACCATTTTGTCATCACGAGAGTTGTGAATGTGTTATCAGACTGAAAAAAAAAAACATTTAGAAAATATACAAGCTGTTGTAAATTTACTTCGTCTTGTAAAGTTTCGCCGCAAATAATCATAGCAACAAAACCGGACCCAGCGAGGAAACCAAAAAGTGCGTTGCAGCATGTATTAATTGTCGTCGACTCTGTCGTAGTCTACAAAGAAATATAGATAAATAGATAAAGACAGAGAAGGCACGATATACCAAGAAAGAAAACATGGCCTTAAATAAAATAAAACCAACGGCCACACTAAATGGTATTATGAGGCTGTGAACAATTTCTAGAGTGCGAATTCTCCATCTGGAAATAGGACAAAAGATATTTTGTGAAATTTCTGAAATTTACTCGTGCCTCTTGAAATCGCAGTGTCTTCTTACTAGAAACATCAGTCTAAGTCTAACTTCTTCTTGGTATATTTCATCGTCCAGTAAATTTTCTTCTAGATTTTCTTTTTCATGCACACAACAAACTTCCTCAACATACTTGTTGAACAAATACATTTGAAACTTTGCGTGTTGAGTTATATAAAGTATTTGAAATGGGTGAGTTATCATGGCCAAAACGATCACGTGAGATGTTAATTTTACAATAAAGAACAAGTAGTTGCATGCACATAGAAGAAAATTTCTAGGTGGAAGAATAGCGAACGAAGAATAAACGAATGTAACTAGACTTATCCATAATAAGCCTGCTAACGTATTAGAGACTACAAAAATTGTAAGTATCTGCATTTCCTTCTTAATTTTAATTTTAATTTTTTCGCCAGCTGTGTCGATATCCCAAAGTGGAAAAGAATTCATGATGTCGTCAATACAGTTATTTGTGTATAAATGTACAGAGATGGCAAACGCGGCCTAGAAAAACGTGTAGAATTGTAAAAAGTGTATTCGAATTATGTTACATAAGCCATTTGCGAAAAGATTAGTCCATATTTTGTTAATTCACTGAGATTTGGTGACGACAAGAAAAAACAAATCTGGATGAACAACATCAGGGTAATGGTGCAAAGTAAAAGTTTTAGTAATAACTTAACGAGTTTGTTCTGGAACAGCTTATATCCTACCATATGTACTAGTTTCAGAGGATCATCTAAAAATAATAATAAACAATTAGTAATTAATAAATTTATTAATGTTCATTGGTTATGTTTAATTCACTTTTCATTTCATTGTGGTGTTGGAAATCCATACCGATTTTGAACAATATAAATTTGATTTCAGAATTTTCAAATGAGAACTGCAGTGCTATCACAACATGAAAACAAATTTTCAAAAAACATTCTTTCGAGGACTAATTAGCATTAATTAGAGAGAATGATCAATTTGCTTCGACGACGACTACAAGACTAGAAACAAAACATTGCTGGAAGGAATAAATGTTGAAAAAAACTTAAATAGCGAATTAAGGAAAATCGAAACGATTAATGAATAATAGATAGGGAAAATGAGTTAATTTACCAGAAGCATTGTGGGGACAGGAGAAAAATTGATCCAAGTTTATTTCGAGAGAACTTCCTTCGCTTCTGAAACAAATACTGCTTCTACCGTGATCCGTAAGCGAAGGGGTGAAAGCTGTGGAAGTTCTTAAGGAGAAGAACACAAATTCAGGAACTTATACGAAGAAGCAGTAAGATGATAAAAGAATAGAAAGAAGATTATATAGGAAACGAATGAAGACAATATTTCGCTGAGCATGCAGTGATTCACAATTAAAATTATACCATTTTCTTAGCATAAATAAATAAGTATCTACAAGCAGTAATAATTTTACTTCGTCTTGTCTTTGATCAACTCAAACTTTCAAGTTGACGATAATCTGCCAAGACAAAATTTGCGAGAAGAATTGTATTTTCTTATACTTAAATTACAACGGAAGTACAATAATAAATGTATTTGGAGTAGACATTGGAATTATTTCTCGTTTATTTATCACAGGGTAATTATTTTAGGAGACTACGTAGACAAATAGACGGTTTCATCTATACTATCTTAAATGCTGTCGGGTAGACGAAAATGGTATCAAACTTTGAATGTTGGAAATTTCAATACAGTTTTGGAAGAAATTTAAAAACACTAGTAGACTGAAATAATGATTTATTCAAACGTAACATAATGCTTGATATGATACATGTCATGAGAATATCATTGACAAACACAAGTTGTAACAATTATTCTTAATAGAAAACTGAAACTCCCGAGTATACCAGTTTGGCAATCTACAAACCGAGAAATCAGTAAGGACATCAGCGATTCGACCTTTTCTGAAAATACACTTACAGCCATTCCCAGACGGTAGTTTATGGCAATTTCTGCTGAAAAGTTAAGGTTTATAGGTGTTAAACTGTTGCACAACATCATTAGAAAATATTTTCTATTTTCGCAATTAAAATTGTACCATTTTGTTAGCATAAGTGTGGTGAACGTATTATCAGACTGGAAAAATAACAATTAGAAAAAATACAAGCAGATATAAATTTACTTCGTCTTGTAAAGCTTGGCCTCCACGTATTATACCAATAAACGCGGATATCGCCTGGAAGGTAAAAAGTGTGTTGCACCATATTACTATGGTCGGGAACTGATCCCTAGCCTAGCAGAAAAACGGTTAATTATATTTCATAAGTAAAAATACATACCAAAAAAGAATACATGTCCATAAATAAAATAACCCCAGCCCCTACACAAAATGGTATTATAAGGCTGTGTATTATTTGAAGACACATAGTTCTCCATCTGGGAACAACATGAAAGAATTTTTTTAAATCTCACTGTTGAAGACAAAACTTAACTCGTACCTCTTAAATTCACAATGTCTTTTAATGAGTTGCGTAAGTCTGAGTCTAACTTCCTCTTGGTATTTTTGATCATCCACTAAATTTTTTTCTTCATCCGTACAACAAACTTCCTCGACGTACTTGTTGAACAAATACAATTGAAATTTCACATGTTGAGTTATATAAACTATTTGATACGGATGAGCTATCAGAGCTAAACCTACCACGTAAGCTATTAATGAGTACGTGTAGTAGCATACATTCAGGCCATAATTTCTGTGTGGCAGCATAGCCGACGAGGAGTACACCATTAAACTGACCCACAATTGACACATTATAGTGTTCGAGATTATATAGATTTTAATTATTTTCGATTCGTTTTTAATTTTGTTTTCGATTTGTTCGCCAGCTGTGTCGATATCCCAAAGTGGAAACGAGCTCATGATGTCGTCAATCCACTTACGATTGTTTAAGTGCACGAAAATTACAAACGCCGCCTAGAAGAAAACGTGTAGAATTCTAAAAACTGCCCTTGAATTATGTTACATAAGCCATCTGGAAAAAGTTTAGGCCATATTTGGTTAATTTTAAAACATCTGGAGACGACGCGAAGAAACAAGTCTGGACGAGTAAAATTAGAGAAATAATGCAAAATAAAAATTTTAACACTAACTGAACGTGTTTGTTCCGAAAAATCTGATATCCTATTATGTACACAAGTTTTAGAGGATCGTCTAAAAATATTCATAATTAACAACATAAGTTATTCACGCTTCTTGAATATATTTAATTTTACCTTTCATTTTCTTTTGATGTTGGAAATTCATTCCGCTTCAACTAACGTGGCCTTTGGGAAGTCGTAGGACATAAGAACGTAATTATTTCTGTATTAAGTACAGGTCAGAATTATTGATTAATAGGCTAATTAATTAATATTAAACTAAGGATAATGGTACTTGACAAACTATGTATATGTATACTTAACAATATATTGAACCCCCAACTTTCACTATTCAAACAACGTGTTCTCGTCCTGTTTACCAAATGTTTTTTTTTATGCGGGACTATATCGCACAAGTGTACTCGTTTTTCAGATAAAAATCCTTGAAAATTTACTAAAGAGATAAATTAATGTCGTTGACGGAAGAGGTAAATTTAAAAAACTGAAAAAAATTCTCAGAGGGTTGTTGATAATATGCTAAAGTCAACAACACTCTCATCTCTACCTCAAAATGATGGTTTCATTAGGACTGTACATACTTAAGAAAATGATAAAACCTTACCGAAATTCATACCTAGACTAGCAAATTATCCGGAAATTTGTGTCATGATTATCAAAACTATTTTTTTTATCTCGCCCCACTTGTATAAAATGTATCAAAACTTACATCTGAAGATGTTGTGTCTTTGCTGATAAAAGCCGGAGATGGAGACCAAATCATGGCTGATTTAGACGTTTTGTTTACACCGTTGGCATGGAAACCGTACGTATGACGTATGGAACTTACTTTTTGGTTCTGGTTCGTGGTAGTTGAATCTCTTTGCTTATCTTTGTCAAAGAATAACAAAAGTGTATAAGGGTGAAGAACGAGTTGAAGATTGGATTCAAGCACTCATTCAATTCGTCAGTCAAAATGTTTTATTTTGATTTTTGTCAGGAGCTTAACGTTATTATATTGTATTCGAACTAGAATAGTTTCTTCAGATATCTTAGTGTCTTGTAATCATCGCAATTAATAAAATACAATAAATATTGTGTATTTTCATTCATAACGAGCATCATTCTGGGTCGTAGTCGGTAACATTTACAAAAATTTTACGGTAAGTTTGGTGTTGAGACGAAAATGCAGATTTGGAGGAGTAAAATTAGTGGAATAATGCACAAGAAACACCTTAATATGGACTTGCGTCCTTTCTGAGAAATCTTATATCCTACAAGATAAGCTGGTGTTAAAGGACTGTCTCCAAAAATTCAGAACAAAATTATTAATTGTGGTGCACGTGGTTATTTTGATCTTTGAATTCACTTTGATGTCGGACAACCATTTCGTTTCAGGTAACGTGGCTTTTGGAAGTTAAGTATAATTAGGTGATTATTTTGTGTGAGTTAAGGTCATCGTAGTATTGATTAATAAACTTCGAAGAACAGTGATATTAGTGAAGTAAAGGACGTAATTTATTTAGAGTTAAGAATACAAATATCATAACCTCGCCACAAAAAGCACAAAGTAAGTATAACTATAATCAGAAAAGTAATTTCTTAAATAATCCTCTAATAACACGAACTATAAATAAAACCAAAACAGTTTGTTCTCACTCTTATTATTTTTTGATTTACTTTATCATAAAAAAAATAAAATTCAAGTTACAATAGACTATCATACACGATTCAACAAAAAAGTCACATTTATTCCTACAAGAAAACTGAAATTGCCGAATATACCGTTTTGCAAATCTACAAATAGAAAATATAATATTCCGAACTTCGTCTGCACATATACCTACAGCCATTCCTAGACGATAGTTGATGGCAATTTCTCCTGAAAAGTTAATACTTATAGGTTTCACACTATTGCACAACATCAGAAGAAAAATTTTCCGATTTTCGCAATTAAAATTGTACCATTTTGTTAGCATAAGTGTGGTGAAAGTATTTTCAGACTGAAAAAAAAAACAGATAGAAAAAATACAAGCATTTGTACATGAATTTACTTCGTCTTGTAAAGCTTCGCCTGCCATAATTGTGGTAACAATGCAGGAACCAGCGACGATATTAAAGAGTAAATCAGAGCATATGACGATGGTCGCTGACTCTCCTATATACTAGAAGTAGAAAGACTGTGACTCAATAACTAAAAAATATAAACATACAAGGAAAGAATAAATACCCATAAACAAAAGAACAGCAGCGCCTGCACTAAATGGCAATATTAGCTTGTCCATAATTCGGAGAGTATGAGTTCGCCATCTGGAAATAAGTTGAAACAATATTTTTCCAAATGAACAAAATTTTGCAGCTACCTTTTAAATTCACAATGTCTCTTGACCAGGAAATTGAGTCTACGTCTAACTTCTCTTTGATATCTTTCATCATACACTAAATATTCTTCTTCGTTTTCTTCTGGATCCATCATTGTACAAATTTCCTCAATGTGCTTGTTGAACAAATACATTTGAAACTTCACATGGTGACTTGTATAAATTACCTGCAATGGGTGAGCCATGAAAGCAAAAATTATCACGTGAGATGTTAGTTTTAAAACAGAGAGAAGGTAGTCACATGTGTGTAAAACCAAATTTCTGGGTGGAAGAATGGCGAACGACGAGTATACAACTATAGTGGCCCATAGTAAAGCTAAGAATGATGCCACGATTGTAAAAGTTCTAATTACTTTCGTTTCCTTTTGTATTCTGTTTTTGATTTTCTCACCAGCTGTGTCGATTTCCCAAAGTGGCAAAATACTCATGACGTCGTCAATCAACTTATTTTTGTATAAATGGACGAACGAAACAAATACGGTCTAGAAAAGACGTGTACTACTATGAAAACTCGACATGGACATCGTTACATAAGACATTTGTGCAAAGCTTGGTTCATGTTTACTTAGTTTAAAAACATTGGATGACCAAACGAAAAAGTAGATTTGAATCAATAAAATGGGAGGGATGGTGAAAAGCAAAAATTTAAATGCGAATTTGAGGAATTTGTTCTGAAAGATCTTATATCCTATAACGTATACCAGTTTTAGAGGATCATCTAAAAGTATTAAAATTTAACAAATTATTAAAGCGGTGGTTACAACAATTAGTTTCACTTTTCATTTTCTTTTGACGACGGAAATTCATTTCGCCTCGACTGACGTGACTTTTGAAAAGTACGCATATCACATAAGTACGTGATTATATATGTATGAGTTAGAAATATTGGTTAAAAATGTTGGTAATTTTGAGGACGATAATTTTGGAAGAAACGGAAAGTTTTTGGAGGTATGTATTTTCCACGATTACAAGTCATAAAAATTGCTCGACGGTTATTTGGACAGAAGTTCGCTCGACTTTGACGTATAGTCCGACAAATTCCGCTTCTTTAAAAATGTATAACCTCTATAAAGTGAAAACCAAAAGAAGAGAAAACGAAATTTGATTGATTTTGTCTCCTCAAGCCACCTTGCTGTTCAATTTTTGAGACACATGTATTGATTTGGGTAGATTGTCCATTCACCACAGGTATATTTAAGGTTAATGAAAAGAAAACTTTGTTAATAGTTTCTTCGTCTCTTTTATTTTGTTTTGTTTGTTAATAGAAAACTGAGATGGTCGAGTATACCGCTTTGAAAATCTACAAACAAAAAGTAGTAAATCTAAGTTTCAAACATTTTCTGAAAATTTCCTTACAGCCACTCCTAGACGATAGTTTATGGCTATTTCTTTTGAAAAGTTGAGATTTATGGGTTCCATACTGTTGCACAACATCAAGAGAAAGGTTTTTCGATTTGCGCAGTTGAAATTATACCATTTTGTCATCACCAGTGTTGTGAATATGTTATCAGACTGAAAAAAAAAACAGTTAGAAAATGTACAAGCTGTTGTAAATTTACTTCGTCTTGTAAAGTTTCGCCGCAAATAATCATAGTAACAAAACCGGACCCAGCGAGGAAACCAAAAAGTGCGTTGCAGCATGTATTAATTGTCGTTGACTCTGTCGTAGTCTACAAAGAAATATAGATAAATAGGTAAAGACAGAGAAGGCACGATATACCAAGAAAGATAACATGGCCATAAATAAAATAAAACCAACGGCCACACTAAATGGTATTATGAGGCTGTGAACAATTTCTAGAGTGCGAATTCTCCATCTGGAAATAAGACAAAAAAGATTTTGTGAAATTTCTGAAATTTACTCGTACCTCTTGAAATCGCAGTGTCTTCTTACTTGAAGCTTCAGTTTAAGTCTAACTTCTTGTTGGTATATTTCATCGTCCACTAAATTTTCTTCTACATTTTCTGCTTCGTACACACAACAAACTTCCCCAACATACTTGTTGAACAAATATATTTGAAACTTTGCGTGTTGAGTTATATAAAGTATTTGAAATGGGTGAGTTATCATGGCCAAAACGATCACGTGAGATGTTAATTTTACAACAAAGAACAAGAAGTTGCATGCGCATAGAAGAAAATTTCTAGGTGGAAGAATAGCAAGCGAAGAATAAACGAATGTTACTAGACTTATCCATAATAAGGCTGCTAAAGTATTAGAGATTACGAAAATTTTAAGTATCCGTATTTCCTTTGTAATTTTGGTTTTGATTTGATCGCCAACTATGTCGATGTCCCAAAGTCGAAAACAACTCATGATGTCGTCAATCCAATTACTTGTGTATAAATGCACAAAAATGGCAAACGCGGCCTAGAAAAAACGTGTAGAATTGTAAAACGTGGACACGAATTATTTTACATAAGCCATTTGCGAAAAGATTAGCCCATATTTTGTTAATTTACTAAGGTTTGGCGACGACAAGAAAAAGCAGATCTGGATGAGTAAAATCAGGAGAATAATGCAACATAAAAATTTTAATAATAACTTAACGTGTTTGTTCTGGAACAGCTTATATCCTACTATATATACTAGTTTCAGGGGATCATCTAAAATAATAATAAACAACCATTAATAAAGTTTATTGGATATGTTTAATTTTACCTTTCATTTCATTTTGGTGTTGGAAATACATTTCTCGTCAACTGGCGTGGCGTTTGGAGAAAAAAACCATTACCTACATATTTATTAGTTAAGGAAGGGTTATCAGTATTGATTTACAATTTTCGTAACTTGGAATGAAAGTATTTCTTATCGTGATAATTATGGTAATATAATATTTTCGAAGATTACGAATGAGCGAACGTAAAAGTTGAGTTAAAGTAGTAATAATAAAGACGGCTAATTGTCGTTCTTATCTCTTTCACTATAATTGTGCTAAGTCAAGGAAAAACAGTATTATTGCAGATGAAATGAGCGACTGTTGTGGATCACATACTCCACCTACACTATCTTTTTCTTATTAAAAACTGTGACTTCATTTTTTCCTTCCGATTGCCAAAATAGAATTCGTTTCCCATTTTACGCTGAATAAAGTAAGTCAGTAAAATAGGGAAAGGAGTTGAGGGATAAGTTTAGGTTTTGTCTAGTCTTATGAGCAATCAGTAGCCCCGCCCACCCATCCCTTCTCCATTCCAGTGAACATTCTTAATAGTGTTCAGTTTTTTCTTTGCAGATTCTGTCTGACCCGCCCTCTATTTTCTTAGAGGGTAAATCATTCATCAAAATCGGTCTTATATTGGCAGGTACTAATCCTACTCACCCTCCCAGTTCCCATTCTAACGAATTCTGTTCAGTATAGGATCCTCCTTTCATTCTAACTTGATAAAACGAATCATTGAAATAGAGGCGGGTGGGTGGGCGGGGTTAATTATATGTTCTTTTGTAGAGTGGAAATGGGAACTAATAGAACGTAGACTGATGAGGAAACGGGTGGGTGTTCAGTTTTAATAACGATTGTAAATGGAATAATTTAATGCAAATAAGTTCCAAAATATTTTTCAGAATTGTTTATACAGGGTGACTCAGGTAAGTTAATGAACGAGTCAATTTATTTGATTGATTAAATCAGGAATCGTGAGTATTTATTGTTGGTATTATGTACTTACACTGCACCTATTCAAGTTGCTGTAATGTAAGTGTCCTTGTAGAAATGTTGATGGCGTCATCACAATTGTTTTTAATGTAAACAGTCGCTTAAAACATACACATAGCATGCTTCTTTACCTTTATTTTCAGATTATATATACCTATAACTTTATTTTAACTTTTCGATTAGGTCAGATGTTCCAATTTCTCGATTTTTCAATTTTTCGATTTTTATTTTTCAAATATAGTTTTTAGTTTAGTTTGGTGTTGGAGATTCATTTTGCTTCGACTGGCGTGGTTTTTAAAAAGTAAGTACGTTAATAAGTGCCTAATGAATGATGATTTATGGGTTATGTATCTAGCAGTTAGATTTATTTATTATTGATTAGTAATAATGTTCACAATTCTGAAAGAATAGATAAGGCGGATAGTTATATATTATGTATTAATTGTACATAAATGGGAAATATTTTTGTCGACATGATTTCCTCCAGATACGTATATATTGAAGTCTCATCTTCCACTACTTAAACTACGTATTTTAGTTGTTTTTACAAATCTTTTTTTTTAAGTGGGCTTATTAATACTTTGTTAAAATTTAGTTTAATGGTGAATCGACAAAACCCAAGTGTAGCAGAAGTAGATACTTTGTTACCGAGATTATTTAGAACGACAACTTAGGAATTAATTGCGCCATTTTGTTGCTCAATTTTGAGATAGACTGTACATTCATCACAGATATATTTAAAGCTGCTTACATAATAGATTAAAATTACAATTCTAAGTGAGAAACTCAAAATAGAATCCACATAAAAATAATAACATCTGTACGCCTCCATAAAAGAAGAATGAAAAGAAAATTTTGCAAAATTTTGAAGCTTCGCTTAAATCCTACGTGAATTCTTAATAAATATAATAATTTCTTCGTTGACTTCACTTTGTTTTGGTTGTTAAATAATAGAAAACTGAGATGGTCGAGTATACCGCTTTGAAAATCTACAAACAGAGCAGTAAATCTGAGATTTCGAAAATTTTCTGAAAGTTTCCTACAGCCACTCCTAGACGATAATTTATCGCTATTTCTTTAGAAAAGTTGAGATTTATGGGTTCCATACTGTTGCACAACATCAAGAGAAAGGTTTTTCGATTTGCGCAGTTGAAATTATACCATTTTGTCATCCTCAATGTTGTGAATGTGTCATCAGACTGAAAAAAAAAACAGTTAGAAAATATACAAGCAGTTGTAAATTTACTTCGTCTTGTAAAGTTTCGCCGCAAATAATCATAGTAACAAAACCGGACACAGCGAGGAAACCAAAAAGTGCGTTGCTCCATGTACCAATCGCCGTTGACTCTGTCGTTGTCTACAAAGAAATATAGGTGAATAAATAAAGACAACGAAGGAACGATATATACCAAAAAAGAATACATGCCCATAAATAAAATAAAACCAACGGCCACACTGAATGGTATTATGAGGCTATTAACAATTTCTAGAGTGCGAATTCTCCATCTAGAAATAAAACAAAAGATATTTTGTGAAATTACTGAAATTTACTCGTGCCTCTTAAAATCGCAGTGTCTTCTTACTAGAAGCTTGAGTCTAATTCTAACTTCTTCTTGATATATTTCATCGTCCAGTAAATTTTCTTCTATATTTTCTTTTTCATGCACACAACAAACTTCCTCAACATACTTGTTGAACAAATACATTTGAAACTTTGCGTGTTGAGTTATATAAAGTATTTGAAATGGGTGAGCTATCATGGCCAAAACGATCACGTGAGATGTTAATTTTACAATAAAGAATAGGCAGTCACATGCACATAGAAGAAAATTTCTAGGTGGAAGAATAGCGAACGCAGAATAAGTGAATATAATTAGACTTATCCATAATAAGCCTGCTAACGTATTAGAGACTACAAAAATTGTAAGTATCTGCATTTCCTTCTTGATTTTAATTTTAATTGTTTCGCCAGCTGTGTCGATATCCCAAAGTGGAAAAGAGTTCATGATGTCGTCAATACAGTTATTTGTGTATAAATGTACGGAGATGGCAAACGCGGCCTAGAAAAACGTGTAGAATTGTAAAAAGTGTATTCGAATTATGTTACATAAGCCATTTGCGAAAAGATTAGTCCATATTTTGTTAATTCACTGAGATTTGGTGACGACAAGAAAAAACAAATCTGGATGAACAACACCAGGGTAATGGTGCAAAGTAAAAGTTTTAGTAATAACTTAACGAGTTTGTTCTGGAACAGCTTATATCCTACCATATGTACTAGTTTCAGAGGATCATCTAAAAATAATAATAAACAATTAGTAATTAATAAGTTTATTAATGTTCATTGGTTATGTTTAATTCACCTTTCATTTCATTTTGGTGTTGGAAATCCATACCGATTTTGAACAATTATAAATTTGATTTCAGAATTTTCAAATGAGAACTGCAGTGCCATCACAACATGAAAACAAATTTTCAAAAAACATTCTTTCGAGGATTAATTAGCATTAATTAGAGAGAATGATCAATTTGCTTCGACGACGACTACAAGACTAGAAACAAAACATTGCTGGAAGGAATAAATGTTGGAAAAAACTTAAATAGCGAATTAAGGAAAATCGAAACGATTAATGAATAATAGATAGGGAAAATGAGTTAATTTACCAGAAGCACTGTGGGGACAGGAGAAAATTGATCCAAGTTTATTTCCAGAGAACTTCCTTCGCTTCTGAAACAAATACTGCTTCTACCGTGATCCGCAACGAAGGGATGAAAGCTGTGGAAGTTCTTAAGAAGAAGAATGCAAGTTGAGGAACTTATACGAACAAGCAGCAAGATGATATTGGAATAGAAAGAAGATTAAATAAGAAACGAATGAAGACAATATTTCGCTGAGCATGCAGTGATTCACAATTAAAATTATACAATTTTCTTAGCATAAATAAATAAGTATCTACAAGCAGTATTAATTTTACTTCGTCTTGTCTATGATCAATTCAAACTTTCAAGTTGACGGTAATCTGCCAAGACGAAATTTCCGAGAAGAATTGTATTTTCTTATACTTAAATTACAACGGATGTACAATAATAAATGTATTTGGAGTAGACATTGGAATTATTTCTCGTTTATTTATCACAAGGTAATTATTAATCAACTAACGTGGCCTTTGAGAAGTCATAGAACATAAGAACGTAATTATGTATGTATTAAGTACAGGTCAGAATTATTGATTAATAGTCTTTATATGTTAAGGATAATGGTACTTGACAAACTCATCACAATAAAAAGAAAACTATAAAATATTGTTATATACTTACAATATATTGAACTCCCAACTTTCACTATTCAAACAACGTGTTCTCTTCCTGTTTACCAAATGTTTTTTTTTAAGTGGGACTATATCGCACAAGTCTACTCGTTTTTCAGATAAAAATCATTGAAAGTTTACTAAAGAGATAAATTAATGGCGTTGACGGGAGAGGTAAATTTAAAAAACTGAAAAAAATTCTCAGAGGGTTGTTAGCAAGATGCTACAGCCAACAACACTGTCATCTCTACCTCAAAATGATGGTTTCATTAGGACTGTCTGGAGACCCAATCATGGCTGATTTAGACGTTTTGTTTACACCGTCGGCATGGAAACCGTACGTATGACGTATGGAACTTACTTTTTGGTTCTGGTTCGTGGTAGTTGAATCTCTTTGCTTATCTTTGTCAAAGAATAGCAAAAGTGTATAAGGGTGAAGAACGAGTTGAAGAATGGATTCAAGCACTCATTCAATTCGTCAGTCAAAATGTTTTACTTTGATTTGTCAGGAGTTTAACGTTATTATATTGTATTCGAACTAGAATAGTTTCTTCAGATATCTTAGTGTCTTGTAATCATCGCAATTAATAAAATACAATAAATATTGTGTATTTTCATTCATAACGAGCATCTAGGTCGTGAAAGTGGCGTAGTCGGTAACATTTACAAAAATTTTACGGTAAGTTTGGTGTTGAGACGAAAATGCAGATTTGGAGGAGTAAAATTAGTGGAATAATGCACAAGAAACACTTCAATATAGACTTGAGTCCTTTCTGAGAAATCTTATATTCTACAAGATAAGCTGGTGTTAAAGGACTATCTCCAAAAATTCAGAACAAAATTATTAATTGTGGTGCATGTGGTTATTTTTATCTTTCATTTCACTTTGATGTTGGACAACCATTTCGTTTCAGGTAACGTGGCTTTTGAAAGTTAAGTATAATTAGGTGATTATTTTGTGTGAGTTAAGGTCATCGTAGTATTGATTAATAAACTTCGAAAGAACAGTGATATTAGTGAAGTAAAGGACGTAATTTATTTAGAGTTAAGAATACAAATATCATAACCTCGCCACAAAAAGCACAAAGTAATTATAACTATAATCAGAAAAGTAATTTCTTAAATAATCCTCTAATAACATGAACTATAAATAAAACCAGAACAGTTTGTTACCACTCTTATCATTTTTTGCTTTACTTTATCATAAAAAAAAATAAAATTCAAGTTACAATAGACTATCATACACGATTCAACAAAAAAGACACATTTATTTCTACAAGAAAACTGAAATTGCCGAATATACCGTTTTGCAAATCTACAAATAGAAAATATAATATTTCGAACTTCGTCTGCACATATACCTACAGCCATTCCTAGACGATAGTTGATGGCAATTTCTCCTGAAAAGTTAATAGTTATAGGTTTCACACTATTGCACAACATCAGAAGAAAAATTTTCCGATTTTCGCAATTAAAATTGTACCATTTTGTTAGCATAAGTGTTGTGAAAGTATTTTCAGACTGAGAAAAAAAAAACAGTCAAAAAAAATACAAGCATTTGTAAATTAATTTACTTCGTCTTGTAAAGCTTCGCCTGCCATAATTGTGGCAACAATGCAGGAACCAGCGACGATATTAAAGAGTAAATCAGAGCATATGACGATGGTCGCTGACTCTGCTATATACTAGAAGTAGGAAGACTGTGACTCAATAACTAAAAAAATATAAACATACCAGGAAAGAATAAATACCCATAAACAAAAGAACAGCAGCGCATGCACTAAATGGTAGTATTAGCTTGTCCATAATTCGGAGAGTATTAGTTCGCCATCTGGAAATAGTTGAAACAATATTTTTCCAAATGAACAAAATTTTGCAGCTACCTTTTAAATTCACAATGTCTCTTGACCAGGAAATTGAGTCTACGTCTAACTTCTCTTTGATATCTTTCATCATACACTAAATATTCTTCGTTTTCTTCTGGATCCATCATTGTACAAATTTCCTCAATATGCTTGTTGAACAAATACATTTGAAACTTCACATGGTGACTTGTATAAATTACCTGCAATGAGTGAGCCATGAAAGCAAAAATTATCACGTGAGATGTTAGTTTTAAAACAGAGAGAAGGTAGTCACATGTGTGGAAAACCAAATTTGTTTGTGGAAGAATGGCGAACGACGAATATACAACTATAGTGGCCCATAGTAAAGCTAAGAATGATGCCACGATTGTAAAAGTTCTAATTACTTTCGTTTCCTTTTGGATTCTGTTTTTGATTTTCTCACCAGCTGTGTCGATTTCCCAAAGTGGCAAAATACACATGACGTCGTCAATCAACTTATTTTTGTATAAATGGACGAACGAAACAGTATTTGTTTCGTTCGTCCATTGGTCCAGAAAAGACGTGTACTACTCAGAAAACTCGACATGAACATCGTTACATAAGACATTTGTGCAAAGCTTGGTCCATGTTTACTTAGTTTAAAAACACTCGATGACCAAACGAAAACGCAGATTTGAATCAGTAAAATCGGAGGGATGGTGAAAAGCGAAAATTTTAATGCGAATTTGAGGAATTTGTTCTGAAAGATCTTATATCCTATAATGTATACCAGTTTTAGAGGATCATCTGAAAATATTAAAATTTAACAAATTATTAAAGCGGTGGTTACAACAATTAGTTTCACTTTTCATTTTCTTTTGACGACGGAAATTCATTTCGCCTCGACTGACGTGACTTTTGAAAAGTACGCATATCACATAAGTACGTGATTATATACGAGTTAGAAATATTGGTTAATAATGTTGGTAATTTTGAGGACGATAATTTTGGAAGAAACGGGAAGTTTTTGGAGGTATGTATTTTCCACGATTACAAGTCATAAAAATTGCTCGACGGTTATTTGGACAGAAGTTCGCTCGACTTTGACGTATAGTCCGACAAATTCCGCTTCTTTAAAAATTTATAACCTCTATAAAGTGAAAACCAAAAGAATTTGGCCATTAGGACGTTCAGATTACAAGTATTAGCGGTTAAGAGAAAATTAAATTTGATTGATTTTGTCTCCTCAAGCCACCTTGCTGTTCAATTTTTGAGACACATGTATTGATTTGGGTAGATTGTCCATTCACCACAGGTATATTTAAGGTTAATGAAAAGAAAACTTTGTTAATAGTTTCTTCGTCTCTTTTATTTTGTTTTGTTTGTTAATAGAAAACTGAGATGGTCGAGTATACCGCTTTGAAAATCTACAACCAAAAAGCAGTAAATCTGAGTTTCGAACATTTTCTGAAAATTCCTTACAGTCACTCCTAGACCATAGTTTATGGCTATTTCTTTTGAAAAGTTGAGATTTATGGGCTCCATACTGTTGCACAACATCAAGAGAAAGGTTTTTCGATTTGCGCAGTTGAAATTATACCATTTTGTCATCACGAGTGTTGTGAATGTGTTATCAGACTGAAAAAAAAAACAGTTAGAAAATATACAAGCAGTTGTAAATTTACTTCGTCTTGTAAAGTTTCGCCGCAAATAATCATAGTAACAAAACCGGACCCAGCGAGGAAACCAAAAAGTGCGTTGCAGCATGTATTAATTGTCGTCGACTCTGTCGTAGTCTACAAAGAAATATAGATAAATAGATAAAGACAGAGAAGGCACGATATACCAAGAAAGAAAACATGGCCATAAATAAAATAAAACCAACGGCCACACTGAATGGTATTATGAGGCTGTGAACAATTTCTAGAGTGCGAATTCTCCATCTGGAAATAAGACAAAAGATATTTTGTGAAATTTCTGAAATTTACTCGTGCCTCTTGAAATCGCAGTGTCTTCTTACTAGAAACTTCAGTCTAAGTCTAACTTCTTGTTGGTATATTTCATCGTCCACTAAACTTTCTTCTATATTTTCTTCTTCGCGCACACAACAAACTTCCTCAACATACTTGTTGAACAAATACATTTGGAACTTTGCGTGTTGAGTTATATAAAGTATTTGAAATGGGTGAGCTATCATGGCCAAAACGATCACGTGAGATGTTAATTTTATAATTAAGAACAAGCAGTCACATGCACATAGAAGAAAATTTCTAGGTGGAAGAATAGCGAACGAAGAATAAACGAATGTAACTAGACTTATCCATAATAAGGCTACCGTCGTATTAGAGATTACAAAAGTTGTAAGTATCTGCATTTCCTTCTTAATTTTGATTTTAATTTTTTCGCCAGCTGTGTCGATGTCCCAAAATCGAAAACAACTCATGATGTCGTCAACCCAGTTACTTGTGTATAAATGCACAAAGATGGCAAACGCGGCCTAGAAAAAACGTGTAGATTTGTAAAAGGTGGACACAAATTATGTTACATAAGCCATTTGCGAAAAGATTAGCCCATAATTTGTTAATTTACTAAGATATGGTGACGACAAGAAAAAGCAGATCTGGATGAGTAAAATCAGGAGAATGATGCAAAGTAAAAATTTTAGTAATAATTAAACGAGTTTGTTCTGGAACAGTTTATATCCTACTACATATACTAGTTTCAGGGCATCATCTAAAAATAATAAACAATCAGAAATAAATTTATTATTGTTATTGTATATGTTTAATTTTACCTTTCATTTCATTTTGGTGTTGGAAATACATTTCTCGTCGACTGGCGTGGCGTTCGGAGAAAAAAACCTTTACCTATATATTTATTAGTTAAGGAAGGGTTATCAGTATTGATTTACAATTTTCGTAACTTCGAATGAAATTATTTATTATTGTGTTAATTATGGTAATATATTAGTTTCGAAGATTACGAATGGTCGAACGCAAAAGTTGAATTAAAGTAGTAAGAGTCAACGAAAAACGGTAGAAAACATCAGTTTAATTTTAAGTGGTAAATCCCCAGAAATTAATGTACAATTAGGTCCGAACACTGTGTGTTAAAGCACACACTAAATACATCTGTCGATGTAGAAAGAAGTTTTTCTTTTCATCTGTTTTGAGGCGATAAACTCATTCAAATCTAACAAATATCTACGTGACATTCTTTCGATGTATGAACATTAATATTTTTAATACTACGCTCTGTTCTCGTTGATAATGTGCTGGAAATATATTTTTTGCACTCATGACCATTTTTCATGAGTTTCGCGCTTCCACCAGGATACGGAGGTCGAACTTTGGGGTTACTTTATACACAACTTCCCTCGCCCTTGAAATACAGTCGAACAAATACATCGTTTAGCTCGGTGTTGTGGAAATACACGTTCTATGAAGTGCAAGATATTCGCATAAGCGTAAGCGAAAAAAGTATTGTAATCGAGTCTCTCGGGGGGCTACTGGCTACTTTTATGTTTTCTCGATATTTCATGACCCATAGAGTATGAAAAATTAGGTCTCGTGGCTCAGTCTGTGTCCGTCTGTTCAGATTTTTACTAGGCAGATAATCCCCAAAACTACCGGACCGATTGTATTTTATATGTGTAATACAGTAATATATTTTTAATACCGATTTTATCTTGTTTTATTGAATTGAGGTGTAATTTTTGTGAGAGAGGAAAAACTTGTTTGCCCTTTTCTATTTAATCATGAGCCGAAATAGCTCAGCTGGGAGAGCGTTAGACTGAAGATCTAAAGGTTCAATCCCGGGTTTCGGTATAATTTTTTTTTATTGTAGAATTTTCAAATATTGCTTTTTTGTTTCGTTATTTTAGCTACAAGTAAACTATATTGCGTCATAAAAAAATGGTAACAGTTTTATCTGTATAAGGTAAAATTATTTGTAAAAAAAAGTTTGCCGAAACCCGGGATTGAACCGGGGACCTTTAGATCTTCAGTCTAACGCTCTCCCAACTGAGCTATTTCGGCTGATAGCTCATATCATCCTGATTAACAAGCAGACACGTTTCGTAGATTCTAAAAACGATACATGTAAATATTAAATAACATATTGTTTTTACTTTCAGGTCGCTCGTTTCCGTCTGTCTGTCTGCTGTCTACCGTCTGTCCGGATTTTTATTAAACAAATAATCTCCGAAACTACTGAAAAATTAAATTTTACATTGTATAGATGTCGTCAGTTTTCTTTGTATAACATGATTACTTAAGAACATACATAGTTCACATGGAAATTTGATATACATGGCCATCTTTTCACATCAATTTTGCAATTTATGGGCCGGAGTGTAATTTCAAAATTGATATTTCCTATTACAAATTTTCCATTGTAAACATGTTTTAAGTTTCATGTTGTGAAAACAAGTCTACACTAGGATTGGCTGTAAGTATATATGTAGAAGATGTTTGAAATCTCCGACAATTGTTTATGTTTGTAGATTTGTAAAGCAGTATACTCGGCAGTTTCAGTTTTCCATTAAAGACAAGCGTCACTTTTCTTGGTTATACAATTATTGAAAAGTTTGAATTTTTTCTTAATCTCCTAGGACATAATTCAATTTTTCAAACTGTAAGTCATTAACAGTGGAATTACCGTACATTTAGATTTATTAATGAAATACATCGAATAAGTTCGTTTCTTGTTCAAATTCGAATTTGTAAAATTTACCGTTTAAGTGTTACCGACTGCGCCACTTTCACGACCCAGATGCTCGTTATGAATAAAAATAAACAATGTATATTCTATTTTATTAATTGCGATGATTACAAAACACTAAGATATCTGAAGAAACTATTCTAAGATCGAATGCAACATAAAAACGTTAAATGTTGAATGATGATGAGTGATTGGATCCAATCTTCGGCTCGTTCATCACCTTGACATCCTTTGATAAAGATAAGCAAAGAGGTTCAACTACCACGAAGCAGACCCAAAAATAAGCTTTTTCACCTGTTCCAGCAGGATTTGGACAACGAAAAGCGTCGCACTTTGTTTGAATCAAATTCCCCAATTTTTACTTCAGACAACGGTTTCATCTCATCGTGGAAACCGATAGAAGAGAATATTGATTTGCAAAGATAGTGTTAGACCTTAGTATGTAGAATTTTCGAATATAGTACATTTATTCTGAAAACTATAGCTTCTTTTTTTCCTTTAACTGTCATTTAGAAGAACAAAAAAATTTAGTATTGAAAAGGTAAATCTAGTTTAAAAAATTGGTCTAAACAGTTTAGACAGAGATCCTTTAAACCGCTTCAAAATTAGAACGTTGGAGACCCCTGAGATTCTTTAAACCTTTTCAAAAATATAAGGTTGGGGGCCTGAGATTCTTTAAATTGTCCTTTAAAGATGAAACATCGGGAGTCCCTGAGATTCTTTAAACCTTTTCAAAAATATAACGTTGAGGCACTCAGATTCTTTAAATTGTCCTTTAAAGATGAAACGTTGGGAGTCCCTGCGATTCTTTAAACCGCTTCAAAATTAGAACGTTGGAGAGCCTGAGATTCTTTAAACCTTTTCAAAAATATAACGTTGAGGGCTCTGAGATTCTTTAAACTGTCCTTTAAAGATGAAATGTCGGGAGCCCGTGAGATTCCTTGAACCGCTTCAAAATAACAACGTTGGAAACCCCTGAGATTCTTTAAACCTTATCAAAAATATAACGTTGGGGGCCTGAGATTCTTTAAATTGTCCTTTAAAGATGAAACGTCAGGAGTCCCTGAGATTCTTTAAACCTTATCAAAAATATAACGTTGAGGCCCTCAGATTCTTTAAATTGCCCTTTAAAGATGAAACGTCGGGAGTCCCTGGGATTCTTTAAACCGCTTCAAAATTAGAACGTTGGAGAGCCCTGAGATTCTTTAAACCTCTTCAAAAATATAACGTTGAGGGCCCTTAGATTCTTTAAACTGTCCTTTAAAGATGAAACGTCGGGAGCCCTTGAGATTCTTTAAACCGCTTCAAAATTAGAACAACGATTTAGAGCCCTGAGATTCTTTAAATCTTTTCAAAAATATAACGTTGAGGCCCTCAGTTTCTTTAAATTGTCCTTTAAAGATGAAACGTCGGGAGTCCCTGGGATTCTTTAAACCGCTTCAAAATTAGAACAAAGTTTTAGAGCCCTGAGATTCTTTAAACCTTTTCAAAAATATAACGTGGAGAGGCCCTGAGATTCTTTAAACTATCATTAAAACATGAAACGTCGCGAGTCCCTGAGATTCTTTAAACCGCTTCATAATTAGAACAACGTTTTGGAGCCCTGAGATTCTTTAAACCTTTTCAAAAATATAACGTTGAGGGCTCTGAGATTCTTTAAACTGTCCTTTAAAGATGAAATGTCGGGAGCCCTTGAGATTCCTTGAACCGCTTCAAAATAACAACGTTGGAAACCCCTGAGATTCTTTAAACCTTATCAAAAATATAACGTTGGGGGCCTGAGATTCTTTAAATTGTCCTTTAAAGATGAAACGTCAGGAGTCCCTGAGATTCTTTAAACCTTATCAAAAATATAACGTTGGGGCCCTCAGATTCTTTAAATTGCCCTTTAAAGATGAAACGTTGGGAGTCCCTGGGATTCTTTAAACCGCTTCAAAATTAGAACGTTGGAGAGCCCTGAGATTCTTTAAACCTTTTCAAAAATATAACGTTGAGGGCCCTCATATTCTTTAAACTGTCCTTTGAAGATGAAACGTCGGGAGTCCCTGAGATTCTTTAAACCGCTTCAAAATTAGAACAACGTTTTAGAGCCCTGAGATTCTTTAAACCTTTTCAAAAATATAACGTTGAGGGCCCCGAGATTCTTTAAATTGTCCTTTAAAGATGAATCGTCGGGAGTCCCTGAGATTCTTTAAACCTTTTCAAAAATATAACGTTGAGGCCCTCAGATTCTTTAAATTGTCCTTTAAAGATGAAACGTCGGGAGTCCCTGAGATTCTTTAAACCGCTTCATAATTAGAACAACGTTTTAGAGCCCTGAGATTCTTTAAACCTATTAAAAATATAACGTTGAGGGCTCTGAGATTCTTTAAACTGTCCTTTAAAGATGAAACGTCGGGAGTCCCTGAGATTCTTTAAACCGCTTCATAATTAGAACAACGTTTTGGAGCCCTGAGATTCTTTAAACCTTTTCGAAAATATAACGTTGAGGGCTCTGAGATTCTTTAAACTGTCCTTTAAAGATGAAACGTCGGGAGCCCTTGAGATTCCTTGAACCGCTTCAAAATAGCAACGTTGGAAATCCCTGAGATTCTTTAAACCTTATCAAAAATATAACGTTGGGGGCCTGAGATTCTTTAAATTGTCCTTTAAATATGAAACGTCAGGAGTCCCTGAGATTCTTTAAACCTTATCAAAAATATAACGTTGGGGCCCTCAGATTCTTTAAATTGTCCTTTAAAGATGAAACGTCGGGAGTCCCTGGGATTCTTTAAACCGCTTCAAAATTAGAACGTTGGAGAGCCTGAGATTCTTTAAACCTTATCAAAAATATAACGTTGAGGCCCTCAGATTCTTTAAATTGTCCTTTAAAGTTGAAACGTCGGGAGTCCCTGAGATTCTTTAAACCGCTTCATAATTAGAACAACGTTTTGGAGCCCTGAGATTCTTTAAACCTTTTCAAAAATATAACGTTGAGGGCTCTGAGATTCTTTAAACTGTCCTTTAAAGATGAAATGTCGGGAGCCCTTGAGATTCCTTGAACCGCTTCAAAATAACAACGTTGGAAACCCCTGAGATTCTTTAAACCTTATCAAAAATATAACGTTGGGGGCCTGAGATTCTTTAAATTGTCCTTTAAAGATGAAACGTCAGGAGTCCCTGAGATTCTTTAAACCTTATCAAAAATATAACGTTGGGGCCCTCAGATTCTTTAAATTGCCCTTTAAAGATGAAACGTTGGGAGTCCCTGGGATTCTTTAAACCGCTTCAAAATTAGAACGTTGGAGAGCCCTGAGATTCTTTAAACCTTTTCAAAAATATAACGTTGAGGGCCCTCATATTCTTTAAACTGTCCTTTGAAGATGAAACGTCGGGAGTCCCTGAGATTCTTTAAACCGCTTCAAAATTAGAACAACGTTTTAGAGCCCTGAGATTCTTTAAACCTTTTCAAAAATATAACGTTGAGGGCCCCGAGATTCTTTAAATTGTCCTTTAAAGATGAATCGTCGGGAGTCCCTGAGATTCTTTAAACCTTTTCAAAAATATAACGTTGGGGGCCTGAGATTCTTTAAATTGTCGTTTAAAGATGAAACGTCGGGAGTCCCTGAGATTCTTTAAACCGCTTCAAAATTATAACAACGTTTTAGAGCCCTGAGATTCTTTAAGCCTTTTCAAAAATATAACGTTGAGGCCCTCAGATTCTTTAAATTGTCCTTTAAAGATGAAACGTCGGGAGTCCCTGAGATTCTTTAAACCGCTTCATAATTAGAACAACGTTTTAGAGCCCTGAGATTCTTTAAACCTATTAAAAAATATAACGTTGAGGGCTCTGAGATTCTTTAAACTGTCCTTTAAAGATGAAACGTCGGGAGCCCTTGAGATTCCTTGAACCGCTTCAAAATAGCAACGTTGGAAATCCCTGAGATTCTTTAAACCTTATCAAAAATATAACGTTGGGGGCCTGAGATTCTTTAAATTGTCCTTTAAATATGAAACGTCAGGAGTCCCTGAGATTCTTTAAACCTTATCAAAAATATAACGTTGAGGCCCTCAGATTCTTTAAATTGTCCTTTAAAGATGAAACGTCGGGAGTCCCTGGGATTCTTTAAACCGCTTCAAAATTAGAACGTTGGAGAGCCCTGAGATTCTTTAAACCTTTTCAAAAATATAACGTTGAGGCCCTCAGATTCTTTAAATTGTCCTTTAAAGATGAAACGTCGGGAGTCCCTGAGATTCTTTAAACCGCTTCAAAATTAGAACGTTGGAGAGCCCTGAGATTCTTTAAACCTTTTCAAAAATATAACGTTGAGGGCCTTGAGAATCTTTAAACTGTCCTTTAAAGATGAAACGTCGGGAGCCCCTGAGGTTCTTTAAACCGCTTCAAAAGTAGAACGTTTTAGAGCCCTGAAATTCTTTAAACGTTTTCAAAAATATAACGCTGGTGGTCTGAGATTCTTTAAATTGTCTTTTAAAGATGAAACATCGGGAGCCCCTGAGATTCAGTAAATCCTTTTAGAAATAAAACGGTGAGAGCCCTTGAGATTCTTTAAGCCCTTAAAGGCTTTAAAAATTTAGCGTTGGAGGCCACTCACATGCTTTAAACTCTTGTGATAAATAAAACGTCGAGCCCCTGATATTCTTTACCATTTTAGAAATTAAACATTAGAGCCCCTGAGATTCTTTAAATATTTTGAAAAACAGAACGTTGGAGGCCCTGAGTTTCTTTAAACTCTTTTGAAAATAGGACGTCGGGAGCCCCTGAGATTCTTTAATTTGTTCATTAAAGATGATAAAACGTCGAGAGCCCCTGAGATTCTATAAATCGCTTTAGAAATAAAACGTTGAGAATTCCTGAGACTCTTTAGGCCCTCGCTGTCGGAAACGTGACGATGGCATGCCTATTCGTTTTTTTCTCATTACATTTTTGTAGCGGAGCATTTTAAAAAAAATTGCGATGACGTCATCAACATTTTTGCAAGGACACGTATATCAATTTGGATAGATGTAGTATAATACAAAAAAAATAGGGCTAGGCGGTTGAAATTTATGCGCTGCGTATGGACCGCGGCAGACCAGTGGCTCGCAACCAATGTTACGCATCGCGAAGAAAATTATGTCAAAACGAACGTTAACTGAACGTCAGTTGATGATTTTAAAATCCATATCCACGACACAATAATAATAATATTTTTAATCATTTTCGAGTGTCGGTCTCGCTGAAAATAAAAGTATTTCAGTAAATTATTAAAAATGATGATTGACTTTTTCCATATTATGTTCAAAAAGTGGAGATAAGTTCCGAAATTACAGAACCGATTGCTAAATTTATGTGGCACAACGACAACTCACTCGCACAACTAGAGAATACGAGTACTTGCAGAAAAATCACTCTGCAAAAACATACAAAAAAAAAATTGGGACGGCAGACCTATTTATTGGTACTCTAGGGGTCATGAAAAGTCGAGAAAATGTAAAAGTAGAGAGTCGGCCGACGGACTCGATTACAATAATGTCTTAATAAATTTTTCGAAGAACTAGTCCTTCTAGATTTACCTTTTCAATACTGAAATTTTTTTGTTTTTTTAAAGGGCAGGTTCACGAAAAAAACTCCAATTTTGAGAATAATTCTACTTTGCTCGAAAATTATACATACTGAGTTGTAATTATACTGTAACACTATCTCTACAAATCAACATTTTCTTCCTTCGGCGGTCTTGAAAGACTCGTCGACGAGCAGAAACAGTCGTCTGTAATAAAATGTTTATTTTAATTCATAACGAGCATCTGGGTCGTGAAAGTGGCGTAGTCGGAATATTTGCATTCACTTGGTCTTAGGTGATAGAAGTCTTGCTTGAATGAAATAACCGGGTCCGTGGTGAATTTAAATAATATCGTGAGAACATAAATGACAAAAACGAGCTGTCACGATTATTCTTAAAAGAAAACTGAAACTCCCGAGTATACCAGTTTGCCAATCTACAAACAAGAAATATGTAGTAGGTACATCAGCGATTCGACATTTTCTGAAAATACACTCACAGCCATTCCTAGGCGGTAGTCTATAGCAATCTCAGCTGAAAAGCTAAGGTTTATAGGTTTCAAACTGTTGCCCAACATGATTAGAAAATATTTTCTATTTTCGCAATTAAAATTGTACCATTTTGTTAGCATAAGTGTGGTGAACGTATTATCAGACTGGAAAAATAACAATCAGAAAAAATACAAACAGATATAAATTTACTTCGTCTTGTAAAGTTTCGGCTGCAGTTATTGTGGATATAAACGCGGATGTCGCTTGGAGGGTAAAAAGAGCGTTGCACCATAAATCCATGACCGATGACTGATCGCTAGTCTAACAGCAGAAAAATGTATTTTAAACGTAAAAACACCGAAATATCATACCAAAAAAGAATACAGGTCCATAAATAAAAGAACGCCAGCCCCTACACTAAATGGTATTATAAAGTTGCGTATTACATCCAGACACATGGTTCTCCATCTGGGAACAACATGAAAAATTTTCTTCAAATTTCTCTATTGGAGATAAAACTTTACTCGTACCTCTTAAATTCGCAATGTCTTCTAACGAGTAGAGTAAGTCTGAGTCTGACTTCCTCTTGGTATCTTTGATCATCCACTAATCTTTCTTCCTCTGTTTCTTCTTCATCCATACGACAAACTTCCTCGACGTACTTGTTGAATAAATACATTTGAAATTTCACTTGTTGGGTTACATACAGAAATTGATATGTATGACCTAACATAGCAAAGTTTATCACGTAAACTATTAATGATAACATATAGTAGCATGGATTTCGACCATCACTTCTGTGTGGAAGGTTAGTCAACTGGGAGTACATCATTAGACTGACCCAAAATTGACACGATATAGTGTTCGAAATTACGTAATATTTAATAAATTTCGATTCCTTTTTAATTTTGTTTGTGATTGTATCGCCAGCTGTGTCGATGTCCCAAAGTGGAAAATAATTCATGATGTCGTCAATCCACTTGTTTTTGTATAAATGTAAGAATATTACAAAGGCTGCCTAAAAGAATACGTGTAGGATTCTAAAAACTGCGCTTGAATTATATTACATAAGCCATTTGGCAAAAGCTAAGGCCATATTTAATTAATTTTAAAACATCTGGTGACGACACGAAGAAACAAGTCTGGACGCTTAAAATCAGAGAAATCATGCACAGTAAAAATTTTAAAATTAACTTAACGCGTTCGTTCTGAAACATCTTATATCCTAGTACGTACACAAGTTTTAACGGATCGTCTAAAAATATTCATAATTACACAAGTTATTAAGGCTTCTTGAATATATTTAATTTTACCTTTCATTTCTTTTTGATGTTGGAAATTCATTCCGCTTCAACTAACGTGGTCTTTGAGAAGTAATTGAACGTAGTTAACGACGAGTCAGTATTGATTAACAATTTTCGTAATCTAGGAGGAACTCATTATTGTGTTAATTATTGACTACGAGACAATAATAATTATGTCAATTAAACGAAAACGTAATTATTAAAGCAGATGATAGTAGTTATGTGCATCTCACCTACTCTCTCATCAAGCGGGTCGTCTTTATGCTCAACAATTTCCAAAACGCAGAATACCTGACCGAAAACTTTTGAGCGACTGCATAGATGACTGAAAGAGTCCAAGAAAATCTTAGAAGAACAACTATTTTATCCATATTATGTTCAAAAGGTGCAACTGATTGTTGTCAGTAAATCAGGAATCACTGTTTATGACAAGCTTAGATACGGTGATACGAAAACAAAAAATTGAATTTTTTATCTCATCCCTTGTGCCAAATACCAATGCCATTGTGATAAACCAAATTATAAATGTATTGGTCTAGACCCATCTTAACCCTGGTGAACGTAGGGAAAACTATTTGATGTCATTTCTCACTCAATTTGTGATATTTTTGGAGACAGGAATACTAAAAATCTTCAATCATTTTCACCACTTTTATTCCATTATTTTGTTCGACAAGTTAATAAGTAAAAGACTTATCATCGACATAATAATAACAATGCAACCATAAAATCTCTACTTATATGTTGTTCATTGTTACACGAACTTAAAAAAAAATTGAAACTGCTGTGTATACCGCTTTGCCAATCTATAAATAAAAAGCGTATTTGAGAATTCCAACATCGAAAGTATACTTACAGCCATTCCTAGACGATAATTTACAGTAATTTCTCCCGTGAAGTCAATGCTTATGGGTTTGATATTGTTACACAACAGCAACAGAAACGTTTTTCGATTTTCGTTGTTAAAATCATACCATTTTGTCATCACGAGAGTTGTGAATGTGTTCTCAGACTGAAAAAAGACAGTCAGAACAAATACAAGCAGTTATAAATTTACTTCGTCTTGTAAAGTTTCGCCTGCTGTGATTATAATAACGAACCCAATGACAGTCATAAAAGTAAAGATTGCGTTGTTGCATATAACGATGGTCTCTGACCCTTCTAAGCGCTAGAGGGAAAAAATATATATACATATAAGAAGTATCAAACACAATACGTACTAAAAAAGTATACATGCTCATAAATAAAAGAACAGCAACCCCCACACTAAACGGTATTATAAGGTTGCCCATAGTTTGGAGACACTGAATTCGTAATCTGGAAATAAGGACAGGACATTTTTACATATTTTGTGAAATTTCTGTACTTCAAATAAAAATTTCCACTTACCTTTTAAATTCACAGTGTCTTCTGACCACTAGCCGTAGTCTAAGTTTAATTTCTTCTTGGTATTCTTGATCATCCACTAAATCTTCTTCGTTTTCTTTTCCATCCATAAAACAAACGTCCTCGATGTACTTGTTGAACAAATACATCTGAAATTTCAAATGTTGACTTACATAAAGGATTTGAAATGGGTGCGCCATCATAGTCAAAAAAGTCACGTGAGATGTTAGTCTTAAAACGGAGAAAATGTAGTCACATGTATGTAGAAGAAAATTTCTGGACAGAACAACGCCGAACGAAGAATATATAACTAGATTGCCCCATAGCAAACCCGTTAACAGCACCACGATTACAAAAGTTTTGATCATTTTCGTTTCGTTTTTGATTTTGTTTTTGATTTTTTCGCCAGCTGTGTCGATGTCCCAAAGTGGAAAGTTACTCATGGCGTCTTCAATTCCGTTAATTTTGTATATATGAATGAACGAAGCAAAGACGGCCTAGAAAAAACGTGTACCACTCTGAAAGCTCTACCTGAATATTGTTACATAAGACATTTGCGTGAAGATTAGTCCATATTGAATTAGTTTAAGAGAAATTGGTGACGAGACGCAAAAGCCTATCTGGGTGAATAAAATTAGAGGAATGATGAAGATTAAAATTTTTAATATGTATTGAACGAATTTGTTCTGAAAAATCTTATATCCTGCAACATATACAAGTTTTAGAGGATCATCTAAAAATATTTTAGAAAAATTAGTAAATTTAATTAATTGCAGTTAGTTTTACCTTTCAGTTCATTTTGATATCTAAAATTCATTTCTTTTCAGTTAACGTGGCTTTTGGAGACTAGGCAGTATTATGCTTGGGTTACGGTCAGGGTAGACGTATCGATTAATAATCTTGGTAATTTTCAAAGAATAGCTGATGAGGGTAATTATAGTTGTATTACATGAATTGATGGGAAATACGATTCAAAAAATTATCAGACGTATTCTGAGATGATGGTCGAGAGGTGAAAAAATGTTTTCGAAACGTTTTGGACTAGATTCATTGGGTGTAAAAGCGTAGGTACCAACGGAAATTGTTTGATTAGTTTTGTGAACAAATAAATTATCATTTATTATCATTATTAAATCCGACACTTTACTTAATTTTACCGAAAGTTATACCAGTGAACAAATGACAATATTAGTCAGAAATTTATTAATTTTTTAAATAAAAATTGCAATACTCGACTAATATTATATACTAAAGCTAATAAAGTATTTTTTTTTCAATTTTCTAAAATTAAAAAAAAAATTTAAATACAAAAAATAAATAAGTTAGATGTCATAATATCGCTTCTGCGTGACATTTTTCCGATGTATAAACAAACACTTGAAGTTAAAGCTTGTCGCTATCCTTCCATTCATATTTTTTAGTTTTGCTTATAGGGGGTGTCTCAAAACAATTAATCACTGAGTCAATTTATTTTATTGGTTGAATCAAGAATTGCAAAACTGAATTTTGAAATATTGCAGACGTTTTGAAGTTACTGTTTGAGATGGTACGTTTTTAATCAAAATATATCTGTTTTCCAAGCCCAAAAACTTGATGACGTATAAATTCTATCTAAAATGTGCAAAATATCATCAGTATATTTTCGTAATTTATCACTGCATTCATATTTTTTGGATCTGCTTTTACAGTGACTCGAAAAAATGTATGGATCAGTCAATTTATTTTAGTGAATAACTCAAGAGTTACAGAAATGAATACTTTGAGATCTTGCAGACGTCTTAAAGTTATTGTAAGCATGGTAAATTGTTAAGAATATTTATTTATTCCCCCCAAAAAATTGATGGAACGGCTCACTCGATTTTCGCAGATAATTTTGGGAATACAATACAGTTATTTTTAGTATTACACTGCACCAATCCAAGGTGGTATACGTGTTGATCGTTAGGTCATCACAAAATTGTGTGAAGAAAAGACTCAACTCGAAGATGCTGAATAAGTTTCATTATATATGCTTTTGGTGAGAAGGAAGTTCTGTCGAAACAACGTTCGATAAAGGAAGAATGGTTAGAATGGGATATAAAAAGTTATCTGTAGACGGGAGAAATTTTGAATGGAATGAAGAAGAGAGCAGATTCAAAAAGGTAGAAAATTTTTAGTAAAGAGCCAAAAGAAAAGGAAGAAAAGGAGGAAAAATGGAAGGAAACAAGGCAAAGGATAACGAAAAGGAATAGGGAAATTGGAAAAAGGTAAACTGGTATAAAATTAGGAGAAAAAAGTGATGAAGGTACTGTTTTGGAATGTCCAAGGGTTGCAAAAAAAGGAAAAGGAGTTCCGGGACTACGTGGAAAAATTTGATATGGTGGGGCTGGTAGAGACATGGGTACAAAGAGAAAACTAGGAGAAATTGGAAAAGACACTACCACAAGAATATGCGTGGGAGTGTCAAGAGGCGACAAAGGAAAAGAAAAAGGGGAGAGCAAGCGGGGGAATAGTAATGGGAATTCGAAAAGGAATGCAAGAATTGGAAAAGGAAAATAATACAGCTGGATAACAATCGATGGGAAATAATAATCGTTTATAGCAAGAAAATGGAGGAAACCAAGATAAACATAGAAAAGGAAATAAAAGAAAAAGGAGATTAAAAAATACCTATAGGAGGGGATTTTAACGCAAGACTGGGCGATAAGGGGACAAGAATAATGGATAAAGAAAAGTGGGAGAAAAGAGGATCAAAAGACAAAGCAAATAACAAAGAAGGGAAAATATTGTGGAAGATAAGATAAGATAACAGAAGTTACGTAGGGGCTAGGAGAGAATCAATTATAGACTATGGGATTGTCAATGAAGAGGCGTGGGAAGAAATAGAGAGTTTCAAAGTGGGGGAAAGGGTAGAATCACACCACATGCCACTAGAAATAAAAATCAAAGGAAAAGAGCAAGAGTACGAAAAACAAGAGAGAAGAAACGAAAGAAAAGAAATAGAAAAAAGACAAAGATACAGAAGTGGACTAGAAAAAAAAAGAAATTTAAAGTAAACGAAGATATAGAAGCTATGATAGCACAACTGACCAACTTAATTGTAGAAGCTACGGAAAAAAGGAAGTTATATGTACATATGGCAATTGATGAATAATGGATGTAACGGAGAATGTAGTGAGTTGAAGAGAAAAGTAAGGAAAAAATTAAGAAAATGGAAGAATAACAAGGGAAGGAAAGAAGAATACCTAGGAGATATAGATTAAATGTTCAGAAAAGCACAGACAGGAGGGGTGGTAGTGGGCAAAAAGTAAGTGTAGTCGTTGGCGTACGTAGATGATTTGGTGATTGTGGCAAAGAAAAGGGAAGAAATGAAAACAATGATTAAAAGTTTCGAGAAGTTTGTAAAAAAAAGGAATTGGAAGTAAATGTTGAAAAAACAAAAATTGTGGTGTTTGGGAAAAAGTAAGAAAGGAGAAGGAAGAGTGGGCATGGAGAAGCAAGAAGATTTAACAGATGAAAGAAACAGAGAAAGACAAGAAAAACAACAAGGTTATGTCGAATCAGGAAAGGATTGAGAGTGGTCAGATTGGTGACGTTTTTGCGGCCTGGCGAGAAAGAGCTGATAGTGAGGGAAGCGGAATACTGGAAAGAGAAAGAGAAGAATGGAAACAAATGGAGAGAAGCTTCGAAGAAAGAATCAATAATTTAGAGAAGAATGTGGAAAAAAAGAGAGGTAAGAAAGAAGAAACAATTTCATAATTACGGGTATGGAAATAAAGGAAAGAACAGATGCAAAAGAAGAAGAGGAATTTTTGAAAAAAGAAATTGAGGTAGAAGTAAAAGTGTTGGAAACAATAATTATAGGGAAAGAGGAAAGCAAGAAAATACTGGTTAAGACGCTTTGGGAGGAAAAACAAGAGGTGATGAAGAATAAAAATAAACTGAGAGGAAAGAGAATATATATTGATAATGATTGGACAGTACAAGAGCAAAAAATTCAAAAAGGAATTAGGGAGATAGCTAAAGAGGAAAGAAAAAAAGGATACACAACAAAGGTGGGATATAAGAAGCTGGAAGTAGGGGACAAAATGTATATATGGAATGAAAATAAAGGAAAATTGGAAGAAAAATTTCTCAAATCAAGTCAGCACTAACCGAAGAAAGAAACACAAAGGGGAGGGGTAGTAATGATGGGACAAATAAAGACTTTAGGTTTAAGAATGTAGATTTTGTACATAACAGGGGAATGGGAAAGAAGAACGGGGAAAATAAAAGTGGTTTAAAATTACTCTTTTGGAATATTGCGGGTTTGAAAAAGAAAGATAACTTATTTTGGAACTACGTGAAAAATTTTGATTTTGTGGGACTAACAGAAACATGGATACTAGAGAGAGACTGGAACAAACTGAAAGACGTGTTGCCAAGGGAATTTCAGTGGAAATTGCAAGGGGTAAAAAAAGAAAAACACAATGGTAGAGCAAAAGGTGGAATCATAATAGGAGTGAAGAAAGATATAAAAGAAATAGGAGAGGGGGCAATAGAAATGGAAGGCTTAGTTGAAAGAAAACGGATTGTAAATAAAAAAAGATGGAGAATCTGCACAATATATAGTAGAGGAATGAGAAACACGACACAAGAAATACAAGAAAAAATCGAAGAGTCCGAAGAAGAATTTCTATTGTTAGGTAGGGACTTTAATGCCAGAATAGGGAACAAAAGCAGGGAAAAAGACGGGGAAAACACACGAAAATCGAAAGATAAAGTAGAAAATAAAGACGGAAAATTGCTATGGAAATTAATTGAAGAAAGAGGTTAGGAAGTCTTGAATGGGGTGAAGGAAGGAGACGAGGAGGGAGAATTTACCTGGATAGGTAAAAGAGGGGAATCGGTAATAGACTACGTAATAGTAAACGGATTAACAGAAGAAGAGGTAGAAACATTCAAGATAGGAGAAAGAGTGGACTCCGATCACATGCCACTAGAAGTAAAAGCGAGGGGCATAAGTAGAGGGAGCGGATGCTTAAGGAATAAAGTAGGAAAAGAGAAGAAGGTATGGGTATGGAATGGAAAAGGAATTGAGCATTATAAAAAAAAAATGTTGGAAGTGGAATTTAAAGAAAGAGGAACTAAAAAGAACATGGAAGAATTAAAAAGAGAAATTGAAAAAGCAGCCATAAGAAAAGAAATTGTAACGACAAAATTCAGAAAAGAGAAACAGATGTTTACGAAGGTGGAAAAAGGGGAAAGGTATAAAAGAAGAGTACTGGCAAGCAAAAAATAATTATAGAAACAGATCAAAAGAAAGAAGAGATACAGCAAGAAGAAGAAGAAAAAATTAAAGCCATAAGAACTGAGCAAGAGGTATGGCAGTATATAAATAAAGAACGGAAGAACAAAATAACGATTAGTGAAGACATACCTATAATACAGTGGAAGAAGCATTTTATGAAACTGTTGAATGGAAAGGAAGAGAGAATTGTAGTGCAAGATAGTAAAACCGGGATTGGTGGTAGAGAAAGGGAGGCTGAGATTCGAGTAGAGGAAGTAGGAAGACTGAAAAGAGGAAAAGCACCGGGGAGGGACAGGTTGGTAAACGAAGTGTGGATATTTGGGACGGATGGGATGATTGAAAGATTGAGCGAGTTAATGAATGATGTGTGGACGGGTAAAGGTTTTCCCAGGGAATGGAGAGTAGGCCAAATATGCCCAATTCATAAAAAGGGTAGTAAAGAAAAAGTAGAGAATTATCGGGGAATAACTCTCCTAAATACGGCATATAAACTGAACGCAATGGTGTTAAATGAAAGGTTGGTGACAGAGATGAACGAAAAGAGTATATTACCGGAAAGTCAAGCGGGATTTAGAAGAGGTAGAGGGGCTATGGACAATGTATATATCCTGCATCATCTAATAGAAAAAGAGTTGCTAAAGGAAGGAGGTCGGGTATATGCACTGATTGTAGACCTAAAAGCCGCGTTTGATACGGTGGACAGAGAGTGTTTGTGGGAATGCATGGAAAGAAGAGGACTGAGTGAAAAGTTAATTGTAGCAGCAAGAGAGATTTATAGAGAGACAGTGACTAGTGTGAGAGTGGAAGGAATAGAAAGTGAAATATTTTGGACGACGAAAGGATTGAGACAGGGATGCCCATTAAGTCCCAGTCTGTTTTCTTGTTACATAAACGATATCGAGGAAATGTTTAGAGGAGTACAACCGGGAGGAATTGTGGTGGGGAGAGAAAAAGTATGGTGTTTGGCACTTGCAGATGATTTGGTAATATTGGCGAAGGATGAATGTGGAATGAATGAGATGAAAAAAAAAACTGCAAAGATACTTTAAAAGAAAGAAACTGGAGGTAAATGTAGAAAAAACAAAAATGTTGGTGTTTAGAAAAAAAGGAAGAAAAGGGGAGGAAAAAGTGTGGCGTTGGGAAGATCGAATCATAGACACAGTAAAGGAGTTTAAATATTTAGGATTTAAGTTTACAACAACTAACACGGTAAAAGCACACATAAGAGAATGAAGGGTCAAAGCAATGCAGATAATGGGAATGGTGTGGAGTATAGGTAAGAGAATATTTGGACATGACGTAAGAAGAAGGATGAAAATGTTTGATAGATTAGTTAGGAGTGTATTAATGTATGAAGTGGAGATATGGGGATGGAAGGAATATGCAGAGATTGAAGCAGTACAAGAAAAATATTTGAGGTGAATGTTAGAGCTACGGAAAGAGACGCCAGGCTATATAGTAAGAGAAGAATGTAAAAGAGAGAAATTAAGAGTATACACTGGGAAAAGAGTTGTAAAAAATGATGAAAGGTTGAAAGAAAGAGAGGAATGTAGGATATTGTATGAATGCTTAAAAAAAAAAGGAAGCAGGGAAAGAACATCACAAGGGTGGACAAGGATATTATGAAAGACTGGGATAAGCATGGATGGAAATAGAGAGAAAGAGAGAAATGGGGGTGAGTATGAGAGAAGAGCGAGTGTAAGTAATTCTAGGTACAATGCAGACTATAGATAGATAATAACAGAAACAATATCAAAGTACCTAGACAGAGAAAGCGCGAAAGAAAAAAAAATAATTGCGAGATTTAGGTGTGGGAATGAAGAAAGAAATTATAAGTTTTGGGTAAGCGAAGGTGAGAGAATGTGTAGGATGTGTGGAGAAAGGGGAAAGACGATAGAGCACATGCTGCATGATTGTGAGGAGAGCAAAGAAAGAGAGGAGAGTGTGACAGAGATATTGAATGAAGACGGAAGAGGGGTGGAATAGATGAAAGAAGTGGAGAGGACAAGAGTAAGGCTGGGGCAAGGGGGATGGGGTAAAGGAAAGAAAAAATAGTTATTTAGTTTATAAAATGTATTTATTTGTTTTTTTTTTTAACTAGGGAAAAAAATTGTAGTGTCAAGAATCTTTTTAAGCACGTAGGGTAAAAAATAAACACTTACTACTACTACTACTACTACTAACAGATGAAAGAATTCCAGTACTTAGGATATACATTAAAGCGCAATAACTCAGATAGAGCGCATAGAATAGGAAAGAGAAAATTTGGACATGATTATAAGAGAAGAATGATGATGTTTAATAGTTTGATCAAAAGTGTACTTATGTACGGAGATTTGGGGATGGAGGGAATATGAAGAAAGAGAGAGAGTGCAAGAAAAACAATTAAAATGGACTTTGGAATATACGCCGGAAAATCTTTAGGGTTGTTTACCAGATGTTTGGAATATAGCCTCAGTCACTCCCATATTTAAGAAAGGTGTAAAACTTGAGGTTAACAATTATAGATCTTAAAAATTTTAGCACAGCTTTTGTGATAGCATACACTACATGTAACACGCTTAATGAACGCACTAATAACAGTTTGGTTACATTTTTTTTTTGTTACAATATCAGGAAATCTTTATACGTAGTTAAAAAAAAAATGAAACTGCTGTGTATACAGCTTTGCCAATCTACAAATAAAACGTATAGACGATAGTTTACAGTAATTTCTCTGGAGAAGTCAATGCTTATGGGTTTAATATTGTTACACAACAGCAACAGAAACATTTTTCGATTTTCGTTGTTAAAATTATACCATTTTGTCATCACGAGAGTTGTGAATGTATTCTCAGACTAAAAAAAGACAGTCAGAACAAATACAAGCAGTTATAAATTTACTTCGTCTTGTAAAGTTTCGCATGTTGTGATCATAATAACGAATCCAGACATAGTCATAAAAGTAAAGATTGCGTTGTAGCATATAACAATGGTCTCTGACCCTTCTAAGCGCTACACTAAACGGTATTATAAGGTTGCCCATAGTTTGGAGACACTGAATTCGTAATCTGGAAATAAGGACAGGACATTTTTACATATTTTGTGAAATTTCTGTACTTCAAATAAAAATTTCCACTTACCTTTTAAATTCACAGTGTCTTCTGACCACTAGCCGCAGTCTAAGTTTAATTTCTTCTTGGTATTCTTGATCATCCACTAAATCTTCTTCGTTTTCTTTTCCATCCATAAAACAAACGTCCTCGATGTACTTGTTGAACAAATACATCTGAAATTTCAAATGTTGACTTACATAAAGGACTTGAAATGGGTGGGCCATTATAGTAAAAAAAGCCACGTGAGATGTTAATCTTAAAACGGAAAAAATGTAGTCACATGTATGTAGAAGAAAATTTCTGGACAGAACAACGCCTAACGAAGAATATATAACTAGATTGTCCCATAGCAAACCTGTTAACAACACCACGATTACAAAAGTTTTGATCATTTTCGTTTCGTTTTTGATTTTGTTTTTGATTTGTTCGCCAGCTGTGTCGATGTTCCAAAGTGGAAAGTTACTCATGGTGTCTTCAATTCCGTTAATTTTGTATATATGAATGAACGAAGCAAAGACGGCCTAGAAAAAACGTGTACCACTCTGAAAGCTCCACCTGAATATTGTTACATAAGACATTTGCGTGAAGATTAGTCCATATTGACTTAGTTTAAGAGAAATTGGTGACGAGACGCAAAAGCCTATCTGGGTGAATAAAATTAGAGGAATGATGAAGATTAAAATTTTTAATATGTATTGAACGAATTTGTTCTGAAAAATCTTATATCCTGCAACATATACAAGTTTTATAGGATCCTCTAAAAATATTTTAGTAAAATTAGTAAATTTAATTAATTACAGTAAGTTAGTTTTACCTTTTAGTTCATTTTGATATCTAAAATTCATTTCTTTTCAGTTAACGTGGCTTTTGGAGACTAGGCAGTATTATGCTTGGGTTACGGTCAGGGTAGACGTATCGATTAATAATCTTGGTAATTTTCAAAGAATAGCTGATGAGGGTAATTATAGTTGTATTACATGAATTGATGGGAAATACGATTCAAAAAATTATCAGACGTATTCTGAGATGATGGTCGAGAGGTGAAAAAATATTTTCGAAACGTTTTGGACTAGATTCATTGGGTGTAAAAGCGTAGGTACCAGCGGAAAGTGTTTGATTAGTTTTGTGAACAAATAAATTATCATTTATTATCAGTATTAAATCCAACACTTTACTTAATTTTACCTAAAGTTATACCAGTGAACAAATGACAATATTAGTCAGAAATTTATTAATTTTTTAAATAAAAATTGCAATACTCGACTAATATTATATACTAAAGCTAATAAAGTATCTTTTTCAATTTTCTAAAATAAAAAAAAATCTGTAAAGTATAAAAAATAAACAAGTTAAATGCTATAATATCGCTTCTACGTGACATTTTTCCGATGTATAAACAAACACTTCAAGTTAAAGCTTGTCGCTATTGCTGAGAGTCAATGTGCGTACTTGTGCAAAATATAATATTATAATTTTTTTAAGTTTTTAAAGGTAAGTATCTGAATTTCAAATGTTCCGATTTCCTAATTTTTTTGATTTTTAATTGCAATTTTTCGATTCTTGAGTTTTGTAGTCTTTCGAGAACTGCCCATTGAAATATCGCAATATCGAGATTGAAACACCGGAAAATGCAAATATCGAAAAATCGAAAATTGATAAAGCAAAAAGTAAAAAACTCGAATAATTAAAAAAAATTCGTTCTCAGACTAAGGGGCGGAGCCTAATTGCAAAATCCGTAAATACGGATTTACATTTATACATACATTTTTGTAGGGAAATCCCTACAAAAATGTACCATTTGAAATGTGTTTTAAGTTTCTAAGAATAAAAAAAAATCATCACAGTTGTGAAGAGGTGTGTGGGCGGGGTTTATAATTTACCGTTTTTTCTTAATATACTTTACGATACTTTAAAACATGTTTTTAATTTCTTGTAAAGAAGTATTTTGCAGTTAAGCTCCGTCCCATTCGCTTACGACGAATAAAAAACATCATCACAATTGGGATGGGCGGGTGGGCGGGCTTACATTTTGTCTTTTTGTTTTAATATGTGTATAATCCATATTTTCTTGCAAAAATGTACCATTTTAACCATGTCTTGAATTTACTGTTGTGAAAAGATGGCTATGTGTATTAAGAAAAAAAGGCTAAATATAAGCTTATATTTTCATTTTTTTTTTTAATACGTAGTCATCTTTTCACAACAGAGATTTAAAATAAATGACTACATATATTAAGAAAAAAGCCACAATATAAACCTCACACATCCGCCTGGATCTCAATCTGGCCTTAAGTTTTAATATATGTACATAGTTTTTTTTAATAACACGATGCTCCAAAACATGTTGTACATGGTAATTTCTTGTAGCGAAATAAGGATTTTGCAGTCAAGCTCCGCCCTCTTGGCTCATGACGAATAAAAAAAATCATTACAATTGAGACAGGGCGGGTGGGTGGGGCTTAAATTTTGACTTTTTTTTTCTTAAAAAACGTAGTCATCTTTTCACAACAGATATAAAAAATAAATGACTACCTATATTAAGAAAAAGGCCACAATATAAGAGTACCCGCTAAGATAAAACTGATTTTGGAAAATGACATGCTCTAAGAAAAGAGAGGGCGGGTGGGTGGTGCTAGTACCTGTTAAGATAAGACTGATTTCAGCAAATGACATTTCCTCTAAGAAACTTAATTAAATTATTATAAGAAAATACACTAGAAGCTCAAAAGCACTTTCAAATTCTTTCCAAACAGGAATACCTAGAACCTCAAGATTGTTTTAAATTAAAAAAAAAAAAAATACCAAAGTCCCCCAAAATTGTTTTCAGTAATTTACAAAAAAAAAAACCTCCATAGGCTCCCAAAATCATGGGAAGTATAGCGTCATTAAAAAAAAAAAGTAATGAACCAAAAAACAAAAAACTGAAGAATAAAAAATTGAAAAATCGAATAATTAATAAAATGAAAAATTAAGAAATCCAAGCGGAAACAAATTGAGAGATCGAAAATTGAAAACTAAAATATTCGAGACAGCGAAAATTAGCTAATCTAAAAATCGAAAAACCGAAAAATCAAAAATTCGAAAATCGGGATTTCGAAAAATTTTAAAAATCCAAGAATCAAATTGCAGAAAAAACGAACTCTCGAAACTCGAAAAACCGAAAATTCGAAAAATGAACAAATCCAAAATCGAAAAACCGAAAATCAAAAATTCCAAAAATCGAGAATCGAGCGATCTAGAATTCAAAAAATATAAAAATATCATATTATTAATTATTTATCACCTGTGCATTTATAGAAACATTTATAAAAAAGAGTTAATAATATTTGTAAAAAAACACTTTTAACTGAAATAATCCAAAAAAAATCCAAATTGTATTGTTTTGAATGAATGATAAACCGTTCTGGAAATATTTGGCTGTGCTGTACAATTCTCTCTCTACATTATAAATAAAATGCTAAAAATAAAGTTAATTGTTTCTTATCACCACACCAGAGAACAGAACATTCCTTTACAGCACATGCTTAAGTTAAACACTAAACAAGTAAATTGGATTAGATTAGTGGAAAATTACGAACAAAGGAAACGTTGAGTGACCCACTCTTAAGTCTTAACACAACAGAAGTGTCTACAAGCACTGATAAAACGATAACAAACTTGACAGATTTTCCTCAAGTTTGAACACACTATGTTTTCTGTATCATTCCAAGATACTTTACTGACTTGAGTCCAAACTCGTGACTACCTAAATAAAAAAGACCAAACAGATTAGATAATTACAGTTTATCTTCATAAAGATTAATTACATTATTACATCAGCCAAGATTCAACGCCTGATTGACACACACCATGGAAAACGTAGTCTTAGCTACCAGCAGCGATGGTAAGTTACTCCTCACTACCAAAAGCGTTCCTGATTTCTTTAAATTTAACACAGGAACAATTGTGTACCAAAAATTGACACTACGGTACCTAAAACAAGCCTCCCTGGTCACCAGACAGACCCTCTTCAAAACCGGCACCGTCTGTCGCACTCTCGGCGTCCCCCAGGACCCCGACGCCCTCTCCGAACTCGACCAACTCCCCCTCGAAGCGGCCAAAGACGGCATTTCCATCATAGCAGTCGACAAAACCACCGACAAAGTCGCCGGTGTGGCCATCAACAAGCTTCTAGTACCACCACGACAACCCCAAAACCACCAAAACTTAACAATCTGGGTTTCAGGTAAAGTCGCAGCCCTTCTTCCAGAATTTTCTCCACATTTTCAAGAACTTCAAGTCCCGCCAGATTATCGAGTTTATTTTGAGCACCGATAACATTTGTGATATTTTTGAGCACTGTGGCGTGGACTGCGTGATGGAGATTTTGTTTTTGGGGACGTCGGAGGAGTATAGGAAGAAAGGAATCGCGAAGAAGTTGTGCGAACTTTCGGTGGAGGTTGCGCAGAAGTTGAGGGATGGGGTTGATGTGAAGGAGGCGGTGGATGGGGGGGAATTGGGGTTGGGGCCGGTGCCGGAGGCGGTGTATGCGATGTTTACGTCGTTTATTTCGCAGAAGATCGGGAGGGAGTTGGGGTTCGAGATTGCGGCGAGGAGGAGTATGAAGAGGTTGGAGATTATGGGGGAGGTGGTGGAGAGTTCGCAGGTGGAGACGCCGGTGACGACTGTGGAGTATAAGTTGTTGCATAAGAGTTAAAGAGTTTTTATTTTAATAAAACTTCTAAAGAAATGAGCGTATATTTTCGGAAATGTTGAATTAAAAAATCGAAAATCGAAAATTTAAATTGGAAATTTCGAATTTCGAAAAACGAAAAATTAAAAAAAAAATAAATATTTGGAAAATCGAAAAATCCAACTCGGAAGAATCCAAAATTTGAAATCTCTATTTCTGAAAAATTCAAATTTTGAAAATTGAAAAAACCCAATATCGAAATTTAAAAATTGAAATTTTGAAAATTCAAAACGTCAAAGTTAAAAAAATTGAAAAATGTTGAAACGAAAAATCGAGAATTCGAAGTTATGCAAAATAACAACTAAAAAAAAATATAAAGTAGAAAAATCGAACATTCAAAAAATCGAAATGAAAAAAAAAACGAAAAATCGACACTAAATCAACAAATCGAAAATCGAGAGTTCAGAGAAAGGAAAATTCATAATTTCGAATTCTGAAAAACTGAAATACCGAAACTTCAAAAAAAAATATATGAAAATCGAAAAAATCAAATATATATAGAAAAAGCGAAATATCAAATTTCGGAATTTCAAATTTTGAAGAATCGAAAATCCAAAAACTCAGAAATACAATAATTCGAAACATTTAAAAAACTGAAAATTGAAAATTTCGAAAAACCAATATTAAAAAAAATATATCGAAAATTTGACAAGAATTTTGAAAAACCGAAATCTTATAAATCGCAAAATCGATAATTGAAAAAATCGAAAATCGGAATATTGAAACTCAGTGCCGAAATTGGAAAAATTGAAAAATCGAAAATCCGAAAATTGAAAATGTCGAAGTTTAGAAAATTGAAAATTCAAAAAGTCGAAATTTTGATTTTGAAAAATGAAAAATTTAAAAAATCAAAAATAGAAAATCGAAAATTCAGATACCTAAACGAAAATTCCAACATTCAAGAAATCGAAAATTCGAGATGTCGAATTTTAAAAAATCGGAATTATGAATCGAAAACTCAAAAAATCGAAATTCAAAAAATCCGAGTGTCGAAAAATTAAAAAATGGAAAATACGAAAATTGAAACTGTTGAAATTTGGAAAACTGAAAATAGAAAAATTGAGTAAATCGAGAATTTGAAAAATTGAAAATTAAAAGTAGAAATATCGAAACCCGAAAATCAAAAAATCGAAAATCGAAACTTTGAAAGTTGAAGATTCAGAAAAGCGAAAATTTGAAAATCGAAAATTTAAAAAATTGAAAATCAGAAATTTCGAAAGTAGAAAAATCGAACATCGAAAAATCGAACGTTCAAGAAATCGAAAATTCGAATGTCGAATATTAAAAAATCAGAATTTTGGAATTCGAAAATCCAAAAATCGAAAATCCAGAAAAACGAAAATTCAAAAATTTTAATTGTTAAAAATAGAAATTTCGAATTATCAAAAATCTAAATTTCGAATTGTATATAAAAAATTCAAAAAATCAAAAACACTAAAATTCTTGAAATGGAAAAATCGAAAAGCAATAAAATGAAAATTCGACATGGCGAATTTTGAAAACTTGAACATTGAACATTTCAAATTTTGAAAAATCGAAGATCAAAAGAGATGTCGAATTTTAAAAAATCGAAATTTCATAAAACGAAAACTCAAAAAATCGAAAATCGAAAAATCCAAGTGTCGAAAAATTAAAACATGGAAAATCCGAAAATTGAAAATGTTGAAATTTGAAAAACACAAAATAGAAAAATTGAGTAGGTAAATCGAGAATTCGAAAAATTGAAAATCAAAAACAGAAATATCGAAAAACGAAAATCGAAAAATCGACAATTCGAAAATTCGAGAAATGGAAAAATCGATAATTAAAAATTCGAAATTTCAATAGGACTAATTGCGAAAAAGTAAAGTCGAAATTTTGAATTTTGAATAACCAATATAAAAAACAAAAATTTCGAAAATAGAAAAATCGAAAATCGAAAAATCGAAAGAGAAGACAACAAGTCGAAATGTCCAAAATGTCGGAAAACCGAACTTTCAAGAAATCGAAAATTCGATTGTCGAATTTTGAAAAATCCGAAATTAGGAATTCGAAAATCCAAAAGATCAAAATTCAGCGAAAAAGAAAATTTGAAACGTCAAATTAAAAATTTTAATTCTTAAAAATCGAAATTTCGAATTGTATATCGAAAATTCAAAAAATCAAAAACAGGAAAATTCGAGAAATCGAAAATTCGAAAATTAAAACATCGAAAATTTGATGACGAATTTTGAAAAATTGAAAATTCGAAATTTGAAATTTTAAAAATCGAAAATCAAACGAAAAGTAGAAAAAACGAAAATTCAAAAATACAAATTTTGAAAAATTGAAAATTCGGCAAATTAAATTCAAAATTTCTAATTTTGAAGAAACGAAACTTAACCAAATCAGAAATGTGATAAATCGAAAATCGAAAATTTAAAAATTGAAAACTGGAAATTTCGAATTTTGAAATACCAAAATTAAAAAAATAATAAAAAATTTGAAAAGTCGAAAATCGAACAACAAGTAAATGAAATATTCGAAATTTCGAACTTTGAAAGATCGGAATTAGGAATTTGAAAATCCAAAGTATAAAAAAAAATCGAAAATTCGAAACGTCAAATTGAAATTTCGAATTCTCAAAAATCTAAATTTCAAATTTTGAAAAATTGAATATCGACAATTAAAAAAAAAAAAGAAAATTGGAAAGATAGAAAAATTCAAATAAACGAAAATTCAAAATTTCCAATTACGAAAAACCGAAGTATCGAAAATTCAAAAAATCAAAAACACGAAAATTCGAGAAATGGAGAAATCGAAAATCAAAACGAAAAACAGAAAAACCGAAAATCGATAATTTGAAAATCACAAATTCAGGAAAACCAACATTCAAAATTTCAAATTGTAAAAATCGAAATTTTAAATTCTGAATAACTGATATCACAAAAAATAAGAAATCGAAAACTGGAAAATCGAAAAACCAAAATTCAGAAAATCGAAAATTGAAATAAACGAAAATTCAAACATTCAAGAAATCGAAAATTCGAGATGTCGAATTTTAAAAAGTCGCAATTTTATAAATCGAAAAATCGAAAACTCAAAAATCCAAAATCGAAAAATCCAAGTGTCGAAAAATTAAAAAATCGAAAGTCCGAAAATTGAAAATGTCCAAATTTGGAAAATTGAAAACTGTATAATCCAGAAATCCAAGCTCCGAAAAATTTAAAAATGTGGCATTTAGAAATCGAAATTTTGAAATCTTTATTTTGAAAAATAAAAAATTTAAAAAATCTAAAATTTGAAAAGTCGAAAACTGGAAAATCGAATAATCGAACATTCAAGAAACCAAAAATGCGAATGTCGAATTTTGAAAAATTGGAATTTTGTAATTGGAAAATCCAAAAACTCAAAATTCAGAAAAAAAGAAAACTCGAAGCGTCAAATTAATAAATCGCAGTATCAAAATTTGAAAATTCAAAAATTCTAATTGTTAAAAATCGAAATTTCGAATTCTGAAAAATTGTGTACCAAAAATTCAAAAAATCAAAAGCACGAAAACTGGAGAAATGGAAAAATCGAAAATTAAAAACGAAAAATAGAAGGGAAACTTCGAAAACACAAATTTCGAAACATTGGAAATTCGGCAAATCAAATTTCTAATTTTTAATGGAAAATCGAAAAATTACAAAATTGAAAATTGCGAATTTTGAAAAAACAATATTAAAAAAAAATAAAAATGTATAAAGTCGAAAAATTGAACATTGAGGTAAACGAAATATTTGAAATTTCGAATTCTGAAAAATTGAACATCGACAATTCCAAAAATAAAATGCGAAAATTGGAAATATAGAATAATTCAATTAAACGAAAATTCAAAATTTCGAAACGAAAAATCGAGGAATGGAAAAATCGAAAAGCAAAAAACCGAAAATTCTAAAATCAAAACGAAAAAGAGCAAAAGCGAAAATCGATAATTTGAAAATCAAAAATTCGAAAAAACGAACATTCAAAATTTCGAACTGTAAAAATTGAAATTTCGAAATCTGAGAAACCGAAATTTCGAATTATGAAAAATGGAAATTTTTAATTCTGAATAATTAATATCACAAAAGTAAAAAAAAATCGAAAATCCAAAGTTCAGAAAAATAGAAAATTCAAAGAAACGAAAACTCGAACATTCAAGAAATCGAAAATTGCAAATGTCGAATTTAAAAAAATGGGAATTTTATAAATCGAAAAATATAAAACTCAAAAAATCGAAAATCGAACACTCGAAAATGGAAAAATCCAAGGGTCGAAACACTAAAAAATGGAAAATTGAAAATGTTGAAATTTGAAAAACCGAAAATAGAAAAATTGAGTAAATCGAGAATGCGAAAAATTGAAAATCAAAATTAGAAATATCGAAAACAATAAATCGAAAATTTGAAAACTGAAAATTAAGAAAAACGAAATTCGAGAAATGGAAAAATCGGTAATTAAAAAATCGAAATTTCAATGTGACGAATTTTGAAAAACTGAAAATTCTACAAATCAAATTTCGAAATTTCTAATTTTGAAGAGTCGAAAATTAAAAAAAATAGAAATACCAAAATTCGAAAATCGAAAATTTAAAAAATTTAAAATAATGGAAGATGAATCCAATATTCACAAAAATCAAAAATTTGAAAAGTCGAAAAATTGAAAACCGAGAAATCGAACATTCAAGAAATCGAAAATTCGAGTTGAGATAATGAATTTTGAAAAATCGAAAAATCGAAGTGTCGAAATTCGAAAAAATTATAAATCGAAAATCCGAAAATTGAAAATGTCGAAATTTGGAACATCGAAAATTCGAAAAATTGAAAATCGACATATTGAAAACCGAAAATCGAAAAATCAAAAATCGAAAATTTGAAAATTGAAAACTCAGGAAAACGAAAATTCAATATTTCAAATTATTTAAAAACGAAATTTCGACTTCTGAAAAATCGAGACTTCGAATTATGAAAAACCGAAATAAAAAAAATTCAAATTAAAAATTCGAAAATTCAAGAACGCAAATTTCTAATACTGAAGAGTCGAAAGCTTAAAAAATCAGATATACAAAAATTCGAAAATCGAAAATTTAAAAAATCGAAAAACAAATCAATAAATACAAATAAATAAATAAATAGATTTATTGTCAACAGAACATAAAGATTTCCTTTAGAGGACAATAAGTACCTTAAAAATTAAATTAAATTAAATCTACCATACATCGAAATCAAACATTCAAGAAATCGAAAAATCGAAGTGACGAAATTTAAAAAATCGGAAATGCGAAAATTGAAACCGTCGAAATTTGGAAAATTGAAACAGGTAAGTAAAATTGAGAAATTCGAAATTCGAAAATTAAAGGGTTGAAATTTCGAATTTTGAACAATTAAAAATTCGAAACATTGGATTAAAAAAATCGAAAATTTGATAAATCAAAGTTCGGAATTTCTAATTCTGAAGAATCGAAAATTCAAAAAATCAGAAATTAGATAATTTGAAAATTTTAAAAGTCTGAAATTGGAAGATTCGAATTTTGAAAAACCTATATTAAAAAAAATCAAAAATTCGAAAAGTCAAAAATCGAAAAATCAATAATTGAAAATGTCGAAATTTGGAAAATTGAATTATGATTTTCAGAAAACGAAAATCCCAAAGTTTGAAAAATTTAAAAATGTTGAATTGAGAAATCGAAATTTTGAAATTTTGATTTTGAGAAATAAAAAATTTTAAACATCAAAAATTTGAAAAGTCGAAAAATCGAGCATTCAAGTAATCGAAAAGACTGTCGAATTTTGAAAAATCGGAATTTTGGAATTCGAAAATCCAAAAAATCGAAATTCAAAAGAAAAGAAAATTCGAAACGTTAAATAAATCGAAGTACCGAAAATCTAAAATTCAGAAAATCGAAAATTCCAATAAACGAAAATTCCTACATTCAAGAAATCGAAAATTCGAGATGTCAAATTTTAAAAAATTGGAATTTCATAAATCGAAAACTCAAAAAATCGAAAATCGGAAAATCCAAGTGTCGAAAAATTAAAAAATGGAAAGTCCTCAAAATGAAAATGTTGAAATTTAAAAAACCAAAAATACAAAAATTGAGTAGGTAAATGGAGGATTCGAAAAATTGAAAATCAAAAATAGAAATATCGAAAACCGAAAATCGAAAATTCGAAAATTCGAGAAATGGAAAAAAGTAAAAATTCTAATTTTGAAGTCGAAATTTGGAAAATTGAAAATTGCAAAATCCAGAAAACGAGGATCCGAAACTTCAAAAAGTCGAAATTTGAAAAATTTAAAAATGCTGAACTGAGAAATTGAAATTTCTGAGTTTGGATTTTGAGAAATAAAAAATTAAAAAATCAAAAAAGTTAATAAATCTAAAATCGGAAAATCGAATATTCTAGAAATCGATAATTCGAATGTCGAATTTAGAAAAATCCGAATTTACGAATAGGAAAATCCAAAAATCAAAATTCAGCGAAAAAGAAAATAGGCAACGTCAAATTAATAAATCGAAGCATCGAAATTCGCAAATTCAAAAAATCGAAAATTCAGGAAAAAAAAAATTCAGAAAAACGAAAATTCAAAAATATTAATTGTTAAAAATCGAAATTTCGAATTGTATATCGAAAATTCAAAAAATCAAAAACACGAAAATTTGAGAAATGACGAAAATTAAAACATCAAAAATTCAAAAATTGAAAATTCGGCAAATCAAATTACAAATTTCTAATTTTGAATCGAAAATCGAAAATTTACAAAATTGAACATTTCGAATTTTGAAAAACTAATATTAAAAAAAAATTCGAAAAGTCGAAAAATCGAACATTGAAGTAACGAAATATTCGAAATTCCGAACTTGGAAAAATTAGAATTTTAGAATTCGAACAAAAAATCAAAAAAAATCGAAAATTTGAAACGTCAAATTAAAAAAAATGGTAATTTCGAATTCTGAAAAGTCTAAATTTCGAATTCTGAATAATTGAATGTCGACATTTCAAAAAATATACGAAAAACGGAAAGATAGAAAAATTCAAATAAACGAAAATCCAAAATTTCGAATTACGAAAAATCAAAGTATCGAAATTCAAAAAATCAGAAATGGAAAAATCGAAATTCGAAAAATTCAGAAGTCGAAAAATTAAAAAATGGGAAATCCGAAAATTGAAAATGTTGAAATTTGAAAAACCGAAAATCGAAATATCGAATTAAAAATTCAGAAAACGAAAATTCGAGAAATGGAAAAATCGATAATTATAAAAATCGAAATTTCAATATGACATGATCCATTTCTGAAACACCTGAAGTGAAAAGTGAGTTCAAAATTTTCAAATTTTTCCAAAAAATGGTTAAAATGAGTTCAAACCAAAACATCGTGTTTCCCTTGAACTTTAATAAAAAGTGTTCCTAGGAAAGAATATCAGTTTCTAGAACGAAATGTTATTGGCGATTACAACAAAAAAAAAAACACCTTCAACTTGACATTCAGAATAACGATTCCAACTAAATTTCATAATAAGTGATGAAGCTTCAAAAAATGTTTCTTTACTTCGACTATACGAGTAAGTAAAATAATATTTATATTTTTGTTTTTACAACGAAATATTTATAACATTCCGAAAACGATTTCATTTTATCTTTAGCCGACTTTTCTCAGAAGCAGATCAAAAGGTTAAGTTTACAAAACACGAACATCAAATTTTTATCTTTCTATTAATAATTATTCTATAAATTGGTGCAACTATTAACAACGTGGTATAAACGAACAATTCATGAAACGACTTGCAAAATGAAACACTATTTCATAGTTTTCTTCGTTGTAGCACTCCTTACTCACAAATCGCTATCTACAGATGAAAGTAAGTTATTGTTATGCATGTATTAAACTGACACTAATTTAAAAATGTTATCTAGCGTATTACTGGAAGGACTACGATGGAACTATACCCGATGACGCCCTAGAAGGAGGGTACGACATCCATAGCAACAGCATTTTCATCGGAAAAGCACAAGTAGGCGAAGACCATATAGTGGTACCAATCTATCCCAACATCTCCGATGTTCAGACGTTCTCAGACGGAAAAGTTGAGAAAATCAACTCCGGCATTAAAGTAAGTACTGGGACGGTTTGGTTTCGGCATACATATAATAATTTTTTAGATTCTCTGCGGTTCGGAACAACCCGTTGACTGGATACGAGCCAGCGCGGAAAACTTCCATGTGGTACTAATAGGAAAAAATCCAGTGCAGGGTGGAGAATTGAAGAACAAGGGGCATTTACACGTAGGACGAATTTTCTACGAAAATGAAATTAAAATAGGTCCGATATTGTCTTATGATTTGGACAAAGCGTGTTTGCATTTCGTGCATAAACATTTGGTGCTGAGTACCGATAAGTACGAGGTACTGGTGTACGATTCTCCGAGGGAGCGTCCGAGGAGGCCTTGGAACCGTCGAGGACCCGGCAGACGATTTCACTAAACTGTTTTATTATTATTAATAAAAAGTTAATTGCCGGTCGTAAATTCTTTGATATTATATTATAGTATTAAATTATCCATTAAGGATATAAATTACATTTGCTTTTGGAGGTTAGTACCAGCATGGGAGATTCAGAAGCCGCTTTAGGATTGTGTTCTTTGGCAAAAGTGGTCATCACTACGGAAAATGGTTTCATACCTGCCAACTTACATTTTCAATCTCCTAATAAAAACATCCCTGCGTTGAGTGAAAGTGGTCACTAGAGAGCGGATTTATAAGCACAAAAAATTAAGAATAAGCCCTTAAATAAGCACAACATTTTCAATAAAAAAGTTTTATTTTAAGCAAAAAAGCATTGAAAACATAATCATATTACAAATCAAAGAAAACTTCTTAGAACTTTGGATAAAATATTATTACAATAATCCTAGACTTTATATTTTACACACGTATTTCAGTTTTCTTTAAAACAATTTATGATTGTAATATGTTCCAAGTTGTCCACTGTAAAATTTTTTCGCCGATCATTTAAAATGTGTTTAAAATTGGAGAATGTGCGTTCAACATCCACACTCGTTGTTGGCGCAAATTTGAATTTTGCAACTAATGTTGAATCTAACTCCAAATTTTCCACCTTCTGGCCTTGTAAAACACGAGCAACGTCGGAAAGAACACCGAAACCTGCATTTTTATTTAACACTTCGTCAAGTTTTCGAGATACTCTAGTACCAATATCACCCCTTACTGCGTTTGCTTGTTGTTTAAATTCTTTCACTAAGTTTATGGCATCTACCAACAAAATGTTGGGTTTTTCTAACTTTTCTATTACCTCACATACGAGTTGATAATTGCTTCTTAGAAAAGCTAGATCTTGTCGCAAATCTTTGTTTTCCAAAATATTTATGCAATCTTTAATCGATTGAGAAGAATCTTCGCTAAACTCCGTAACTACTTCCTCAAATTCTTTGATACATTTGTCATAATAAAATGTGGCCTGTAACCATGTTCCCCACCTCGTTATAATCGGCTCTGGGGGCAATGGTATGTTTGGAAATTTTTCCTTAAAATGTTGCACTCTTAGTGGGGCTTTAACAAAAATCTTTTTACCATTTGCCACTAATTTATTAACAGTAGGAAACTGCAAACGTATTCCTTCAGCCACTCTGTTTAAACCGTGGGCAATGCAAGTAGAGTGAATTAAATTGGGGTACAATATTTTTAGATTATTCCCTGCTTTCAACATATAACGAGCTGCATCCGAGATCATCAATAAAATTTTATTGGCAAAAATAGTGACGTAAGACTGTCATTTACAAATCTGGTAATCGTATTGCCATTTGTTTTATCTAACATTTTCAAACTTAGTACATACCTTCGACTAGGGAAATTTTCATTTAAGATTCCAACAATTAAACTTGCCACGTATCTTCCACAACTATCGGTTGTTTCATCGACAGCAAACCATAAATAATTATCTCCAATGCGATGTTTAATTTCGTTGTAAACTTCCTGACACACTGGGCCTACATAATTTTTTCGGAGAGTACTTTCAACCGGAATATGTCGATTGCAGTGTTTTTCAAGGAATTCTTGAAGAGGGCCTTTCTCCAATTTTTTTAAAGGAATATTGGACTGGATCATCATTTTACATAAATCGAAATTAAACTGAAACTGCTCATCTTTTGTGGAAGTAGATGCAACAAATTCATGTATGGTCTGCTGTTAAATTTTAGAAACTTCAAACATTTTCTTCCTTTCTACGTGAAGAGTCGTTCTGACACGTTGCGTCACTTTATATTTTTTGAATCTAAAACAACGTACATATACAGGATTAACAAAGGAAAATAGATAAAAAAAAATTAGTGGGCTTACGGTTTTCACACAAGCTCTGCAGAATATTTTGTTGTTTTCGAATTTTAATTCTGGAAAATCCCTTATCCACTCATCCGGCGTCGATTTTACTTTCGGCAATCTTTTAAAATATTAGTAATATTACCAAAAAGAACTCAACATGTAACAAGGGAGAACCACGTATAACACTGTACCACGACAGATGCGATAGACTGATGGTTGTGAAATAAACGGTTCATTTACTTAAAAGTTTCCATTAGAAAAATTTTAAGGTAGGTAGTTGGGTACAATAATCCTTTTTTCTAGAAAATCTTCAACGGTCTTGCCGCAAAATGCCGAAAAAGAACATCTGCTTAAAAGCTTTAATTCATTATCAACGGAAGTAAGGATTTAAAGTGATAAAATCTATGGAGTATTTTTCCAATCCTATTATAAAATTTTATTACCCAAACGACCGGAACCTATTCACAGAAAGGGTCTTGAGTACGTGTACTTCAATGGTCAAGTCCAGGTAAAATGCATACGCTACGATACGGCTAACTAACAAGTATTTGTCATCCCGACAAGGCCGGCATTTGAACAAAATATGCATTAAAACTCATATTCGTCGAAATAAGCATATAACTTTTAATATGCATAAAATTGAAAAAAAAAAATAAGCATAAAAAATGTGTCAAATGACTCCAAATTGTATCATAGTTACAGATATAAAAAAGTTTTGAAGTGCTTACATTTTTCACAAAAAGCATTAAACCTAAACATCCGCTCTCTAGTGGTCACTAAGAACGAACCTTGGCAAGGTGGTCTAGTTGCTATTAATTCCTTTGGTGCGGGGGGTACCAACTCACACCTTATTCTTAAAGCGAACCCAAAAGACAAAATTAAACAAAAAACGCCTGGTGTACCACGTATCGTGGCGATTTCTGGACGCACCTCTGACGCGGTTCATACTTTAATCGGTCAGGTTAAGAAGCACAGAGACGACGATGAGTTCTTGTATCTAGTAAATGAGGTTCATCAGGATGGGATTAAGGGTCACCAATACAGAGGATTCTGTCTTTTAAACGATACACCAGTCTGCGAAATCGGAGATATCTCTTTCCAGAAGAGACCTGTTTGGTTTATATACAGTGGGGTGGGTTCTCAAAAGAGCATAGGAAAAGAACTCATGCAAATAGAAGTGTTTCGCAGCTCAATTAAGAAAAGTTCTGTAGTGCTACAGCAATTTGGAATAGATTTAGAAGATATTATAATCAACGGGACGGATTCCACCTTCGAGAATGTTCTGAATACAACAGTTGCGATAGTCGGCGTACAGATAGCCCTAACAGACCTTTTAAAATTTTTAGACGTACAGCCCGACGGAATAATCGGACATTCGATTGGTGAACTAAGTTGTGCTTACGCAGACGAAACTCTAACCGCCGAACAAACCATTCTTACCGCTTACCATAGAGGAAAATCGCTAATAGACAGTGATCTTGTCAAAGGGTCAATGGCTGCAGTTGGACTATCTTGGGAACAAGCACACCAAAGGTGCCCCTCAAATGTATTTCCCGCTTGCCACAACGCCCAAAATATCACCACAGTCTCTGGTCTGAGCGACTCTGTAAAAGCTTTCGTCGCACAACTAACTTCTGAAAATATTTTTGCCAAAGAAGTGAAAGTCAGCAATGTCGCTTTCCACTCCAAGTACGTAGCAAAAGCGGGTACTCAGTTCCACAAAGCACTCAAACAAATCATACCTTTCCCAAAACCACGAACATCCAAATGGATCTCATCTTCAATACCTGAGTCGAAATGGACGACGACTCTTGCACAATACAGCTCTCCAGATTATCACGTCGAAAATTTTCTTTCGCCTGTTCTGTTCCACGAAGCTCTTCAACACGTCCCAGACAACGCTGTCGTTATTGAAATAGCACCTTCGGCGCTTTTTCAAGGAATTATTAGACGTTCGTTAGGATCTAAAATTACACCTGTAAGCCTTTTAAAGAAAGAGTGTGATAACGATGTTGAGTTTTTATTGACAGCGCTTGGAAGGTAAGTTTACTAGTTTAATGTGCGATTAATAGTGACTATGTACGATTAGGGTACACAATGCTGGATGCCAACCCAAATTTGCAAAGCTTTATCCTTCAATGGATTTTCCAGTGGGTCGAGGTACCCCCATGATTGCTCCGTACGTCAAGTGGGACCATTCTGAGGAGTGGACGGTGCCTAATTTTGTTGAAGAAAACTCTAGCTCTGGTGCGGTGGAAGTAGAGGTAGATGTCACCAAAGAAGAAAACCGGTTTTTGTTGGGTCATAGCACTGATAGTCAAATTGTTTACCCAGCCGCTGCGTATGTGGTAAATGTTGCCAATTCGTTTCAAAAATAAAAAGGGTGACCGAAATTGATTTCAGGTTTTAATTTGGAAGACTTTAGCGAGACTCAAAAACAAAGATTACAATCATACGCCTTTTGTAATCGAAAACATGGAATTTCATCGTGCCACGATTATCCCGAAACAAGGTTCTATTAAATTTACTATCAACATCTTGCAGCAAAACGGTGATTTTGAATTGTGCCAAGGTGGAAGCATCGTTGTCACGGGTAGGACCCAAGTTCCTGAAAATGTGTCCAAAATGTTTTCAAAGCTTGAACCCATCGACTCCCAAACAGGAGAGACGTGGTTAAAATTAAACCACGAAGATGTGTTCAAAGAACTGAGACTACGGGGATTTGAATATGGGGGTAGCTTCCAAGAAATCCTGGAAACAGATAACCGTTTTTCAAATGGGAAAATAAAATGGAACAACTGGGTTAGTTGTATTGACGCCATGTTACAATTCTGGGCTATCCGTATACATACTCGAGAGCTTTACCTTCCTACTAAATTACAAAAAGTTGTAATTGATCCTAAAATGCATCTTCAAGCAGCTAGAGAATCTGACAATGTTTTGGCGGTGTCTGCGTTTGACAACATCGGCGTTGTTAAATCTGGAGGTGTTGAAGTTAAAGGGTTAAAAACCAGTTATGTTACAAGGTGCCATCTAACGCATTCTACTCCGAAAATAGAAAAGTATGAGTTTGTACCTTTCGAAGATAAAGTCTGGGTAAGCGAAAATGTAGCCCTAAAAATGGTTGTGCAAACTGTGTTGGAAAACAGTGTTGGAGTTCTTCGAATAGGAAAAATGGAAAGTGGACATCCGATGGAAGAAGAGTTGCTGCTCGAAATTGAGGAGGTCCTTAAACGGGAGCTTGTGATATCTGTAGATACGAAAATAATTACATCCAAAGATCCAACTCTGACTGATTTTGATTTGGTCGTTGTGTCCGTTGCGAACATAAAAACTGAACTCAGTTTTCTAGAAACCATTTTACAAAACTTGAGACAGGAAAGTTTTCTCTTGTTAGAAGGACTTAAAGAAGATTTAAATTTCAACAATTTACCATCTATGGGAGTGGTTGTTAGTACTCAAGCCACTTCCACAAAAATGTACACTCTTTTACGAAAACCAACAGAAATTGACACAAACTCGTCTGTTGTTAAAGTAACCGAAGACCTGTCTTGGATTGAACTAGTAAAAGATGCAATGAAGAGAAACGAAGCCCGTGGAAACAAGATTTATTTGTACACTCAAGGAGACAACTTTAGCGGATTAATCGGTTTCGTGAATTGTCTAAAGCAGGAACCAGGTGGCGAAAAAGTAAGAGCTGTGTTCATCGAAGATGCGAATGCTCCTCCATTCTCACTGACCCAGTATTCCGAACAACTGAAAAAAGATTTGGTTCACAATGTGCTCAAGAAAAACGTTTGGGGTACTTTGAGACACATTCCATTTGATAACGACAAAATTTCGACTCAGCACGCCTACATCAGTGCGCAGATTCCTGGAAGCTTGGCAAGTTTGCAATGGGTACAAAGCCGCTTAGACTTAAGGTAAATAAAATTTTAGAATGTTTGTGATATTTTAACCTCGTTTGGTAATTTATAGAAAAAACGAGCCAAACTTGGAATTATGTCGTGTTTACTATGCTCCAATTACCTCCCACGACGTGCTCTGGCAATGGGAAAATTTTCAGAAGAGAGACCGTTAAAAAGAAACCACTTCCTAGGTTCAGAATTTTCCGGACGCGACAGTACCCATAATCGTGTCATGGGAATAATTACCACAAGCTCTTTGGCAACAACCATAGTAATCGATAAAGAATTTGTATGGTCTGTACCAAAGAAATGGAGTTTGGAAGAAGCCTCAACGGTTCCTAATGCTTACGCCACGGTAACTAACAATCTTATTTTTACACTGCTGTAACAGAAACATTTCAGAGTTATTATGCTCTTGTGGTTCGAGGCCAAATCAAACCTGGAGAATCAGTTCTCATCCATGATGGTCCTGAGACTATAGGTATAGCTTCCATACGTATTGCGCTTGAGATGGGTTGCAAAGTTTTTACATTTGTCAACACTAAAGAGAAGAAAGATTTCTTGGAAAGAATTTTTCCAGAACTTGCAGATGGCTGCATTGGTCATGTTAGTACTTTCGACGAAATGGTACTCAAGGAAACGAATGGATGCGGAGTCGATTTGGTTTTTGGTTATGCAACCGGTGAACACTTGGAAGCATCTTTGAACTGTTTAACGCATGGTGGTCGCTTACTGAAAATAGGAAATTTCGACTTTCCCAAAAATGGTGTTTTGAAAATGAAAAATATATCCCTCTATGGTATAGTCTTTGATGCGCAATTCAGAAGTGAGGTTTCTATTAAGAGAAAAATTTGGCGATTAGTTGACGAAGGTACTGTATATTTAGTAGCTAATAAGTAAGTAATAAATAACATGTGATTCTTAAATTTCAGGTATTAATAACGGTACCGTGAAACCTCTACCACGTACCGTCTTTAGAAACAACCAAATCGAAGAAGCTTTCCACTGCGTAGAGTCCATAACACACATGGGGAAATCAATTTTGGAAATTTGCCCTGAAGACCAAAAACCACACCCTGTTTTAGCTACGTCACGGTCTTATTTCGACCCAAACAAAACTTACGTCCTAATAGGTGGTTTGGGCGGTTTTGGTTTAGAACTAACCAACTGGTTGACTCAAAGAGGAGCAAAAAAGTTGATTTTGTCTTCAAGGAATGGAATCCAAACAGGATATCAGTCGCTTCGTATCAGAAATTGGACACAGTCGGGAATCATCGTTCAGATCTTTACCGCTGACGTTACGACACTAAAGGGTACTTGAAAACTTCTGGAAGAAGCAAACAATCTAGGACCAGTAGGCGGCATTTTCAATGTGGCAGGAGTCGTTCGTGACGCACTAATGGTAAATTTAACCGAAGCCGACTTCAAGACTGTCTGTGCTCCGAAAATCGAAATTACTAAGCATTTAGATGTGGTTTCGAGAGAGCTTTGCCCACAGTTAGAACACTTTGTGACTTTTTCTTCATCATCGTGCGGTCGCGGAAATGCTGGACAGTCGAATTACGGTTATGCGAATTCAGCGATGGAACGTCTTTGTGAAGCTCGTCGAGTGATGGGTCTTCCAGGACTCGTGATCCAATGGGGTGCTGTGGGTGATGTGGGTTTAGCGATGGAAAAGACCAGAGGGAATAAGTACGTGAAAGTAGGTGGGACGGTGCCGCAAAGAATAGCTTCGTGTTTCTCTACGTTGGACATTTTCCTTCAACAATTGAGTCCTGTTGTCAGTAGCATGGTATTGGACGAAGGACACGAAGGAGACTTGAAAACAAAAGAAATTGGGATGATTGACGCTGTTGCCAAAATTTTGGGAATTGAAGATGTTTCGAAAGTTGGCGATTCTGTTTCGCTTGTCGATTTAGGCATGGATTCGCTAATGGCTGCTGAAATCAGGCAAACTCTTCAATGTAAATTTGATTGGGCATTGAGTGTCGAAAAAATTCGGGCGCTTAGTTTTGGTCAGTTAAGGAACACGAAAAAGTCTGTAAACGACCAGGAAAAGTAGGTGCTTGTGCAGATCAACTTGTAGAGACTGAGATCAGTTTGTCTACGACATGTGATTAGATAAGTCATTCTAATATATGTATGTATATATGTAATTAATTTTATCAAGTGGGGTTAATATGTTATACCTTATTTTTTTTATTTTGGTAATAAGTTTATCTGAAGTTGCTTTTTTTGTCCCGCAACACGACAGGAAGTAAACACTGAAAACTAAGTTTTTTTAATATCGAGATAAATTATTACATTTTACGTGTCATTATCAAAGTACATTAAGCATCTACACCTGGTGATTCATCGGTGGTGTCGAAAAAGTGTGGATAGAAAAAGAAATATTCTGTTATCAATTTGGGTAGATGTAATGTAGTAATGTACTTATTCTATGTCTCTTGAGTCTTTTAAGTCAACACCCAACATTTTTCTTTTTGATGAATTTTATCTTGTCAACTTCAACTCTTTCTTTCAATTCTAAGCAAGTTTGAAGTTTTGAATGTTTGGACCATAAGGATAAAGGAGAATACTACTTTGAACGTTTTACGAAAATGCTGTTTGATGTGATAAACCTCTAAATTGAATGTTAGTCCTTTCAATCACTCGTCAAATGACAACGTAACACCCACAATGACGTTATAGTTTTGAATATCTCGTTCTTCTGCGTCTTTGGGTTTTTAATTATTATCATTTTTATGACATGTATATAATAATTAGTTATTAACTAGAATATTTTTTATAGCAACTTATTTTTTAACTATAATCACGTTATGGAAGCAATAATTATTAGACGTAAAGACGTAAATGGCAGTAGTGAATTACAAGATATAAATACAACGTTGTTCAAGTTATGTTGTACAGTTTTTTATACCCTTGTAATAAAGCAACGCTCCTTACGAATAAAACATTAATACAAAACGGTAAGAAGGAAAACAACTTTTTTAATTTGGTATCATTCAATTTTAATTTTTTAAACACCATTTTTACTCGTGTCAGTAACTAGATGCTTATACTTTTCACGTTCTGTCGTTTGTAGATTCAAGGAAATGTAGTTCTTAACTTAACAAATTGGACCTTCAAATTGTCCCCTTCTCTTTTAATAAATTGTTTCAGATTATGGCTGCCAAAAGTTCTGACGACATTGTCATCGCTGGTATTTCTGGCCGACTGCCAGAAAGTTCAAATCTCGAAGAATTCAAGCAGCAACTATTCGACGGCGTCGACTTAGTGACAGATGATGAAAGACGTTGGCCCTCAGGTCTCTACAACCTACCAACTCGTACCGGAAAAATGAAAGATATATCTCACTTCGACGCCACCTTCTTCGGCGTCCACCCTAAACAAGCCCACACGATGGACCCCCAACTGAGATTTCTTCTTGAAGTGACTTACGAAGCAATCGTGGACGCTGGGGTTAACCCCAAAGACATAAAAGGTTCAAAAACGGGTGTCTATGTTGGAGTTTTCCAAAACGAATCTTCGGAATTCTGGACGAAAGATCCAGACGAAACGACAGGATACAGTTTAACTGGGTGTTCTGTTTGCATGTTTGCTAATAGAATATCGTACGCGTTTGATCTCAAGGGACCTAGTTATGTGGTGGATTCGGCTTGTTCGAGCAGCATGGTGGCCTTGAACCAAGCAGTATGGGCAATGAAGAATGGGGAGTGTGATGCTGCTATCGTAGCAGGGGTGAATTTGCTTCTGAAACCTGAAACATCTTTGGAGTTTTCAAAACTCGGAATGTTGAATGCTGAAGGCAAGTGTAAATCGTTCGATGCTTCGGGAAATGGATACGTGAGATCAGAAGCTACAGTCGTTATATATTTGCAGAAGGCAACAATTGCTAAACGTGTGTATGCCACTATTCTGGGAATGAAAGTTAACAATGACGGGTACAAAGTCGAAGGAATTACGTTTCCTAGTGGAAGTATGCAGAATGAACTCATTCGGGATACATACACCAAATTTGGTGTTGATCGTTCAGAAGTTACGTATTTAGAAGCTCATGGTACGGGTACCATAGCGGGGGATACACAAGAAGTCAACTCAATTGCAGACTTTTTCTGTGAAAATCGGAAAGAACCACTGCTTATAGGATCTGTCAAAAGTAACATGGGGCATCCTGAATCAGCCTCGGGACTGTGTTCCTTGGCAAAAGTTGTCATCACTATGGAAAGTGGTTTCATACCTGCCAACTTACATTTTCACTCTCCTAATAAAAATATTCCAGCGTTGAGTGACGGTCGTTTGAAAGTGGTCACTAAGAACGAACCTTGGCAAGGTGGTCTAGTTGCTATTAATTCCTTTGGTGCTGGGGGTACCAACTCACACCTTATTCTTAAAGCGAACCCGAAAGAGAAAATTAAACAAAATACGCCTGGTGTACCACGTATCGTCGCGATTTCTGGACGCACCTCTGACGCGGTTCATACTTTAATCGATCAGGTTAAGAAGCACAGAGACGACGATGAGTTCTTGTATCTAGTAAATCAGGTTCATCAGGATGGGATTAAGGGTCACCAATATAGAGGATTCTGTCTTCTAAACGATACACCAGTCTGCGAAATCGGAGATATCTCTTTCCAGAAGAGACCTGTTTGGTTTATATACAGTGGGATGGGTTCTCAAAAGAGCATAGGAAAAGAACTCATGCAAATAGAAGTGTTTCGCAGCTCAATTAAGAAAAGTTCTGTAGTGCTACAGCAATTTGGAATAGATTTAGAAGATATCATAGTCAACGGGACGGATTCCACCTTCGAGAATGTTCTCAATACAACAGTTGCGATAGTCGGCGTACAGATAGCCCTAACCGACCTTTTGAAATTTTTAGGCGTTGACCCTGACGGAATAATCGGACATTCGATTGGTGAAATAAGTTGTGCTTACGCAGACGAAACTCTAACCTCCGAACAAACCATTCTTACCGCTTACCACCGAGGAAAATCTCTAATAGACAATGATCTTGTCAAAGGGTCAATGGCTGCAGTTGGACTGTCATGGGAACAAGCACACCAAAGGTGCCCCTCCAATGTATTTCCCGCTTGCCACAACGCTCAAAATATCACCACAGTCTCTGGTCTGAGCGACTCTGTAAAAGCTTTCGTCGCCCAACTAACTTCTGAAAATATTTTTGCCAAAGAAGTGAAAGTGAGTAATGTCGCTTTCCACTCAAAATACGTAGCAAAAGCGGGTCCACAATTCCACAAAGCACTCAAACAAATCATACCTTTCCCAAAACCACGAACATCCAAATGGATTTCATCTTCAATACCTGAGTCGAAATGGACGACGACTCTTGCACAATACAGCTCTCCAGATTATCACGTCGAAAATTTTCTTTCGCCTGTTTTGTTCCACGAAGCTCTTCAACACGTACCAGACAACGCTGTCGTGATTGAAATAGCACCTTCCGCGCTGTTTCAAGGAATTATTAAACGTTCGTTAGGATCTAAAATTACACCTGTAAGCCTTTTAAAGAAAGAGTGTGATAACGATGTTGAGTTTTTATTGACAGCACTCGGAAGGTAAGTTTACTAGTATAATGTGTGATTAATAGTGACTATGTACGATTAGGGTACACAATGCTGGATGTCAACCCAAATTTTCAAAGCTTTATCCTTCAATGGATTTTCCAGTGGGTCGAGGTACCCCCATGATTGCTCCGTACGTCAAGTGGGACCATTCTGAGGAGTGGACGGTGCCTAATTTTCTTGAGAGTGAAACTAAATCTGGTGTTATGGAAATAGAAGTGGATATGAGCAAAGATGACAATCAATATCTGTTGGGACATGTTATTGACGGTCAAAATCTTTACCCAGCAGCTGCATATGTGGTAAGTAAATAAGTCGTCTACAAATTAGTTTCAATGGTCTTACTTGACACGTCCAAGGTTTTAATTTGGAAGACACTAGCAAACCTAAAAAACAAAGACTACCTGCAAACGCCTTTCGTGCTTGAAAACATGGAAATTCATCGCATGACAATTATACCAAAAGACGGCTCTCTGAAATTTACTATCAACATCCTGCAACAAAGTGGCGATTTTGAACTATGTGAAGGTGGAAGTACAGTTGTTACAGGTAAAACTTACGTTCCCGAAGATATTTCTAAAGCATTTGCAAACTCACCTTCCACTGCCCCAAGAATAGAAGAAATGGAGTTAAAATTAAATCAGCAGGATGTGTTGAAAGAACTGAGACTGCGAGGATACCAATACCAGGGTTGTTTCCAACAAATCCTCGAAACAGATGTTCGATTTTCAAACGGAAAGGTAAAGTGGAACGATTGGGTTAGTTGTATTGATGCTATTCTTCAATTTTGGTTTATGCGTGTACCCACTCGAGATCTTTATCTTCCTACGAAATTGCAGAAAGTAGTCATTGATCCACAAAAACATTTCCAAACTGTTAGAGAATGCGGTGGTATTCTTGGGGTGTTTGCCCGCGAAAATCTACGTGTTGTTAAATGCGGCGGTGTCGAAATTGGAGGCTTCAAAGCGACTTATGTTAAAAAACGTCACCTAACTCACCCGGCTCCTAAAATAGAGAAATATGAATTTGTGCCGCTAGAGAATACGACTCCCGTAAGTGAAAACGCGGCTTTACAAGTCCTTCTACAACTTGTGTTGGAAAACAGTTCCGAAGTTCTTAGAATGGCAAAAGTGGAACATGGTCATCCCAACGAGGAACGATTGATGTTCAATATTGACGAGACCCTTAAACAGGAAATTGTAGCGTCTCTAGACACCACAACAGTTACATCTAAAGACGCCAATCTGAGTGACTTTAATTTGGTAGTTGTTGCAGGTTCGAGCATAAATAATGAACTCAGTCTTTTGAAAACTATTTCACAAAATTTGGCAAAGGACGGATTTCTTCTCTTAGAAGGAGACAAGGAAGATTTTAACTTGAACGATCTATCAACTTTGGGAGTACTTGTTAGTAGTCAAATTACCGACACAAAAATTTATGCTCTATTACGAAAACCAGTAGAAACTGATGCAAACTCATCTATTATTATTAAAGTAACTGGAGATTTTTCTTGGATTAATGTACTAAAAGATGCGATGAAACAAAGCGAGACTTCTGGGAACAAAATCTATTTGTACGCTCAAGGAGACAAATTTAGCGGATTGATTGGGTTAGTGAATTGTTTAAAACAAGAACCAGGTGGAGAAAAAATAAGGGGTGCGTTCATCGAAGATCCGAATGCTCCTATATTCTCATTGACACAATATTCCGAACAACTGAGAAAAGATTTGGTTCACAATGTGCTCAAGAAAAATGTTTGGGGTACTATGAGACACATTCAATTAGAGAACAACAAAATTTCTACTCAGCACGCCTACATCAGTGCGCAGATTCCTGGAAACTTGGCAAGTTTGCAATGGGTACAAAGCCCCGTAGACTTAAGGTGATTAAAATTTTATAACGTTTGTGATATTTTAATCTCGTTTGGTAATTTATAGAAAAAACGAGCCAAATTTGGAATTATGTCATGTTTACTGCGCTCCAGTTACCTCCTACGACGTGCTACTGGCTATGGGAAAATTTTCGGAAGAAAGACCGTTAAAAAGAAACCACTTCCTAGGTTCAGAATTTTCAGGACGCGACACTACCAATAAGCGTGTCATGGGAATAATTACCACAAGCTCGTTAGCAACAACCATAGAAGTCGATACAGAATTTTTATGGTCTGTACCAGAGAAATGGAGTTTGGAAGAAGCCTCAACGGTCCCTAATGCTTACGCCATGGTAACTAAGAATCTTATTTTTCCACTGGTGTAATAGAAAAATTTCAGAGTTATTATGCTCTTGTGGTTCGAGGAGGAATCAAATCTGGAGAATCAGTTCTAATCGATGATGGTTCTGAAAGTATAGGTTTAGCTTCCATACGTATTGCGCTTAAGATGGGTTGTAAAGTTTTCACATTTGTCAACACTAAAGGGAAGAAAGACTTCTTGGAAAAAATGTTTCCAGAACTTATAGATGGTTGTATTGGTTGTGATAGTGAAGAAATGGTGTTTAACCAAACCGGTGGACGCGGAGTAGATTTAGCTTTTAGGTGTACAGTTAGTGATCATTCAGAAGCATCTATAAATTGTGTAACAGATGGTGGGCGCTTCCTTCAACTGGGAAACGTCGACTTTCCCAAAGGAAATATCTCAAATGAGAAAGATATATCGTTTCATGGTGTAGCTTTGGGTGTGTTATTTAAGAGTGAAATTTTTGTTAAGAAGAGGGTCTGGGAATTAGTTGAGCAAGGTATTATTGACGGTACTGTGAAACCTCTACCACGTATCGTCTTCAAACCTAATCAAATCCAGGAAGCCTTTCACTTCGCACAGTCCAATACACATCGTGAGAAACCAATTTTGCAAATCTGCGATAACAGCCAAAACCCAGTTCCTGTTTTGGCCACGCCCCGTTCTTACTTCGACCCAAACAAAACTTACATCATAATAGGTGGTTTGGGCGGCTTTGGCTTAGAACTAACCAACAGGTTAACTCGAAGAGGCGCAAAAAAGTTAGTTTTGGCTTCGAGAAATGGAATCCAAACAGGATATCAATCCCAACACGTCCGAAAATGGACCAAATTAGGAATCACCATTAAAATCTTTACTGAAGACATCACAATAGAAAATACAGCAAGACAACTTCTAGCAGACGCAAATAAACTAGGACCTGTTGGTGGCATTTTTAACGTATCAGCAGTCCTTCGTGACGCACTAATGGCGAACCAAACCGAAACCAACTACAGGACTGTTTGTGCCTCCAAAATCGATATCACTAAACATTTAGATGCGCTTTCAAGAGAGCTTTGTCCACATCTAGAACACTTTGTGACTTTTTCTTCATCATCGTGCGGTCGCGGAAACGCTGGTCAGTCGAATTACGGTTATGCGAATTCGGCGATGGAACGTCTTTGCGAAGCTCGTCGAGACGCTGGTCTTCCAGGACTTGCGATCCAGTGGGGTATCGTAGGTGACGTAGGTTTAGCCATAGACATGACTAAAATCAAAGTTCGGGGAATGATGCCACAAAAAATGACTTCGTGTCTGTCTACAATGGATGCTGTTCTTCAGCAAACGAATCCGGTTGTTAGTAGTACGGTTTTTCAACCAAAAAATATAGAGAGTATGAAAACACGAGAAGTAGGGATGACTGAAGCTGTTGCGACTATTCTGGGGATTGAAGACGTCTCTAAAGTTGGCGATTCTGTCTCTTTCGTCGATTTGGGTATGGATTCGACGATGGTTGCTGAAATCAGACAAATTCTTAGATATAATTATGACTTGGCGCTAAAAGTTGCAGAAGTTCGAGCATTGACTTTTAGGCAGTTAAGTGAATTGGAGGAACGGTCTGAAAGTGTGACTACAGTTGCTAGTACAAATCACCATGAAGATAGTGATTTAAATTTGGTAGTTACACCGTCTGAGTGCCTGATTAGACTGAACGACAAAAATATAGAAAACGGTCTACGGCCTGTTTTCGTCATACATTCCATAGAAGGAACAGTTAGCACGTTGATACCTTTAGCCAAAGGTATCACAGCACCTGTATATGGTTTGCAATGTAGCAAAGAAACACCTGACGGTACTATTGAAGACATGGCAGCATTTTACAACGACAAGATTAAAACAATTCAGCCTAAAAGTCCTTACACTTTTGTCGGGTACTCATTTGGTGCCGCTGTTGCTTTTGAAATGGGACTTCAGCTGGAGCATCGCGGAGATAAAGTAAATCTTGTTCTCATCGATGGGTCTCCTTTCTACATACCCACGTGTTCTAAAAAGAATGGAATTGAGATTCTGAAAACCAAGAAAGCAGTTCACGAATGTGAAATTTTGGTTTATTTCGCAACACAGTTTAAAAAAATTGACCGAAGAAAGGTCAGATTTTCAAATGTACTTACAAAGTTTTCAAATTTGTTATTTCAGGCACTTGACGAGCTCATGCTTTTAAAGACGTGGGAAGAAAGATTGGACAAAATTAGTCAGATTCTTTCTGGTGCAGTACCAGTTTCAGATGAAGATGTAAGAGATGCAGCTGCTAGATTCTTTTACAAAGTGGTGGCAGCCAATAAGTACCAACCCAAGTCCAAATTCAAAGGCAAAGTTACTCTTATTAAAGCAACAGAAAATTATATCGATGTGGGTAACGACTATGGACTTTCTGAGGTAAGAGTTTCCTTATAGAACATTTTGAGTATGCTGTTGATTACAGGTTTGCGAACTAAACGTAAAAGTGGATGCGATTGAAGGTAACCACAGGAGTATTTTGGTCGGATCTAGTGTTGAAAACATTGCAAAGATTGTAAATAGTGGCATGGAAGAAATTAAGACACAGTCATTTTAGTAATTAGCAATAAATCTGTACTCTGTTTAATTATTGTCAGTGTTGTTTTTGTATTTTATTTTGGTAATAAATGTAAATGTGGTTTGTTTGTTATCTTTTGTATTTTTCCATACGATTGGTAGCTTTTTTGTAGAGTACAAAACAAAAATAGTCCGCATTAAGTTACTGACTCTTATTAAAATTGCATTTCCTATTGTATGTTAATGAATGACGTTTGATAAATTGAGACTACAATGTGCGAAAAAAAGTATGGAATCTTTAAAATTAACAATATGTCATTATGATTTAAATATGCATTTAGTGCAGCTACTGCCGTGACGCCTAGAAATGCATTTATAAATGGCCAAACATACTACTCACAAATGCAGTATTTTGTCCAATCCATTATGATGTTTTAAGCTGCATTGAAAGATTTATTACTGCTTAAAATATCTTTAAATAGGCAAAACGTCCTCTGTGCGTCTTTCGACTAGGCATAGGTGCAAAAGTGTGAGTAATTAAACCAAAATATTTTTTAAAGAGTAAATTGTTCATAAAATATTTGTTTAGTGTTCAGATTAGGTCATACAAATGGCTATTAAAACTTCTGACGACATTGGCAAAGATTGTAAATAGTGGCATGGAAGAAATTAAGACACAGTCATTTTAGTAACTAAAATGAAAAAATGATTTAATTATTCTCAGTGTTGTTTTTGTATTTTATTTTGGTAATAAATGTAAGTGTGGTTTATTATATTTTGTATTTCTTCAAACGGTAGCGTTTCTTCTGGAGTACGAAACAAAAACAGTCGACACTAATTAATTTGACTTTTATTAAATCTTCATTTCCAATTGGATGTTAATGAATAACGTTTGACAAATTGCGACTACAGCGTGTGCAATATTATATATAATTTAAATAGGATTTACTTTGAAAATGTTGTGATGACATCATCCCGTCTGGATTTTCTGTGCACTGGAAATTTTCTGAGTTAGGTTTCGTCTTAAATATTTCTTTGCAACCTTACTTGACCCCCACCTACTTACTTGCAGATCTAAGACGTCAGCACCGGCACAACTCATCAAGTTGTCAACACCCAACAATTTTCTTTTTGATGAATCTTATCTTGTCGACTATTTCTTTCAATTTTAAGCATGTCTGAAGCTTTGAATGTTGGGAGCATAAGGATAAAGTTTTACGAAAATGTCGTTTGATGCGATAAAGTTCTATAAATTTGACTTGGCTGACAACGTTCGTCGTCATGTAACACCTTCGACGACGTTATAATTTTGCATTCATATCTCATTCTAATCAAACACAACCATTTACGTCTTTGCCTCTAATAATTATTACTATTTTTATGCCATGATTATGTAATTAGATTTAATTATAACAAGAACATCATGTGATTTATAATAGTGGATACTGTAAATCATATAACATATAATATTCTCGTTAATTTCATATAGGGAAAATTATCCCTGTTAATAGTAGAATTGGTAGTTATAGGAGATTTATTATGCTGATTTTGATAACAATTTTTTTTGTTAAAGCAGTTCATTTTTTAGTTATAATCATGTCGTAAAAGCAGTAATTATTATTAGACACAAAGACGTAAATGGCAGTAGTGGATTACAAGTTATAAATACAACGTTGTTGAAGTTATGTTCCTTCGTGCGAATAAAACATTAATATAAAACGGTAAGAAGGAAAACAACATTTTTAATTTGATATCATTTAATTTTAACACTAATCCAAATCTTAAAATAAAATTGCCTGTGTGGTTCTTAACTTAACAAATTGGACCTTCAAACTGTCCCCTTCTCTTTTAATAAATTGTTTCAGATTATGGCTACCAAAACTTCTGAGGACATTGTCATCGCTGGTATTTCCGGCCGCTTCCCCGAAAGCTCAAATCTGGAAGAATTCAAACAACAACTATTCGACGGCGTCGATCTAGTGACAGACGACGAAAGACGCTGGCCATCAGGTCTCTACAACCTTCCAACCCGTACCGGAAAAATGAAAGATATATCTCACTTCGACGCTACCTTCTTCGGCGTTCATTCTAAACAAGCCCACACGATGGACCCTCAACTGAGATTTCTTCTCGAAGTAACTTATGAAGCAATCGTCGACGCTGGAGTTAACCCCAACGACATAAAAGGTTCAAAAACGGGCGTCTATGTTGGAGTTTTCCAAAACGAAGCGTCTGATTATTGGACAAGAAGCCCAGACAGAACCAAAGGATACAGTTTAAGCGGATGTAGCGCTTTTATGTTTGCTAATAGAATATCGTACGCTTTTGATTTGAAAGGACCTAGTTATGTGGTGGATTCGGCTTGTTCGGGTAGTATGGTGGCTTTGCACCAAGCTGTTTGGGCAATGAAGAACGGGGAGTGTGATGCTGCTATCGTAGGAGGGGTGAATTTGCTTTTGAGGCCTGAAACCTCTTTGGAGTTTTTAATCATCGGTATGTTGAGTGCTGAAGGAAAATGTAAATCGTTTGATGCGGATGGAAATGGCTACGTGAGGTCTGAAGCCACGGTTGTCGTTTATTTACAAAAGGCAGAAAGCGCTAAACGTGTGTATGCCACCATTCTGGGAATAAAAGTCAACAATGATGGCTACAAAGAAGAAGGGATTACTTTTCCTAGTGGAAGAATGCAGAACGTGCTCATTCGAGACACGTACACCACATTTGGAGTTGATCCTTCAGAAGTTTCATATTTAGAAGCTCATGGTACTGGTACCGTAGCAGGTGATACCCAAGAAGTCAATTCCGCCTCAGACTTTTTCTGTGAAAATCGGAAAGAACCTCTGCTTATAGGTTCTGTGAAAAGTAACATGGGACATTCAGAAGCCGCTTCAGGGCTGTGTTCCTTGGCAAAAGTGGTCATCACTATGGAAAGTGGTTTCATACCTGCCAACTTACATTTTCAATCCCCGAATAAAAACATCCCTGCATTGTGTGACGGTCGTCTGAAAGTGGTCACTAATAAGAACGAACCTTGGCTAGGTGGTCTAATTGCTATTAATTCCTTTGGTGCCGGGGGTACTAACTCACACCTTATTCTTAAAGCGAACCCGAAAGAGAAAATTAAACAAAATACAGGTGATGTACCACGTATCGTGGCGATTTCCGGACGCACCTCTAACGCGGTTCACACTTTAATCGATCAAGTTAAGAAGCACAGAGACGACGATGAGTTCTTGTATCTAGTAAATGAGGTTCATCAGGACGGGATTAAGGGTCACCAATATAGAGGATTCTGTCTTTTAAACGACACACCAGTCTGCGAAATCGGAGATATCTCTCTTCAGAAGAGACCTGTATGGTTTATATACAGTGGGGTGGGTTCTCAAAAGAGCATAGGAAAGGAACTCATGCAAATAGAAGTGTTTCGCAACTCAGTTAAGAAAAGTTCTGTAGTGCTACAGCAATTTGGGATAGATTTAGAAGATATTTTAATCAACGGGACGGATTCCACCTTCGAGAATGTTCTGAATACAACAGTTGCGATAGTCGGTGTACAGATAGCCTTAACAGACCTTTTAAAATTTTTAGGCGTTGACCCTGATGGAATAATCGGACATTCGATTGGTGAACTAAGTTGTGCTTACGCAGACGAAACTCTGACCGCCGAACAAACCATTCTTACCGCTTACCACAGAGGAAAATCTCTAATAGACAGTGATCTTGTCAAAGGGTCAATGGCTGCAGTTGGACTATCATGGGAACAAGCACACCAAAGGTGCCCCTCAAATGTATTTCCCGCTTGCCACAACGCCCAAAATAACACCACAGTCTCTGGTCTGAGCCACTCTGTGAAAGCTTTCGTCGCCCAACTAACTTCTGAAAATATTTTTGCCAAAGAAGTGAAAGTGAGTAATGTCGCTTTCCACTCAAAATACGTAGCAAAAGCGGGTCCACAATTCCACAAAGCACTCAAACAAATCATACCTTTCCCAAAACCACGAACATCCAAATGGATTTCATCTTCAATACCTGAGTCGAAATGGACGACGACTCTTGCACAATACAGCTCTCCAGATTATCACGTCGAAAATTTTCTTTCGCCTGTTTTGTTCCACGAAGCTCTTCAACACGTCCCAGACAACGCTGTCGTGATTGAAATAGCACCTTCAGCGCTTTTTCAGGGAATTATTAAACGTTCGTTAGGGTCAAAAATTACACCTGTAAGCCTTTTAAAGAAAGAGTGTGATAACGATGTTGAGTTTTTATTGGCAGGTCTTGGAAGGTGAGTTTACTACTATAATGTGCAATTAATCGTGACCATGTACGTTTAGGGTACACAATGCTGGATGCCAATCCAAATTTGCAAAGCTTTATCCTTCAATGGATTTTCCAGTGGGTCGAGGTACCCCCATGATTGCTCCGTACGTCAAGTGGGACCATTCTGAGGAGTGGACGGTGCCTAATTTTCTTGAGAGTGAATCTAAATCTGGTGTTATGGAAATAGAAGTGGATATGAGCAAAGAGGACAATCAATATCTGTTGGGACATGTTATTGATGGTCAAAATCTTTACCCAGCAGCTGCATATGTGGTAAGTAAATAAGTCGTCTACAAATTAGTTTCAATCGTCTTACTTGACACGTTCAAGGTTTTAATTTGGAAGACACTAGCAAACCTAAAAAACAAAGACTACCTGCAAACGTCTTTCGTGCTTGAAAACATGGAAATTCATCGCATGACAATTATTCCAAAAGACGGCTCTCTGAAATTTACTATCAACATCCTGCAACAAAGTGGCGATTTTGAACTATGTGAAGGTGGAAGTACAGTTGTTACAGGTAAAACTTACGTTCCCGAAGATATTTCTAAAGCATTTGCAAACTCACCTTCCACTGCCCCAAGAATAGAAGAAACGGAGTTAAAATTAAATCAGCAGGATGTGTTGAAAGAACTGAGACTGCGAGGATATGAATACCAGGGTTGTTTCCAACAAATCCTCGAAACAGATGTTCGATTTTCAAACGGAAAGGTAAAGTGGAACGATTGGGTTAGTTGTATTGATGCTATTCTTCAATTTTGGTTTATGCGTGTACCCACTCGAGATCTTTATCTTCCTACGAAATTGCAGAAAGTAGTCATTGATCCACAAAAACATCTCCAAACTGTTAGAGAATGCGGTGGTATTCTTGGGGTGTTTGCCCGCGAAAATCTACGTGTTGTTAAATGCGGCGGTGTCGAAATTGGAGGCTTCAAAGCGACTTATGTTAAAAAACGTCACCTAACTCACCCGGCTCCTAAAATAGAGAAATATGAATTTGTGCCGCTAGAGAATACGACTCCCGTAAGTGAAAACGCGGCTTTACAAGTCCTTCTACAACTTGTGTTGGAAAACAGTTCCGAAGTTCTTAGAATGGCAAAAATGGAACATGGTCATCCCAACGAGGAACGAGTGATGTTCAATATTGACGAGACCCTTAAACAGGAAATTGTAGCGTCTCTAGACACCACAACAGTTACATCTAAAGACGCCAATCTGAGTGACTTTAATTTGGTAGTTGTTGCAGGTGCGAGCATAAATAATGAACTCAGTCTTTTGAAAACTATTTCACAAAATTTGGCAAAGGACGGATTTCTTCTCTTAGAAGGAGACAAGGAAAATTTTAACTTGAACGATCTATCAACTTTGGGAGTACTTGTTAGTAGTCAAATTACCGACACAAAAATTTATGCTCTATTAAGAAAACCAGTAGAAACTGATGCAAACTCATCTATTATTATTAAAGTAACTGGAGATTTTTCTTGGATTAATGTACTAAAAGATGCGATGAAACAAAGCGAGACTTCTGGGAACAAAATCTATTTGTACGCTCAAGGAGACAAATTTAGCGGATTGATTGGGTTAGTGAATTGTTTAAAACAAGAACCAGGTGGAGAAAAAATAAGGGGTGCGTTCATCGAAGATCCGAATGCTCCTATATTCTCATTGACACAATATTCCGAACAACTGAGAAAAGATTTGGTTCACAATGTGCTCAAGAAAAATGTTTGGGGTACTATGAGACACATTCAATTAGAGAACAACAAAATTTCTACTCAGCACGCCTACATCAGTGCGCAGATTCCTGGAAACTTGGCAAGTTTGCAATGGGTACAAAGCCCCGTAGACTTAAGGTGATTAAAATTTTATAACGTTTGTGATATTTTAATCTCGTTTGGTAATTTATAGAAAAAACGAGCCAAATTTGGAATTATGTCATGTTTACTGCGCTCCAGTTACCTCCTACGACGTGCTACTGGCTATGGGAAAATTTTCGGAAGAAAGACCGTTAAAAAGAAACCACTTAGTAGGTTCAGAATTTTCAGGACGCGACACTACCAATAAGCGTGTCATGGGAATAATTACCACAAGCTCGTTAGCAACAACCATAGAAGTCGATACAGAATTTTTATGGTCTGTACCAGAGAAATGGAGTTTGGAAGAAGCCTCAACGGTCCCTAATGCTTACGCCACGGTAAGTAAGAATCTTATTTTTCCACTGGTGTAACCGAAAAATTTCAGAGTTATTATGCTCTTGTGGTTCGAGGAGGAATCAAATCTGGAGAATCAGTTCTAATCGATGATGGTTCTGAAAGTATAGGTTTAGCTTCCATACGTATTGCGCTTAAGATGGGTTGTAAAGTTTTTACAATTGTCAACACTAAAGGGAAGAAAGACTTCTTGGAAAAAATGTTTCCAGAACTTATAGATGGTTGTATTGGTTGTGATAGTGAAGAAATGGTGTTTAACCAAACCGGTGGACGCGGAGTAGATTTAGCTTTTAGGTGTACAGTTAGTGAACATTCAGAAGCATCTATAAATTGTGTAACAGATGGTGGGCGCTTCCTTCAACTGGGAAACGTCGACTTTCCCAAAGGAAATATCTCAAATGAGAAAGATATATCGTTTCATGGTGTAGCTTTGGGTGTGTTATTTAAGAGTGAAATTTTTGTTAAGAAGAGGGTCTGGGAATTAGTTGAGCAAGGTATTATTGACGGTACTGTGAAACCTCTACCACGTATCGTCTTCAAACCTAATCAAATCCAGGAAGCCTTTCACTTCGCACAGTCCAATACACATCGTGAGAAACCAATTTTGCAAATCTGCGATGACAGCCAAAACCCAGTTCCTGTTTTGGCCACGCCCCGTTCTTACTTCGACCCAAACAAAACTTACATCATAATAGGTGGTTTGGGCGGTTTTGGCTTAGAACTAACCAACTGGTTAACTCAAAGAGGCGCAAAAAAGTTAGTTTTGGCTTCGAGAAATGGAATCCAAACAGGATATCAATCCCAACACGTCCGAAAATGGACCGAATTAGGAATCAGCATCCAAATCTTTACTGATGACATCACAATAGAAAATACAGCGAGACAACTTCTAGCAGACGCAAATAAACTAGGACCTGTTGGTGGCATTTTTAACGTATCAGCAGTCCTTCGTGACGCACTAATGGCGAACCAAACCGAAACCAACTACAGGACTGTTTGTGCCTCCAAAATCGATATCACTAAACATTTAGATGCGCTTTCAAGAGAGCTTTGTCCACATCTAGAACACTTTGTGACTTTTTCTTCATCATCGTGCGGTCGCGGAAATGCTGGTCAGTCGAATTACGGTTATGCGAATTCGGCGATGGAACGTCTTTGCGAAGCTCGTCGAGACGCTGGTCTTCCAGGACTTGCGATCCAGTGGGGTATCGTAGGTGACGTAGGTTTAGCCATAGACATGACTAAAATAAAAGTTCGGGGAATGATGCCACAAAAAATGACTTCGTGTCTGTCTACAATGGATGCTGTTCTTCAGCAAACGAATCCGGTTGTTAGTAGTACGGTTTTTCAACCAAAAAATATAGAGAGTATGAAAACACGAGAAGTAGGGATGACTGAAGCTGTTGCGACTATTCTGGGGATTGAAGACGTCTCTAAAGTTGGCGATTCTGTCTCTTTCGTCGATTTGGGTATGGATTCGACGATGGTTGCTGAAATCAGACAAATTCTTAGATATAATTATGACTTGGCGCTAAAAGTTGCAGAAGTTCGAGCATTGACTTTTAGGCAGTTAAGTGAATTGGAGGAACGGTCTGAAAGTGTGACTACAGTTGCTAGTACAAATCACCATGAAGATAGTGATTTAAATTTGGTAGTTACACCGTCTAAGTGCCTGATTAGACTGAACGACAAAAATATAGAAAACGGTCTACGGCCTGTTTTCGTCATACATTCTATAGAAGGAACAGTTAGTACGTTGATACCTTTGGCCAAAGGTATCACAGCACCTGTATATGGTTTGCAATGTAGCAAAGAAACTCCTGGCGGTACTATTGAGGACATGGCAGCATTTTACAACGACAAGATTAAAACAATTCAGCCTAAGGGTCCTTACACTTTTGTCGGGTACTCATTTGGTGCCGCTGTTGCTTTTGAAATGGGACGTCAGCTGGAGCATCGGGGAGATAAAGTAAATCTTGTCCTCATCGATGGGTCTCCTTCCTACATACCCACGTATTCTAAGAAGAATGGAATTGAGATTCTGAAAACCAATAAACCAGTTCACGAATGTGAAATTTTACTTTATTTCGCAACACAGTTTAAAAAAATTGACCGAAGAAAGGTCAGATTTTCAAATGTACTTACAAAGTTTTCAAATTTGTTATTTCAGGCCCTTGATGAGCTCATGCTTTTAAAGACGTGGGAAGAAAGATTGGACAAAATTACTCAGATTCTTTCTGGTGCAGTACCAGTTTCAGATGAAGATGTAAGAGATGCAGCTGCTAGTTTCTTTTACAAAGTGGTGGCAGCCAATAAGTACCAACCCAAGTCCAAATTCAAAGGCAAAGTTACTCTTATTAGAGCAACAGAAAATTATATCGATGTGGGTAACGACTATGGGCTTTCTGAGGTAAGAGTTATTTACAGATCATTTTGAGTATTCTGTGTCGTGTTGATTACAGATTTGCGAACTAAACGTAAAAGTGGATGCGATTGAAGGTGACCACAGGAGTATTTTGGTAGGATCTAGTGTTGAAGGCATTGCAAACATTGTAAATAGTGGCATGGCAGAAATTAAGACACAGTCATTTTAGTAATCAGCGATAGATTTGCACTTTATTTAATTATTGTCAGTGTTATTTTTGTATTTTATTTTGATAATATATATAAGTGTGGTTTGTTTGTTATCTTTTGTATTTTTCCATCCGATTGGTAGCTTTTCTTGTAGAGTACAAAACAAAAACCGTCTAGACTAAGTTATTGACTCTTATTAAACTTGCATTTCCTATTGTGTGTTAATGAATGAGGTTTGATAAATTGAGACTACAATGTGCGAAAAAAAGTATGGAATCTTTAAAATTAACAATATGTCAATATGATTTAAATATGAATTTAGTGCAGCTACTGCAGTGACGCCTAGAAATGCATTTATAAATGGCCAAAATACCACTCACAATTGCAGTATTTTTGTCCAATCCATTATGATGTTTTAAGCTGCATTGAAAGGTTTATTACTGCTTAAAATATTTTAAAATAGGCAAAACGTCCTCTGTGCGTCTTTCGACTAGGCATAGGTGCAAAAGTGTAAGTACCTAGTAATTAAACCAAAATATTTATTAAAGAATAAATTGCTGAAAAATTAGTGTCATCGAAATGGCTACCAAAACTTCTGACGACATTGTCATCACTGGCATTTCCGGCCGCTTCCCCGAAAGCTCAAATCTGGAAGAATTCAAACAACAACTATTCGACGGCGTCGACCTAGTGACAGACGACGAAAGACGTTGGCCATCAGGTCTTCACAACCTTCCCACACGCACCGGAAAAATGAAAGACATATCTCACTTCGACGCTACCTTCTTCGGCGTCAGCCCCAAACAAGCCCACACGATGGATCCTCAACTGAGATTTCTTCTCGAATCAACTTACGAAGCAATCGTCGACGCTGGTGTTAACCCCAACGACATAAAAGGTTCAAAAACGGGTGTCTACGTTGGAGTTTTCCAAAACGAAGCGAGGGATTATTGGACAAGAAACCCAGACAGAATCAAAGGATACGGCTTAAATGGATGTAGCGCTTTTATGTTTGCAAACAGAATATCTTACACTTTTGATTTCAAAGGGCCTAGTTATGTGGTGGATTCGGCTTGTTCGGGTAGTATGGTGGCTTTGCACCAAGCTGTTTGGGCAATGAAGAACGGGGAGTGTGATGCTGCGATCGTAGCAGGGGTGAATTTGCTTTTGAGACCTGAAACCTCTTTGGAGTTTTTAATCATCGGTATGTTGAGTGCTGAAGGAAAATGCAAATCGTTTGATGCGGATGGAAACGGCTACGTGAGGTCTGAAGCCACAGTTGTCGTTTATTTGCAAAAGAAAGAAAGCGCTAAACGTGTGTATGCCACCATTCTGGGAATAAAAGTCAACAATGATGGCTACAAAGAAGAAGGGATTACTTTTCCCAGTGGAAATATGCAGAACGTGCTCATTCGCGACACGTACACGGAATTTGGAGTTGACCCCTCAGAAGTGTTATATTTTGAAGCTCATGGTACTGGTACCATAGCAGGGGATACACAAGAAGTCAATTCAATTGCAGACTTTTTCTGTGAAAATCGGAAAGAACCACTGCTTATAGGATCTGTCAAAAGTAACATGGGGCATCCTGAATCAGCCTCGGGACTGTGTTCGTTGGCAAAAGTGGTCATCTCTATGGAAAGTGGTTTCATACCTGCCAACTTACATTTTCAATCGCCTAATAAAAACATCCCTGCGTTGTGCGACGGTCGTTTGAAAGTGGTCACTAAGAACGAACCTTGGCTAGGTGGTCTAGCTGCTATTAATTCTTTTGGTGCCGGAGGTACCAACTCACACCTTATTCTTAAAGCGAACCCGAAAGAGAAAATTAAACAAAATGCACCTGGTGTACGACGTGTCGTGGCGATTTCTGGACGCACCTCTGACGCGGTTCACACTTTAATCGATCAAGTTAAGAAGCATAGACACGACGATGAGTTCTTGTATCTAGTAAATGAGGTTCATCAGGATGGGATTAAGGGTCACCAATACAGAGGATTCTGTCTTTTAAACGATACACCAGTCGACGAAATCGGAGATATCTCTTTCCAGAAGAGACCTGTTTGGTTTATATACAGTGGGGTGGGTTCTCAAAAGAGCATAGGAAAAGAACTCATGCAAATAGAAGTGTTTCGCAGCTCAATTAAGAAAAGTTCTGTAGTGCTACAGCAATTTGGAATAGATTTAGAAGATATCATAGTCAACGGGACGGATTCCATCTTCGAGAACGTTCTCAATACAACAGTAGCGATAGTCGGCGTACAGATAGCCTTAACAGACCTTTTAAAATTTTTAGACGTACAGCCCGACGGAATAATCGGACATTCGATTGGTGAAATAAGTTGTGCTTACGCAGACGAAACTCTAACCGCCGAACAAACCATTCTTACCGCTTACCACAGAGGAAAATCTCTAATAGACAGTGATCTTGTCAAAGGGTCAATGGCTGCAGTTGGACTGTCATGGGACCAAGCACACCAAAGGTGCCCCTCAAATGTATTTCCCGCTTGCCACAACGCCCAAAATATCACCACAGTCTCTGGTCTGAGCGACTCTGTAAAAGCTTTCGTCGCACAACTAACTTCTGAAAATATTTTTGCCAAAGAAGTGAAAGTCAGCAATGTCGCTTTCCACTCCAAGTACGTAGCAAAAGCGGGTCCTCAGTTCCACAAAGCACTCAAACAAATCATACCTTTCCCAAAACCACGAACATCCAAATGGATCTCATCATCAATACCTGAGTCGAAATGGACGACGGCTCTTGCACAATACAGCTCCCCAGATTATCACGTCGGAAATTTTCTTTCGCCTGTTCTGTTCCACGAAGCTCTTCAACACGTCCCAGACAACGCTGTCGTTATTGAAATAGCACCTTCGGCGCTTTTTCAAGGAATTATTAGACGTTCGTTAGGATCTAAAATTACACCTGTAAGCCTTTTAAAGAAAGAGTGTGATAACGATGTTGAGTTTTTATTGACAGCGCTTGGAAGGTAAGTTTACTAGTTTAATGTGCGATTAATAGTGACTATGTACGATTAGGGTACACAATGCTGGATGCCAACCCAAATTTGCAAAGCTTTATCCTTCAATGGATTTTCCAGTGGGTCGAGGTACCCCCATGATTGCTCCGTACGTCAAGTGGGACCATTCTGAGGAGTGGACGGTGCCTAATTTTGTTGAAGAAAACTCTAGCTCTGGTGCGGTGGAAGTAGAGGTAGATGTCACCAAAGAAGAAAACCGGTTTTTGTTGGGTCATAGCACTGATAGTCAAATTGTTTACCCAGCCGCTGCGTATGTGGTAAATGTTGCCAATTCGTTTCAAAAATAAAAAGGGTGACCGAAATTGATTTCAGGTTTTAATTTGGAAGACATTAGCAAAACTCAAAAACAAAGATTACGCGCACATGCCTTTTGTAATCGAAAACGTGGAATTTCATCGTGCCACGATTATTCCGAAACAAGGTTCTATTAAATTTAGTATCAACATCTTACAGCAAAACGGTGATTTTGAATTGTGCCAAGGTGGAAGCATTGTTGTCACGGGTAGGACCCAAGTTCCTGAAAATGTGTCCAAAATGTTTTCAAAGCTTGAACCCATCGACTCCCAAACAGGAGAGACGTGGTTAAAATTAAACCACGAAGATGTGTTCAAAGAACTGAGACTAGGGGGATTTGAATATGGGGGTAGCTTCCAAGAAATCCTGGAAACAGATAACCGTTTTTCAAATGGGAAAATAAAATGGAACAACTGGGTTAGTTGTATTGACGCCATGTTACAATTCTGGGCTATCCGTATACATACTCGAGAGCTTTACCTTCCTACTAAATTACAAAAAGTTGTAATTGATCCTAAAATGCATCTTCAAGCAGCTAGAGAATCTGACAATGTTTTGGCGGTGTCTGCGTTTGACAACATCGGCGTTGTTAAATGTGGAGGTGTTGAAGTTAAAGGGTTAAAAACCAGTTATGTTACAAGGTGCCATCTAACGCATTCCACTCCGAAAATAGAAAAGTATGAGTTTGTACCTTTAGAAGATAAAGTCTGGGTAAGCGAAAATGTAGCCCTAAAAATGGTTGTGCAAACTGTGTTGGAAAACAGTGTTGGAGTTCTTCGAATAGGAAAAATTGAAAGTGGACATCCGATGGAAGAAAAGTTGCTGCTCGAAATTGAGGAGATCCTTAAACGGGAGCTTGTGATATCTGTAGATACAAAAATAATTACATCCAAATATCCAACTCTGACTGATTTTGATTTGGTGGTTGTGTCCGTTGCGAACATAAAAACTGAACTCAGTTTTCTAGAAACCATTTTACAGAACTTGAAACAGGAAAGTTTTCTCTTGTTAGAAGGAGATAAGGAAGATTTAAATTTCAACAATCTACCATCTATGGGAGTGGTTGTTAGTACTCAAGTCACTTCCACAAAAATGTACACTCTTTTACGAAAACCAACTGAAATTGACACAAACTCATCTGTTATTAAAGTAACCGAAGACCTGTCTTGGATTGAACTAGTAAAAGATGCAATGAAGCGAAACGAAGACTGTGGAAACAAAATTTATTTGTACACTCAAGGAGACAACTTTGGTGGATTAATCGGTTTCGTGAATTGTTTAAAGCAGGAACCAGGTGGCGAAAAAGTAAGAGCTGTGTTCATCGAAGATGCGAATGCTCCTCCATTCTCACTGACTCGGTATTCCGAACAACTGCGAAAAGATTTGGTTCACAATGTGCTCAAGAAAAACGTTTGGGGTACTTTGAGACACATTCCATTTGATAACGACAAAATTTCGACTCAGCACGCCTACATCAGTGCGCAGATTCCTGGAAGCTTGGCAAGTTTGCAATGGGTACAAAGCCGCTTAGACTTAAGGTAAATAAAATTTTAGAATGTTTGTGATATTTTAACCTCGTTTGGTAATTTATAGAAAAAACGAGCCAAACTTGGAATTATGTCGTGTTTACTATGCTCCAATTACCTCCCACGACGTGCTTCTGGCTATGGGAAAATTTTCAGAGGAGAGACCATTAAAAAGAAACCACACCCTAGGTTCAGAATTTTCAGGACGCGACAATACCGATAAGCGTGTCATGGGAATAATTATCACAAGCTCTTTAGCAACAACCATAGAAGTCGATAAAGAATTTTTGTGGTCTGTACCAGAGAAATGGAGTTTGGAAGAAGCCTCAACGGTCCCTAATGCTTACGCCACGGTAACTAACAATCTTATTTTTACACTGCTGTAACAGGAAAATTTCAGAGTTATTATGCTCTTGTGGTTCGAGGCGAAATCAAACCTGGAGAATCAGTTCTCATCCATGATGGTTCTGAAACCATAGGTATAGCTTCCATACGTATTGCGCTTAAGATGGGTTGCAAAGTTTTTACATTTGTCAACACTAAAGAGAAGAAAGATTTCTTGGAAAGAATTTTTCCAGAACTTGCAGATGGCTGCATTGGTCATGATAGTACTTTCGACGAAATGGTACTCAAGGGAACGAATGGATGCGGAGTCGATTTGGTTTTTGGTTATGCAACCGGTGAACACTTGGAAGCATCTTTGAACTGTTTAACGCATGGTGGTCGCTTCCTGAAAATAGGAAATTTCGACTTTCCCAAAAAAAGTGTTTTGAAAATGAAAAATATATCACTCTATGGTATAGTCTTTGATGCGCAATTTAGAAGTGAGGTTTCTATTAAGAGAAAAATTTGGCGATTAGTTGACGAAGGTACTGTATATTTAGTAGCTAATAAGTAAGTAATAAATAACATGTGATTCTTAAATTTTAGGTATTAGTAACGGTACCGTGAAACCTGTACCACGCACTGTCTTTAGAAACAACCAAATCGAAGAAGCTTTCCACTGCGCAGAGTCCACCACACATATGGGGAAATCAATTTTGGAAATTTGCCCTGAAGACCAAAAACCACACCCTGTTTTAGCTACGTCACGGTCTTATTTCGACCCAAACAAAACTTACGTCCTAATAGGTGGTTTGGGCGGTTTTGGGTTAGAACTAACCAACTGGTTGACTCAAAGAGGAGCAAAAAAGTTTATTTTGTCTTCAAGAAATGGAATCCGAACAGGATATCAGTCGCTTCGTTTCAGAAATTGGACACAGTCGGGAAACATCGTTCAGATCTTTACCGCTGACGTTACGACACTAAAGGGTACGAGGAAACTTCTGAAAGTAGCAGACAATCTAGGACCTGTAGGCGGCATTTTCAATGTGGCAGGAGTCGTTCGTGACGCACTAATGGTAAATTTAACCGAAGCCGACTTCAAGACTGTCTGTGCTCCGAAAATCGAAATTACTAAACATTTAGATGTGGTTTCGAGAGAGCTTTGCCCACAGTTAGAACACTTTGTGACTTTTTCTTCATCATCGTGCGGTCGCGGAAATGCTGGACAGTCGAATTACGGATATGCGAATTCAGCGATGGAACGTCTTTGTGAAGCTCGTCGAGAAATGGGTCTTCCAGGACTCGCGATCCAATGGGGTGCTGTGGGAGATGTGGGTTTAGCAATGGAGAAGACCAGAGGGAATAAGTACGTGAAAGTAGGTGGGACGGTGCCGCAAAGAATAGTTTCGTGTCTCTCTACGTTGGACATTTTCCTTCAACAATTGAATCCTGTTGTCAGTAGCATGGTATTAAAAGACAGACACACAGAAGACTTGAAAACAAAAGAAATTGGGATGATTGACGCTGTTGCTAATATTTTGGGAATTGAAGATGTTTCCAAAGTTGGCGATTGTGTTTCTCTTGTCGATTTGGGCATGGATTCGCTAATGGCTGCTGAAATCCGGCAGACTCTTCAAGGTAAATTTGACTGGGCGTTGAGTGTTGAAAAAATTCGGGCACTTAGTTTTGGACAGTTGAGTGAACACGAAAAAATCTGCAAACGACCAGGAAAAGTAGGTGCAAAAATTGATCAACCTGTAGAGGGTGTTTAAAGGATTTCATTTATGTCGTTACTTTGTTAAACGTTATTTTTGTATTTTGTTGTGGTAATAAATTTAAGTGTGGTTTGAATTAACGAGTTCACCGTTTCTATTCATCCTTATCTCAAATTTATCCATCAGAAGCACTTAATAATTATTTATCCGTCTTATCTATGAATGAGCGGTTCAGTGCTCGACTTTAATCAAACCATATCCGTTTTTTTAATTAAGAAAAAAAATAGAGAAATGATGGCCCACATTTTAAAACACAAAGAAATAATGGCTTGTTTTTTAAACACCTAATAAAAACGTCATCAAACCTCGTCTTGTCTAACATTGCGAGTGCGTGTTTGACGAGCCTCCACTACAAAGCCACCAATTATGTTATTATTTCTATAGATAAACAGCTACTGTCGGTTCAGTTGTCGTTAATACGTGTATCGTTGAGTGAACGCAAGCGTTCGATTATTTACAGTTACAACTCTTTGAAGACACCCACATAAACAAAACAGTGACATCGTCAACCAAAATTTTAAAAATGGGAGACAAAATTTGGACGATCAACGGTAAGTAGAGACAATTCTTACAATTTATCGACTAGAGAGTGCATAGAAATAACCTTGACTTGCAACAATCGATATTATATAATAAGCTGCATTATTTATCTTTTTTAGACAACGTTCATTGTCAGCTGTTAACCTCCGCCTACCTCGAAGAAGCCCTCCGATTTATCGAAACCGCGTTCTACCCTCACGAAAACATATGCAAGACTATGGAAATCACGAAAGACCCGGAGGCTTTAGTCGAACTTCGCGAGCTAACAACATCTGCAGCCAAAGACGGAGTTACACTTATCGCAGTGGACAAACGGTCCAACAAAATCGTAGGAGTAGCGTTCAACAAAATCCAGGTTAGAGACGATCCCGTCTTTGAAAATTTAGCCAAGCGCTGGAAGCGTCCCCTTTCTAAAGCCATCGTGGAGTTCATGGCCTACATCGACAACCTCTACAACCTCTTCGAGCACTGTCAGATCGAGTGTCTTTTCGAGCTGATGTTCCTGGCTACGCTGACAGACTACAGGGGGCAAGGTATAGGACGGAAGTTAACCGAAGTTTCGGTGGAGATTGCCAGGGATCTAGCGAACGGAATTAACGTTAAAAAATCCGTTGATGGTAGCCAGCTTGCTCTGGAGCCTGCACCCAAAATCATTAGTTCCATTTTCACTTCTATTGCCACTCAGAAAATCGGGAGACAGTTAGGGTTTCAGGTCGTTGTCGAACTGGATTATGAGGGGTTGGACTTTCAGGGGATGAGTTTCACAAAAGTGGCGGAAAGTGGGACGAAGAAGCTGACGTTGGAGTATAAGAAACTTACGTGATGCTACTAAAATTTGTAAAAAATTAAATATACAATTTTTAAAATTATTATATTGTTGTAAGTTGTAGTAAATTAAATATTTGCAATTATTGCTGTACCTTAGTCCCCTTATCTTAGTCACTGATAAACCTGAAAGCCCTCTTGTTTGTTTGAAGATTGCTAGACAGTAGGTACTTACACCATAACTCTTGTCGACGTGGAAATAAAACAGTTGTCGACAAAGATTTCAAGTTCATAAATCTGCGCATTAATTGATAACCTTGTACACCAATAAATGTAGAGTTTGAAATGTTTAAGTACCACAACTAGTAAGGAAGTGTCACCATAAAATGGAAATCGAAAAATGGTGGGTTAATGGTAAGTTATTGTGAACAAATGTAGGTATCAGGATGTTTTTAGACAAAAGTGGGCCATGTGAATTTAGTAATATAGTTGACAACCAATTTTCGATTTTAAAATAAAATTTTTAGAATATCTCAAAAATGGTATCATTTCATTTTGGCGAATCTGAAAAAGTGGTGGAAATTTTCAAAGAAATGTTCCCGAAAATTACTTCTGCAGCTTGAAATAAACGAAAAACATGTCTTGATGAATTTCAAAAAGCTCGCAAAAATATCAAAAATTTGAAAAATTGAGTAATTTTCGAAAGAGCTTGGAAAAAGTTAAAAATTTAATAAATTTGAGCTTTCGGTAAAATTGCCTTAAAATATATCAAAAGACTAGGATATAAATCTCGAGAAACTAATTCGTGAAACGTAGCCTTTAAATGAAACCAGACTAAGTTTTTTGAAATTTTCGGTTTCAAAATCAAATTTTTAAAAAATCGCAAAAATTTTCATGTTTCATCTTGGCGGTTATGGATAAATGGTTGGAATTTTCGAACAAATGAAGGCAAAAATAACTTTTACAAGTCTAAATAGAAAAAAAATCTCTTTAGGGAATTCTCAAACCTACTTGGAAAGAGTCAACAATTTTGTAATTGGCAATTATTGAAAAATTTTTGTTTGGTTAAAAAGCCACACAAAATTTTCGTATTTTCGAAATTTTCGGTTTTAAAATAAAGTTTTTAGAATATCTCAAAATGGTAATACATATTTCATTTTGGCGAATCTGAAAAAGTGGTGGAAATTTTCGGAAAAATGTTCCCGAAAATGACTTCTGCTACTTGAAATCAACGAAAAAGATGCCTTGATGAATTTCAAAATGTTCGCAAAAATATCAAAAATTTGAAAAATTGAGTAATTTTCGAAAGAGCTCGGAGAAAGTTAAAAATTTAATAAATTTGAGCTTTCGGTAAAGTTGCCTTAAAATATATCAAAAGTCTAGAATATAAATCTCGAGACAGAAATTCGAAAAACGTAGCCTTTAAATGAAATCAGACTAAGTTTTTTGAAATTTTGGGTTTCAAAATCAAATTTTCAAAAAATCGCAAAAATTTTCATGTTTCATCTTGGCGATTCTTGATAAATGGTTAGAATTTTCGAACAAATGAAGGCAAAAATAACTTCTATAAGTCTAAATAGAAAAAAAAAACTGTTTAAGCAATTCTCCAACCTACTTGGAAAGAGTCAACAATATTGTAATTGGCAATTATTGAAAAATTTTTCTTTGGTTAAAAATCCACACAAAATTTTGGTATTTTCGAAATTTTCGGTTTTAAAATAAAGTTTTTAGAATATATCAAAATGGTGATATTTCATTTTGGCGAATCTGGAAAAGTGGTGAAAATTTTCGGAGAAATGTTCCAGAAAATGACTTCTGCAACTTGAAATCAATGAAAAACGTGTCTTGATTAATTTCAAAATGCTCGCAAAAATATCAAAAATTTGAAAAATTGAGTAATTTTCAAAAGAGCTCGGAGAAAGTTAAAAATTTAATAAATGTAAGCTTTCAGTAAAATTGTCTTAAAATATATTAAAAGTCTAGGATATAAATCTCGAGAAACTAATTCGAAAAACGTAGCCTTTAAATGAAATCAGACTAAGTTTTTTGAAATTTTTGGTTTCAAAATCAAATTTTTAAAAAATCGCAAAAATTTTCATGTTTCATCTTGGCGGTTATGGATAAATGGTTGGAATTTTCGAACAAATGAAGGCAAAATAACTTTTACAAGTCTAAATAGAAAAAAAATCTCTTTAGGGAATTCTCAAACCTACTTGGAAAGAGTCAATAATTTTGTAATTGGCAATTATTGGAAAATTTTTCTTTGGTTAGAAAGCCACAGAAAATTTTCGTATTTTCGAAATTTTCGGTTTTAAAATAAAGTTTTTAGAATATCTCAAAATGGTAACTTTTCATTTTGGCGAATCTGGAAAAGTGGTGGAAATTTTCGGAGTAATGTTCCCGAAAATGACTTCTGCTACTTGAAATCAACGAAAAAGATGTCTTGATGAATTTCAAAATGTTCGCAAAAATATCAAAAAATTGAAAAATTGAGTAATTTTCGAAAGAGCTCGGTTGAGCTTTCAATAAAATTGCCTTACAATATATCAAAAGTCTAGAATATAAATCTCGAGAAACAAAATCGAAAAACGTAGCCTTTAAATGAAACCAGACCAAGTTTTTTGAAATTTTCGGTTTCAAAATCAATGTTTTTTTAAATCCCAAATATATTCACATTTCATCTTGGCGATTCTGGATAAATGGTTGGAATTTTCGAACAAATGAAGGCAAAAATAACTTCTACAAGTCTAAATAGAAAAAAAAACTCTTTAGGCAATTCTCGAAACTACTCGGAAAGAGTAAACAATTTTATAACTGGCAATTGTTGAAAATTTTTTCTTTGGTTAAAAATCCACACAAAATTTTGGTATTTTCGAAATTTTCGGTTTTAAAATAAAATCTTTAATATATCTCGAAATAGTAATATGTTATTTTGGCGAATTTGAAAAAGTGGTGGAAATTTTCGGAGAAATGTTCCCGAAAATGACTTCTGCAACTTGAAATCAACGAAAAACATGTCTTGATGAATTTCAAAAAGCACGCAAAAATATCAAAAATTTGAAAAATTGAGTAATTTTCGAAAGAGCTCGGAGAAAGTTAAAAATTTAATAAATTTGAGCTTTCGGTAAAATTGCCTTAAAATATATCAAAAGACTGGGATATAAATCTCGAGACTAATTCGTGAAACGTAGCCTTTAAATGAAACCAGACCAAGTTTTTTGAAATTTTCGGTTTCAAAATCAATTTTTTTTAAAATCCCAAAAATGAAGGCAAAAATAGCTTCTACAAGTCTAAATAGAAAAAAAAACCTTTTTAGGCAATTCTCGAAACTACTCGGAAAGAGTCAAAAACTTTATAATTGGCAATTTCATCATTACTTGCTAAGATAAAAACTGATTTTGGCAAATAAGATATCCTCTAAGAAAAGAGAGGGTGGGTGGGCGGGGCTAGTATCTACTAAGATAAGACTGATTTTAGCAAATTACATATCCTGTACGACAAGAGAGGGTGGGTGGGCGGGGCTAGTAGGTGCTAAGGTAAGACTGATTTTGGAATGAGATATCCTCTAAGAAAAGAGAGGGTGTGTGGGCAGGGCTAGTACCTGCTAAGATAAGACTAATTTTGGCAGATGAGGTATCCTCTAAGAAAAGAGAGGGTGGATGGGCGGGGCTAGTATCTACTAAGATAAGACTGATTTTAGCAAATTACATATCCTGTACGACAAGAGAGGGTGGGTGGGCGGGGCTAGTAGGTGCTAAGGTAAGACTGATTTTGGCAAATGAGAAAACATATTCAACGACTATCATACTTCTTATACCCTGTATAGTTTTAGTTTCACTTTCCTTTTTATTTCAGACGACATCTATTGCCAACGTTTGACGGCAGACTACTTGGAAAATGCCACCAAAGTGTTAGAAACCTCGTTTTACCCTCAAGGAAACATTTGTTTGGTTTTAGGTGTTTCGAAAGATCCGGAAGCTATCGGCGAACTTCGCGACTTAACTAACGCAGCTGCCAAAGATGGAATCAGTGTCATAGCGATTGATAAAAATACCAACAAGGTTGTAGGAACCGCGTTTAATAAAATACAGGTATGTCTGTACAATTTACTCAACCACTCCAACATAAAGCAAAATTTTCAGGTGAAGAATGATCCCGTCTTTGAAAATTTTGCCAGATCTTGGAAGAATCCCCGGTCTAAAGCTTTCGTGGAAATTATGGCCACCGTAGACAGTCTGTGCAATCTTTTTGATTACTGTCAGACTGATTGTTTGTTGGAGTTGATGTTTCTGACAACTGCGACTGACTATAGAGGGAAAGGTATAGCCAAGAAGCTGAGCGAAATTACTTTGGAAATTGGTACCAGTCTGGCGAAGGGTGTCAATGTTAGGAAGTCGCTTGATGGTACCGAGCTGCCGCTGGGTCCCAGACCTAAAGTTATTAGTGCCATGTTCGCAACTATAGCGACACAGAAAATTGGAAGACATTTGGGGTTTGAAATGGTTGCTGAAAAATTTTACAACGAGATGGAGTTTCAAGGGACGAAATTTTCAGATGTTATTACTAATGGTAGTACGAAAATCACGTTGGAATATAAGAGGCTATGAATTATTAAGATATTGTTAATGTAAGCGGTCACCAGCTCTTGAAATATAAACAGGATATGCAGTTGTAGATTTCATGTTGTAATGTATTAATTAGAGATGTACCGACTATAGTCGGCCGACTGTTCCGCTTTGCTAAAACCGGTTTATAAATGCAACAGACAGTGTGTTTTTTTTTCTATTTCTCTGACTACCTTAAAAACTTGTTTTATTTTAATAAAAGGAATAACTAAAGTTTCTTTGTTTTCCAAAAAATGTGTTAAATTTGTTTGGATAATTTTAACATTTAATTTTTTGTAGTAACTCAGTACAAAAATAAAGAATAACACAATTTAGAGCAGTTTATACAATACTTAACCAATTTTAACCACTTTTTTGGAAATTTTGAATTCGCTTTGCGTGTTTATTGGACCAGATATCGTGACGGCGATTTCAGAATCGTAACTAGCGGAAGATTATCTACACTTTGACACAAATTTTCAGTCGATTAAACCAATTTTAACCGGTTTTGACAAAGCCGACTAGTCGGCCGACTATAGGCGGTACATCTCTAATATTAATTAAGGCGTAGATTAAGTGTACAGTAGGTTAAGTAGGAAGTAGGTTAATAATGAGATGTTAAGGAACGCCACTGCGCATCTGCGCATGGCGTAGGTACTGATGTTTTTTGCAAGGACTGGATCTCTTCGAGACAGACAGTCGAGTAGGTAAGACATGAATTTGTGTAATAAACACAAATCAACACGTGCTCGTTTTATTAATACTTATCACATGTAAATAACAGTTCATTATATCGTACGTGGTACTATTTATAAGTTGTTGTTTTTGTGTTTGTAATAACAACCTATAATAATTATTATTATCTAAGAAATTGCACTTTAAATAAAACCCACTACTTGGGTGACAACTCCAGTGAAGAAGACCTCCGGTACTAGACAGTAGGTACTCACCCCATAATTCTTGTCAAAGTATAAAAGGAACGACCATATACTTATATCAGTACAGAATTTACATTCAAGGTGCAAATAATTATTACTGCAGTTATCAACAAATGCTTTTGATAAAAAACAAAGTAAGTACATTTCTAGCTTAAAATATGCGCATCGATAAACTTGTACAGTAAAAAACATAGCTTGAAGGTTGCATGTCTGATATATTTTTGAACAACAACTAATGCAGAACGTGCAGAAAGCACAACACCACAAAATGGATATTCAAAAATGGTGGGTTAATGGTAAGTTAGTATGAACAAATGTAGTTTTAGTTTCATTTTCCTTTTTATTTAAGACGATATCTATTGTCAACGTTTGACGGCAGACTACCTGGAAGAAGCCACCAAAATGTTAGAAACCTCGTTCTACCCTCAAGAAAATGTCTGCATGGTTTTAGGTATTTCCGAAGATCTTGAGGCTGTTCGTGAACTTCGCGACTTAACTAACGCGGCTGCCAAAGATGGAATCAGTGTCATAGCGATTGATAAGAAAACCAACAAAGTTGTAGGAACAGCGTTTAATAAAATACAGGCAAGTCTGTGAAATTTACCCAATGTCTACAACACAGTGTGAAATTTTCAGGTGAAGAATGATCCCGTCTTTGAAAATTTTGCCAAGTCGTGGAAGAGTCCCCGGTCTAAAGCTCTCGTCGAACTTATGTCTGAAATTGACAGTCTGTGCAATCTCTTTGACTATTGCCAGACCGATTGCCTGTTAGAGTTGATGTTTTTGGGTACTACCACTGAATATAGAGGGAAAGGAATAGCCAAGAAGCTGAGCGAAATTACTTTTGAAATTGGGACCAATTTGGCGAAGGGTGTCAATGCGAGGAAGTCCCTTGATGGTACGGAACTGCCGCTGGGACCCAGGCCTAAAATTATTAGTGCTATTTTCGCCACTATAGCGACACAGAAAATTGGAAGACGCTTGGGGTTTGAAGTCGTCGCTGAAAAATTTTACAACGAGATGGACTTCCAAGGGACGAAATTTTCAGATGTTATTACTAATGGTAGCACGAAATTGACTTTGGAATATAAAAAGTTATAAATTAGTGAGATTTGTTGTGTCATAAACTTAAAACAAGGTAATAAAACGGCAGAAAAATAACATCGGTTTCTTTTTTCAATTCGAATTATGATGAAAAGATGAAAAACACCCAGGCCAAATAAGTTTTTTAATCTAAAAAAATTTATTAACAGCACATTATCAACGGGAATACATTACATCGGAAGAATGTCACGTAGACATTGGTTTAATTTGAATGAGTTTATCGCCCCAAAACAGACGACTAAAATTATTCATAAGCCCTAACGTTATTATTATGATTCTTACCTTATCATTATTTTATTGTTATAAAGACGAGCGTATTCTCACATTTTCCAGAAAATGGGGTGGCTCGTTCTTAATTTGGTCAATAATAAATTGACTGACTCATTAATTTTTTTGATCCACTTATTTAAGCAAATCTCAAAAATATTTATGCCGTTAAAAATCGCAATTATAGACTCATCATACAAGTATGTATTGTGTAAAGACACAATGCATATTTAAGACAGCATATTTTCGGAAAAATTTTGGACTAGGAGCTGCTAAGATAAAACTGATTTTGGCAAATGACATCCTCTAAAAATAGAGAGGGTGGGTGGGCGGGGCTAGTACCTGCTAATATAATGCCATTTGCCAAAAATAGTCTTATCTTGGCAGCTGCTAGAGCCGCTCACCCACCCTCTCTTCTGTTAGAGGGTATCTTATCTGCCAAAATTACTCTTATCTTAACAGGTGCTAGCCCCGCCCACCCACCCTCTCTTTTCTTCGAGGGTATTTCATCTGCCAAAATTACTCTTACCTTAACAGGTACTAGCCCCGCCCATCCACCCTCTCTTGTCTTAGCAAGTACTGATGGCATACTTTTAAGAAAATTATCAAAATTTGGAAACATTACGAGCATACTTATGCGCACAAGGCTGGAATTTTTAACATCCCCTCTAAGAAAAGAGAGGGTGAGTGGGCGGGGCTAGTAGCCGCTAAGACTGATTTTGGCAAATGAGATATCCTCTAGAAAGGAGAGGGCGGGTGGGCGGGGCTAGCACCTCCTAATATAATGTCTTTTGCCAAAATTAGTCTTATCTTGGCAGCTGCTAGCCCCGCCCACCCACTGTCGCGGCCTGTTCAGTCAGGGCGGAAACTAGAATACATTTGCATAAATTAAAACATGATTTGAATAGTCGTCGTTTGCTCGAATTACGTAATATGGCAAAATCTTTAGGTATAAGATACATTAAAAGATACAATAAGGCAGAATTGGTAAAGGAGATTATTCATGCTGAAGAGCAATTAAAAATAACAAGAGAAAACAAAAAGAGTTTGGAAATATTTCCGTTTAATGATGGAATATTTTCTAAACCGAAAAAAGAAAGAGTAAAAAAGATCAAGTGTGATGAATGTGGAAAATATATTAAGGAAAGTCGAATGCAGTTGCATAAAGCAAGACATAATCCAGAGCCAGATTTTATTTTAGTTCAGGTTGCTTTTAAAGGAAGATTATTAACCTATCAGCATAATAATCTAGAAGAAGGTATAGATATAGAAACATATATGGATATGATAAAAGAAAAAGCTATTAAAGTAGTTATAAATGCTTTAAATCTCCATAAAAATATTAAAATCAATTTAGAGATGGAATGTGAGTTTATGAAACTGGAAAATGAAGACTTTATAATGATACATAAATTTCAGTTACCGAATGTTATACTAAGAGAACAAGATGATCTGGAGGAATATTGGGATGAACAAAAGGATTTATTTATATCAAGATGTGATGAATTGCAAGATAAGGGATCTGGATGGACTTTGAAAAATATAAATTATTTGCGCATTAATATAAACAAATATACACCGTTAAGCGGAAATTCATATGTAGAATTACCCAAGTGGATTAAAGATAAAAAAGCTTGCGTTAATGTTAAAAACAACGATAATAAATGCTTTATGTACAGCGTAATATCATGTTTACATCAAGCAAAAGAACACGTAGATAGACTGAATCATTATAATAAGCCGGAATATATAAATGAATTAAATTTTGAAGGAATACAGTTTCCTGTCAAAATCCAGGACATACCTAAATTTGAATCACATAATAAAATTAATGTTACCGTGTTTAGTTACGAAGAACAAATATTTTATCCTTTGTATCATAATAATAAGCAAATATATGAAATGAATATCGACTTACTATACTTTGGAAATAAAGATAAAAATCATTATTGTTGGATCAAGAATTTGAGTCGATTGTTGAATGATCAGTTGGAAGTAAATAGAAACAAAAAACATTTCTGTAGAAGATGTTTAAACTACTCCGCTAGAACTGAAGATGTTTTAAAGAAACATCAAAATGTGTGCTTTAGTAATGAACCATGTGTTCCGAACATGCCTGAAGATAATATATTAAAATTTAAAAATATTCAAAGAATGTTAAGACATCCGTATGTAATTTATTCTGATTTTGAATCTATTCTGAAACCTATTCATACATGCGAACCAAATCCTGAATCATCATATACTCATAAAACACAATTTCATATTCCCTGTGGTTATGGATTATACATTAAGAGTGCTTATAATAATATTGATAACCCATTGGAAATTTACAGAGGAGAGGAAAGTGATAAATGTTTTATAAAAAGAATGACTGAATATGCCAGAACAATATATAAGTTATTAAAAGAAAATAAACCCATAAAAGATATCGAACTAGAAGAATATAAAAAAACAAAAATTTGTTATCTTTGTGAAAATGTGTTTTCTATAGAAAACCCAAAAGTAAGAGATCATGATCACTACACTGGAAAATATAGAGGAGCTGCTTGTAGAAAATGCAATTTGAAATATAGACAACCATTGTTTATTCCAATTTTGTTTCATAATTTAAGCGCTTACGATTGTCATTTGTTTATAAAAAATCTAGGAGAAGATAAAAGTCAATTGAAATTAATACCTAATAGCGAAGAGAAATATATTTCTTTCAGTAAAATTTTAAGAATGGATGATAATGGATATATCGAACTGAGATTTATCGATTCATTTAGATTTTTAGCAAGTAGCCTAGACAATTTGTCATCTAATCTGGAATCAAGTCAGTTGAGAGAAATAATTAAATACTTTTCAAATCATGAATTAGATGTGTTATTTAGGAAAGAAAAAAGCAAGATAATTAGAAAATGGATTCTTTTGAGAAATTTTCTGAAACAAAACTTCCATCAATAGATAAATTTTATTCTTCGCTCACAAAAGAAGGAATTTCTCAAGAAGAATTCAAACATGCAGTGAAAGTATGGAAATATTTTAAAATTGAAAACTTGGGTGAATGGCATGATTTATACTTAAAACTAGATGTTTTGTTATTAACTGATGTATTTGAAAATTTTAGAGATTTATGTTTAGAAAAGAGTTATGGACTGGATCCTGTTTGGTATTATACAACTCCGGGGTTAGCTTGGGACTGTATGCTCAAATATACTTCAATGAAGTTGGAATTATTAACTGATTATGAAATGTATTTGTTTTTTGAAAACGGAATTAGAGGAGGTATTTCACAGTGTAGTAACAGGTATTCGCAGGCAGATGAAAATACTCAGATTATCTATATAGATGCTAATAATCTATATGGATGGGCTTTATCTCAGAGATTACCAGAAAAAAACTTTAAATGGTTGACTTGTGATGAAATTAAAAATGTTGACGGTATACTGTTGTCAGATAGTGATACGGGTTATGTTTTAGAAGTTGATTTAGCATTCCCTATAGACTTGGCTATTCATAACAAATTCAATGACTTGCCTTTGGCTCCGGAAAATAGAATTCCTCCGGGTGGAAAAGTAGAAAAACTACTTTGTCATTTCTATGATAAAAAAAATTATATAATTCATTACAAAACATTAAAACTTTACAAAAGTTTAGGTATTAGAATAACAAAGGTTCACAGAGGTATAAAATTTACTCAGTCAAATTTCATAGCACCATATGTAAAATTTAATACTGAACAAAGACAGAAGGCGAAAAATGATTTTGAAAAAGATTTCTGGAAATTAATGGTTAATGCACCATATGGTAAGTCTATGCAATCTGTTAGAAACCAACAAAATATTAAATTATATTGTGATGAAGAAAAATTACAAAAAGCGATAAACAAACCTAATTTTAAACACAGAACTAT